TATCTTTGGTGGTTATTTATAATTTAAAAATAAATAAAAATACTGAATTCCTAAATGTCATCTTAATTTTTTTGCATTTTCAAAATTCCGGGGAAAAAAATTTATTTCAAAAATGTGTCTGAATTAGTTTTATTTAGTGTTTTATTTAATATAGGACATAATAAAGAATACTGACCCCGTTTAATGGAGAAAATATGCGGTTTTAAAAAGGTATAGGATTTTAGTGGTAACTGGTTTTGGGTTCAAAAATATCTCTTTGATTTATTCTAATAATATATATTCTTAAAAAAAATTAGAAAAATATGAATATATTCTTTTATTTGTTCTATCCCATTACACAGTGTGACAAATACCCTTTTTACCCTTCATTGTAATTATTGTGCATAAGACTTCCCTCATGGATTATATCAAACATGATTTGTGACTTGGAAAAACTATTATTTTATTAATTTAACTAACCAATCAAAAAAAAAAATAACTTGCTTGTAAAATTAAAAATCAAGATAAATTTAGGAACTAAATAATACTGTTAGGAAATTAGGGATTCTTTTACAGGGAAGGAGTGAAATAATTATTTCTTAAATTGTAGTAAGGGTTCATATTCCTAAGTTTAAGTACGGATTTTGTCTTTTTTCTTTCAAAGTACGATTTACGATTCACTGAGAATAATAGATTCGTTTATTGATCATCTTAAATAACTTTTTCTATTCCAACGCCCTGAATTTAATGAAATACTTTTAATTTAATACACAAAATACATATTTTTAACAAAATAATTCAGTTTGATATTTGTTCCGTACCAAAATAGTTAATAATTCCTTACCCTCTTAACAGACATTACCTACACTCGTCTTAAGAAATACTGTGTTTAATGCATATGCAGTGCATCCATAAAACATTGAAAGTAAATTCTCGGGTAGATCAATTTTTAATTAAAGTTTAAATTTCAACTTTTACTTTGGAATCGACATTCAGCTTGTGATCCTAATAATGTGTCGCAAATGAGAACGCAGAACATGGGAATTTCGTAATCAAATGAATAAGCAAACTAGGTTAAAGAGACATACAGCCTAATTAACAAAGCATATCTTAATGTGTATGTAAGTTACAGATCAGTTGGGCGATTTATAAATCATCTTTAGATTTAATTATATGTAAATTTGTAAAAATAGAAACGTCATTTAAATGAATGTCCAATAAGACATTACAAAAACTGTTATTTAATTATTTTAATTTTAGTAAACTGACATCGATAGAAAAACATGTAAAGTTTTTCTATTGATTTCATAACTATTTTCCAGGCAAAAATAAACAATATTTATTTGTTCCTAATTTTATTCTTCAACCTTTTTGTATGAGTTAAGCTTTCGCTATCTGTCAAATTTGACGTTTTTTATAGTGAGCCAAGAGAGTCACACAAGGATCGTGTTAACACTATTCCCACTTAATTAATATTTACTTTAAAGTGGTAAATCAATTAAATTCACCATTTCGATGTTGATACGTCGGTGTCACAATCAGAAGTCCTATTTATTTGTTAGTGATTTGAAGAAACATAACCCATTGATTTTAATTTTACTAATCACAGTAACGATATCAAAGTGTGATTGGAAAATCACTCCTTCATACAACTCTATATGTTTTCTCTGAATTGACATTGACGTTTCTATCTTCAAGAATTTATAATATAGCTAAACTATTTAAAAATGCTTTGTGAATACAAATGTTTCATAAATTAGGATCTAAAAGTTGACTACTGAGGGGAACAATCAAAAATAATCAGAGCATTATTCCAGTAATTTTCGAAAAAACTAATATCTTGGATTTTCGTCTTTTGACTTTAGCTTTATTTATCAAAAACACTAACAAAGATATTATCCTTAGCTTCCTAAATACTTGAAAATTACCTACTCAACTTGGAAACACGTTTCGTTTTAGTGGGGCTAATTACTTTAAATATGGATCTGGAATTTTGATTGTAATTTTTATGCTACGTTTCTTCAGAATACAACCATGTATACCATTTAGTCATTAAGAAATAGGCCAAGCTTAAAATGACATTTTTTCATTAAAAATGTAATTGTACATTTTCATTTTTTTATTTCTAAAAATAAGTGCTTTACTCTTAAAAATGAACATATTTTTTTATATTCTTTGTATATATTACAAAATTTGCAAAGTTTATGAAGTTTAGATTTGCAACCCACTGTATATTGCAGAAGTCAGATTATTCTAGACTTTTTAATTTGGGCTAACAATCTGATTCAAAAAATATAGTTGCATCATCGGGGTCATATCTTTACATTAATCAAAGAGAATATTTTATTAAATAGGTTAAAAAGTATTGACCCAAATACTATGCCTTGCGGTATATGCAAATTCTACTTTTTTTTGTTTTGTTTTCATCATTTATTTAATGCCCTAGTTTTACTATCCGGATTATATTTTTTAGATAACTTAATAGGATATTTAAACATTTTCCATTTATACCTATATATATTTCCTTTTCGGTTACCCTGTCAATGACGGTACATGGGTTTCACTACAGGTGTGAATGGACTTAGCCGTTTACTAACGTTTCGAGTAAATTACAACATCGTCAGTACATGAATTGTTTAATTACGGTCACGAATTCAAGTTTTATTAAATTTATTAGATGCGTAATTACAAACCGTTGTGCAATAATATTCCACAAACAAATAAAATAGAAACAAAACGAGAAAGGTTTAGCACTGAAAGTGACTGAGATACTCGAAGCAAAATAACAGTATTCCAACAAAAAGCATTTTATACTATAATTTAGACTCGAGACACAATAGAAACTTTTGGGTTGCAGTAGAGGGTGATATTATCATTCCACTCATTTTTAACGTAAGCTAACCCTTGGAAATTTTAAATATCAATAAAACTAATAAAGTAATTTAAATCAATTATTCAAATATATAACCAACAATGAATATGCATTTTTAAGCCTTGTTTAACAGATTTTAAATTTATAAACATTGCTTTTTGGGAAACTGTGTCATAAGCTTCAATAGTTACTTTATGCAACGGGTTTAATTAAAAAAAAAATATCCATGGGTATGAGATCTGGAAATCTAACAGGCCATTTTGTTGGATAAAGGGATTCAAACCCTGGAAAACATTTGGTTTAAATTAGTGATGGGTCGCTCGGAAAAGTTCGACGAAATAGTCTGGAAAGTTGACTTGTTCAAACACACCTTTCAAAAATGGAAAAGTGTACTGCGCATGCGCGAAATTAAAGTAAATAATTTGACTGAATTTCTTACAAAGGGCAAATAGTTTAAAAAAGAAAAACCGACAAATAACTAATGACATTTTAACGGTTCTTTCGGATTTATATTTCATATCTTATTAAACGTGAAATAATCATAAAAATAACAAAAAAAACAAAAGAATTATTTTATAAACGATTTGCCTAAAAAACAAAGATATTGTTTCTAAAGTGTTTTTTGAAAATGTAAATTTACTTTTCCGGATGTCTGTCGGACTATTTCAAAAAATACATTTCATGGAAAGTCCCATCACTAGTTTAAATAGTTTAATCCATTATGGGGACCAGCATCATCATTATTATTTATAAACCAATAATTGTAATTATTCTAATCGTAATAATTAGCAAGATATTTGATTAAAAGTTTTTTTGGCTCCAGTCGCCTGTTAATAAAAAATAAATAACATCTTTTTTTCTTCTAATTAACAAGTAGAAATTTAGTGAATTTTGGTTTCAGCACTATTCAAATAATGTATTATTATACCGATAATGTTGTAATTTATCAGAAATGTTAAAGATGCATAATGGGATAATGGTTGTATTCAGGATAAGTAACTATAAGACATTATAGGTATGTATTTAAAACACCTTGATCGCTGTTGAATTTTATAGAAAATGGTTAGAAAAGTAATACATATTTTTTTTCCTAAATTACTAGAAAACGGTCTATTATATTTATAATCTCTTCGCACCATATCATTGATCCCCTCAATATAGAACTTTCAATTAATTTAATCGAATCTGTATATTCAACGGTTTACCAGATCCATATGCTCTGCAATTTTTATTGAGACATACTGTATATACTTTTTAGATTTTTGGAATAACGATATATCAATTTTTTTTTTATTTATGGCCTAGGTGTGTATACCTAATATGCCAGTCTAAAGTTTGTGCTTTTTATATCACATTTTATGGAAGCAGTGTATATTATTGTGTTCATAAAAAGTGAGAAAAAAAAAATATAAATATATTTAATTAATTATTTAATACAAACTGTTAGTATTATAAGTAGAGTGAACTTTTACTGGCTTATTTTGATATAATATATATAAATATACTGTCGCAATTTTTATAAAGCCACCACCATATCTACGTCAAGTAATTTTCTAAGTAAATTAAAAAATTAATAATTGAATCTTTTAAAAACAACCAGTTTTATTCCAAAAAAATTTAAATTTCTTACCTTAAAAAAATGTCCTAAAATTAGATAACAATTTATACATATATAAATAGAAAATACCTTGAATTTAATGGATAAGTATAGTTAACTTAAAATAAGCTGTACACCAGCTTAATGTGTCTTAGTAATTTATATGGACAGTTAAAACTGATTAATTAAACTTAAATAAGGTGCCGTTTTCATTAAAAATGCAACATACTGTATACTCTACTCCACTTTTTATAAACCCACAAAACGCCAAAGTTATTTCTTACCAAACCCAACATTTTCAGGATTTTTTATAAAGTGTCCCAATTTACTCTTTTCCCTTATTTTTTAATACTTTCCGGAACACTCTGTGTATAAAACCTATCTGTACAAATGCATTTTTTTAATAAAAAAATCCTGAAAATATCGACTTATTTATTCGCCTGGACACTCTGTACACATATGTACATAAAATATTTTATATACAGATCGTCCCAAAGTGAAGGTTTAGAGCGATTCCTTTCTTTAGATTCTTTGTCATATTTACTCATTTGCTTATTTTCTCCTTGTCATTTGTAATGGACTTTCAGGAGGAGATTCTACAGAAGTTTCACGCTTTAGGGACTTTTTTGAGGGTTTCAAATTTGTTGAAATCCTCTTCATGGGTCTGGGGGATATGCTTGATTCGACGATTTGGTTTTCAGTGTTTTGGAACCAGCCCGTTCTAGTGGCGTCATTGGCTGAAGCTGAAAAATTTACAATTCAATCATGTAATTTAAAGTCAGAATTCCGTAGCAATATCCAGGGGAATTTGAAGCACACAAACCACTAAATTTACTAGACAAATTTAAGACCATAGTTGTTCCTAAAGTGGTGCTTGGGAATAGCAACAAAGTCTACACATAACAAAAGGCTAATCAGTAAAGTTGTCGATGATACCAATGAAAATAAAATCTTGATTCGTTATCGTAGAGAATAAACTCCAGATTGATAGCTTTACAACTATAAATTTCTTCATGAAGAATTATTTCAATTACCTCTATATTTTTGGTCGGCCCTCTGAGATCCTTTTGGTATATGTCCATGCGAATCCAACAGGGCAGCTGCGAGTGTTGAGCTGGAAGTACCATCATTATTATTGGTTGTAGAAATTCCACTAAATGAACTAGGACTTAGGACGGGAGTGTACACCTTTGATATAAATTCCTCATAGGTGGTATGTTTTTTATGTTTCGTTACTACTGTTTCGAGTGACCTGGCTCTTTCTTCATAACTGAAAATTAAAAAAAATATATATTTAATTTCGAAATCGGATTGGGACATTTTTTTTTATAAGAGAAATAATTTTTAAAAGTATTCTACTGTCGTCCTAAGAAAGAAAGCTGCATGTGCATTTTGCCCGTTTTGAGAAAAACACCATCAAAGTTTTGGTCATTTTCATTTTGAATTTGAATTATTGACGTTCTATCTATCTATCTGAGCTCTAGGCTTATTGTACCCCTTACAGTTTCTATCCCATCAGATTGATTTTCTTGATGAATTCAAGAATATGTCTGATGGGCGCTTTGGCGATTTCTTCAGGTTCCGGATATTGTACCCCGAAGTACCATTCCGTTCCCATTTAAGGTTCCGACAGTGGCATAGCATATGAATAGGAGTTTCGTCCTCCTCTTCACATATTCTACATAGGGAGTCATCAGATATCCTTAAGAAATTTAGGTGTCTTCTAAGGCCGCAGTGTCCCGCAAGGAGTACTATTACGGTCTTGAGTTCGCTTCTGCTAAGGTTTAGCAGTTGATTTTGTCTGCTCGTGGATGGCCCCTCTATGAATCTTTTGGACTGTCTAAGTCCAGGACGTTCCAACCAGAGCCCTATGGTGTTCTCTATTTCTTTGTTCGATTAACACCCATTTAACATGTTGGTATGAGATACCACATGTGGGTTCTGGTCCAATAAGAGTTTTTTCCGCTCCCTTCCTTGCTAGGAGGTCTGCTTTCTCGTTTCCAAACACTCCCTGATGTCCTGGTACCCATGCAAGGGTGACCTTATTATGTTCTGCCAGGGCCTGGAGGGACTGTTGGTAATCAAGTATTGATTTAGATTGGACTTCTACCCTTTTCAGAGCCCTAAGGGCTGCCTGACTGACATGATAAAGACTCTTTTATCTCTAAAAGAGTTATTTAGCATGACTTTGGCGCAGGTATTTATTGCTGTTACTTCAGCCTGGAAGACTGTTGTCAGTGACCCAAGGTTCAGACTAATTGTCCTGAGTTCACATGGCAGATCCCAGCTCCTGTGCTGTTTTTCATTTTCGAACCGTCTGTATACCAGATTAATTCGTTTTGTTTTTTCCTATTTTCCTGGCTTTTGGTCCTTTCTGGTATTTGAATATTGAAAGGTTTCCTGAAGACGTGAATAATGGGCGTTCTATCGATGGCATTCTTAGTACCGGATTTTGTTTTAATTTCTCTAATATCATTGTGTGGTGTCTTTTTCTCGAAAGTTCCCATTCAAATCCATTAGAAAACAGCCTGTATGCCGCAACCATAACCTCCTTCTCCACCACAACGTGTAGCAGTAGCTCCACTGACGTTAGTATATTAGTATTTTTACTGACATGCAATCAACTTTCGATATTTTAAGATGTTATAAAAGTATTTTTTTGAAATAGCTGATTTACCTGATCTATTGATTTTAAAATATTGTTAGTAAAAAAGCTGCATATGAAGACATTTTTATACAAATTTGATGATTTTTAAAAATTTACTTTATAATTATTTGTTGTCAACATATGTTTTCATATATAATTAATACATTTCATGCAGTAAAAAAAAATATTTTCAGAAAGTTAATAAAGTATAAAAACATTTATGAACTCTTCACCAAATTTATACAAGATGAGAACATTTCTAAGCTAATGCATAGCTTTTATCGCGGGCTTTGAGCGCGGCGACCGAATCAAGAAATTCCGTAACGAAAATAAACCTAACACCCCCCCACTCCGACCGACATGTATTGTAAGACAATAAAAATATTTTAAACAATATTAACTTCTCATTTATTCAATAAAAGAAAATCGAAAAATCGAAAATTTGAAAAATTTGAAAAATCGAAAAATCAAAAATCGAAAAAGAAATTCCATAACGAAAATAAACCTAACACTCCGACCGGCACAGCGGTGCGGCGTTGAAAGCCGTGCATTGTCTAACGTCGTTTCAGTTCGGCAGACTTCGGCACGGTGTTTGTGTGCGTGTGACTAGACGTATGCGTGTAGACTAGCTGCTAACTGCTCATAACTGATTCTATCTCTTTTAGACACAATTTCGGAAAAATTGAATTTGAAAATGAATAATGATCCACAAGAATCCACAACAAAATATGGGACCACCATTGACGCGGTTCGAGGATATCAAGTCTCAAACTTATGTTTCTTATTTCAGTTACCATAAACCTATAGTTTCAATGATAAAAATTCCTGAATAACCTACATGTATTGTAAGATAATAAAAATATTTTAAACAATATTTATTCAATAAAAGAAAAAAAAATTGTTTTCATATCGGTCACCACGCTCAGAAAGAAAAAAAAATACTGCATAAATAAAATAAATAAATAATTATAATTGTATAAGTTGATAAAAAATGCTATGCAATAGCTTTACCGCGGCAGTCCCCGAGTGCCACACGTATTTTTTATTTTTTTTTCATGTTTCAAGCATGAAAATGATCAGAACGATCTTCTAGTATTCTAGCTATCTAAACACTTTTTTGTAAAAAAACAAGTCATATAGATAGTTGAATATAGGTATAGGTTCGACAAAGCATTACAGCAAGAAGTAGGTTGAAAATGTACCAGAATAACTAAGCCAAATCTCGTGCTATATGCAATTTACTTTTATGTAATATAAAGCAAGTCATTACACAGAGTATTCAAAACAATACCCACATCCCACGTGATTAAACTGATGTCATAAGTTAGCTAAAAATAGTATTTAACTTCTGCAGTAACCCTAAAACAATGTCATTGACCCATTTGACAGAAATGACACTTAAGTTGTCATAAAAGTTACTAAGAAAGACAATTTTCATTAAATTTGTTTTACCAGAACACAAGGGATATGGGTAATGTTGAAGACTCGTTATATAATTATTATTGGTGAATATAAAAGTATTTTATATTCTGTTTTTATAGAGAAATATGTAATTAAATTGAGTTAGTAGAATTTTTTTGAAAGAAACGCAAAAAAAGGTCGACTTTTATTTCAAGGGGGACACCTTTCTATAAAATCCTCAATCCGTCAATCTAACTAATATAATTTAAATAAGGAAAGTACGAAGTATGACACATCATCAAAAGGGTAATTTAATGGGGAATTGAGCAATATAACTGTTGATTGTGTTACTTTTGATTTTGGATAAAAACTGCTACTTATTGTAAAGTGTGCATTTCATTTTAAAGCTTATTTTATTAGTGAAATAATGCTCTACCTAATATTATGTTTACTAAATCAAAAATGAACTTAAAATGAAAAAAATATTGTATTATTACTCAGGACTATGAACCGAAATACGGTTCATATGTCAGTAAATCGGTTACAGTTCGAATTTCGGTTTCGGTTTTTGTTCTAATTTGCTTCGGTTCAAACCGATTTAAACCGGTTTAGATCGAAATAAAAATATCTACATTCGTGCGTAATCAGTGTCACAAAAATTTGTCCAGTGTATTTTAATATATTTTATTTAAACTAAAACGAAGGTATTTTTTTAATTAATGTCAAAATTGATAACAAAACGCAAAGACAAAAGAAGTAATTAAAAAAAAATTAATTCCTTTAAATCATAATAAATAGATATTACAATAAAAGTATATGTACGTACCTATTATCAGTGCAGTATGACGTACATTATTTATGAAAAAAAATGCACATTTTTTGGTAAAAGTGAGGAGTTATTATTACAATTCAAATTAACTTTACTGAACAAGATTTTACTCACTTTTTTCAAAAGCACGTTTAAAGTGAATATTCTGTGAAAAATGTACACTATTACCGTAAAATATTTATATAATTTTTGCTTTAAAACTGGTTCAAATAATAATTGGTTTAATTCTTTTTAACTTTTTTTTATTTTTCAATGTGATTTCTGACTCCAGTACCTTTTCGGGTTGTTTATTTTGTTTTCTTTAATTTTCTCATTCTTTTCTGCTGATTCTTTTTTCACTGTTTCATCTATCTTTTTTTTAATAAATAATATCCTCATTAAATGTTCCAAAAGTAAGCTATGACCGATAAAGACAGATACGAATCATGTCCGTGATAATTACGCACGGCTCTGAAATAAATCCAAACTGACACTTAAAAAAAAAAGAACAATTTGTACGCTACGACACACGCGAATTTTTTCATGGCCTACTTTAGGAATAATTTTTGGGGATCACGCCATATAATTCTGCGTATTTACTTTTTGCAATATTTCAATATAACATTTTTTTCGCCCAAATAAAAAAATTGTTTAGGATTTTGTGCAAACTATTACTAGAGATTGTCAAGCTAATGTAAAACGCAGCATATAATATTTATCTCCCCCACCCTAAGTTATCATCTTGATTGTATTGCCCTCGTTGGTACTCTCGCCCGCCGCGCCAATAATTTCTTGTGACATTTCGGTTCAAAACTGTTTATTTCGGTTGATTACGGTTTAACCAATTCGGTTACGGTTTTTTTATTGAAAATGGTTTCGTTTCAAATTTCGGTTACGGTTCGAAGAAAACAAGCGATTACGGTTTTTAGTTTCGGTTCACAGCCCAATTGCAATACGGATATATTTAGGTGAATGTGATGTGGTGCATTGGATTAGTAATTAAATTAGCTACTTTACAATAAGTAAGTTTTTTATCCCACTACAGGACGCTAAAATTAAAATTAATGAAGTCACATTGCTGAATTCCCCGTAAACTTACGTTTTCGATGAAGTATCATATATTGTACGTTTCCTATTTAAATTGTATTGGATAGAGTGACAGAGGGGAGAGGAATAACATATGACAGTTGAGAATATTATAGAAAGGTGTTTCCCTTGATGTTTTTGTTTTTTCAAAAAAAAATCTACTTCAAGATTTTCTGAGATACGGAGTCTCCATCCTTAATGAATCTTCCTGTATATTATTTGAAAAAAGTAGAGCTATATTTTTTTGGCTCAATTCCATTCATGTGATATTAATACAAATAATTACACATTCAAAATACAAAACCCTCTAATTTAATTTGAATATATTTTTTGTAAAAAGCTATAAATGATTAACCAATAATATACTTACTACTGCTGATAAAACTGGTATGTCATTCTTTTGGCGCGACTTGCACATATCGCAGTAGCTCTAACTAAACCAGCTAAGACAGAGGTTTCTATTATAGCTTCATTAAATAACACTCCAAATTGTGGAACCTAAAATTCAAAATTATGTATTTTTAAACCAATAGTTATTAGTATACCAATAATGAAGTCCTGTTTTTTTCTTTTGTATATGTGTGTCAGAAGAACTGAACCCAAAGACATCCAGTCGACGAGATCCTCAAAATTTATCGCCCGCAATTAACCACCAGCAATTGATCGCTAGGAGCCTAGATCCACAGCAATTGACTGCATAGTCAGTTTATAGACTACAATTTTGAACGCTTGCATATTTTTCGCCAGGCAATACATATAATAATTTAGATAGTTTTTGATCTTTTTAAAATGAATTCGAGTTTATTTCCTTTATATTTCTGCCTTAAGGAAAAAATGATGTGGCAGTTAAAAACATATGTTTTGCATGATAAACTTAATCTTAATAGTTAACGTTCTAAGCTTTTTCTTAGGATAAAAAATAAGTAGGTCTACCAATGTACAAAAAAATACTGCATTTTTCAGGATACTTCTTTTTTGGAGCGATGTTGGGGTTTCTATGCATAATCATCTGGTTCAGCAGTTCTCTATTTGGTTTCTTCACAATTTTAATGGCTAGATCCGAAGGGGAAACCTCTAAGGTCAAAACGCACCCATATGTTAGAAATCACCTAAATAAATTTTATGTGATTTTGGTGATTTCGCTGAAAATCCACCTTAATTTTATACGATGACTTTTTTGGACTATTCCCTCATCTTTTGTTCCACAAGCTACTGAATTTACATATATATGAGCGACAAATTCATTTCAGAGATGATTTAGACCATAATTTTTAATGATGATTTCGGAATTTTCATAGCGATTTCGAGTGAAAACATACCAGTATTTCGGGAGTGGTTTGCCACTGGGCTAGATCATTTATCCTTTGACAAATAGGTGAAATTTTGATTGTTTTTTAAAGTAATTGATTGGATATGTTATGCAGTGGATTGTTGGGGTTATAATGTACATTAATACAATTAAATAAGAATTACTTACGTCTGCTTTTAAATTAATTGTCACTCTATTCAAATTTCCTCCTAAAGGATAAATGGTTATTAAAATATCACAGAATTCAGTTGGAATGATATCACGTCTATAATCTCTACTGTGTTCCGACCACACTATGTGAACTTCATCATTTCCTAAATGTCTTATCTGAAAAACAAATTTTTAATGATCATTGTTATTATTTTATTAAAGGTAATCCCACGAGTCCTCCAAATTTTATCGATAAAATTTTTAGTTTCCACGAAAACATCTTTATTGGGAAAAACCACGAAAACAAACCGATTTTATCTTAAATCGGTTTGTTTGAGTAGTTTTGCCTAAGTTAAAGACGTTTGAGTATGGAAACTCAAAAATCAATAGATACAATTTGAAAGGACGAGAGGTATTTGAAAAGATTAGTATTTTAATAATTCTGCACGAAAAAGACATAATAAACATATTTGGAAGTGTTTTTTAAAAATATACATATTTGTTTATTTTATAGTAATATAATTTCCATTATAGCCTGAAATATTAGTAAATACGACAAAAACGTATTTTGTAACAGACTAAACGCAATAGCCAGGCATACACACATATTTGTACATTACTTGCTTTTTACAAGTTTGACATTGGATAAATTAAAATTTTTATTGTTATTTCAGTGTCTTTATAAAATGGAATAAGGATCTGTTTAATTTAGTTAATTTAGAACTGTAGGTATTCAAAAATGGTGTTTCATTTACAAAAGTTGAGTGTGAGTTAGTTTTGTGTATTAAAGTGATTTAACATAAACATTACAAAGATTTTATTTTTTATTTTAAATATTACCGATTTTAATTTTATGCAGTAAAATTAAGAATAACTTTAAAATTTGAGTGTTAACATAGATTTGAAATACATTTACTTTAATAGAAGTTAATACATTGTTTATAGTTGTCAGTTCAAAATGTAAACATAATTTTATCAAAAAAAAAAAAGAATAAGCGGTTTAATCGGTATAAAACTCAATGATTGGTTAGGATCGCGAGCTCTTATTGGCTTAAATCACAAAATTTGGTTATTTGGACAGATGAAAAAAATAATCCATGATAATTGTTTTAATTAATTTTCTACATTTATATTTTTGTTGTTGTTTTGAGTAGGTATTTCAAAAATGGCTAACATTCAGATCAATGATCAAATATTAACATCATGGACACTTATCTACAACTTACTCAAAAATAAAATGTGACCAATGCTTATGAAGAGAAATATCAAGTGATATCCACATACATGTGCAAAATATAATCAAGCTATTAATTTTTTTAAATATATCACGGTTATTTCCAGAAGATAACCAACAAACACTCTGTTTCTTAAAAAAAAAAAATACTACAGAGTTAAAATTGACAAATTCAGGTATTTAAACTTTTTTTTCCAATTTAATACGTGACAACGGAGTAACGTTGTTTCTTAGGATTTAATCTGTTTCGTTCTAGCATTGCACTTTGAAAATCGCTTCCATTCTTTTGTCTCAATTAAGAGAAAAGGAGAAGGATTTCAGAATAGTTCAGATCACTCTCATGAACGTTGTACTTGTAACAGTTACCAGTTGTAAGTTTTATGTGATCGTCATCTGGAAAAAATATTTTTCATGTTTTTACAACACACCTACTGCCCGAAAACACAATTTTCCTATATTCAAGTCCGAATTTCTGAAATTTTTAAAAATGAACATATATCGGAATTTCTACAAGGAAAAGTATGGTTAGATAAAAAATTTAATCAGCCTGAATGCCAATCTCTCGTTATAGCTTTTTGATAGATACATTTTATCACCTTTTTTTTAATGTCACTTCTAATCTAATTTTTGAATATTCGCTCCGTGCGTGACAGCAGCGTCAACTAAAGTATGAACTAAATGGCGATATTGCTTATATTGACAGTCTTTTTTAATAGCATTCGTAATTAAATAAATATATTTTTTGGTTTCAATTAAAGTATATGGATTTATAAAACATGTGAAAAAATTCATTTATGATTATTATATATTTATTTCTTCAGCTAAAAAAAAGTAAGTATATTCAATAAAGAAAATAATTAAAACATGTGCACAGAATAGGTAATTAGGCAACAGTATTTACGACAAAGTGTATGAAAAGTTGCCTAAAGGAGGATAAAAGGTCAAAATTTATTCACAAAAAAATAGCCAAAAAAAAGTAAGTATATTCAATAAAGAAAATAATTAAAACATGTGCACAGAATAGGTAATTAGGCAACAGTATTTACGAAAAAGTGTATGAAAAGTTGCCTAATGTGGTTAAAACGTCAAAATTTATTCACAAAAAAAAATAGTTGTAACAAGTAAATTGTATATGTATATTTTCGAATGTAATTTATACTTGTTTTCTTCATTTTTAGTTTAATAGAAAACATGAAATTATTTATTAAAACTCGTTAACTCGTTACCAATCAATCAGTTAGAAAATTGTATTCCAAATACAGACAATAATCAAAAGCAGAAAAATATCCTTTCTGAACATGTACCTAAGGAATTTTGAAAAACATAAAATAATAATTTACTACTTAAGTATTTAAAACTTTTCTGATGTCTACTATTTTCAATATAACTGTTGTTGCAAAAATAAAGGTTTGGTAATTATTTTTCCTTTCTAACTGTAGTTATCCGTTTATTTCTTTGATTTCATTTCCATTTTGATACTGAACTTTTATAAAATGTACACTGTTTTTTACAATTACAACACAACAACTTCGGTTGCTCATTGTATTGTTCTTAACTATTTAAAATAAAGTTAAATGTATACGTGTATTTAATACGCCAAAATTACAAAATATCGCCCTAAAGTGCACGAATTATCCGCAGCTTACGCTAGTATCGCTTTTGATTCCCCTACCATGACTTTGCACAGAACAAATACATTTGAATTCTAAACAAATATTCTATAAAATTTTATACATTCAAGAATAAGAAGATTACTTTAAACAATATCGATTAATGAATTAAATATTTTATTTACTTATGTATTTTTAGATTTTTACCTTATTAAGTACGGCCTCAGGAGTGTCACCAGGCATTCTGGTGGCGACATGAAATATAGCTTCTAGAAAACTAGTCGCTATATAAGGGGCGGTCAGTCCAGTGGAACCCTGCTTTTGCAAACCCCCACAAAACCCTGTGTGTCCTTCTAATTCTATTTCCCAAGCTAAAGCCGCTAAAAATTGCTCGTAGGCCACACTTCCGCCTTGGTTTGATAATACTGAATTTTTATCTTCTTGACCCGGAGCAACGTATATAACAGCAAACTGAAAAAAAAACAATATTTTTTCATACTTATGTTATTATTTAGGGATAATTAAGTATCTAATAAATATATGAGGCGTGGCTAGAAAAACTCGGACTGATCCTTTTGCAAACAAACAGTGAGGGTGTGAAGGTTAAATGGGACACGAGAGAGTCACGTGACATTTTTTCTATTGCTATCATCATAAACGTTCCGTTCCAAATATAATTTACAAGGATTTAGTTTTATGCCATTTTTTTGTAGCATTGTTTCAGAATAAAATAAGATCAATTTTGGATCTTATTGTGTTTCGTGTTAAATTTCATGTTATTAAAAATATCTTAATTCTGAATAATTTAAATATGGATAGGTAAAATTGTGTATTAACGTTATACTGGTAAATAATTGATGGGCAATGATAACGGCACAATGTGGAAACATTCTGTTTCACTAATACAAAACAAATTAACATAATATAACTTTTCCAGTTCTTAATCAGATTTATTATTGTGCTCCTTAAGATTATATTTCCTCAATATTGACAACTATCCAAAAACTGAGTTCTTTAAAATGCCCCCACTGCTAAATTTTTATGTATTTCATACTACGGAGTAACTCATGTAATGAAAACTTCAGTATTGTGGTGCACAATAAAAATGCAAATGGGATTTTCATTGTTAATTTGTTCTCAAAGCATAGTTAAGAGATATATTGGTTATTTTAAAGTGTTTGTTGCCCAGTGTACACTAATAATAAAGATTAAAGTACTTTTTTATTTTGAATCCTTTATCATTTCATTATAATTTATAATTCTATTTAAACCCTCTCTCCGTTAACGAATGGTTTAATTTTCATTAAATTATTAAAAAGTCTTTTTTTTTGTAAATCTGCTAGATTATTATTAAAATTTAAATAATGTTTTATTGACAGTACTGACAATACCGTCCGTTTAGTTGAGCCATGGACTTCGTTCGAAGTGGACCTTAAATCTGTGCTTCACCGGAAATATGTTCATGTGTTCAACACGTCAATGTTAAATCCCTTGTGAAACTCTGAATATCTGCCTCAGAAACATATGCCTTATTGAAAGAAGGATATGGAGATGAGTTTTTATCATGCACTCAGGTTCTAAAATCAGCCGATTTTGAGTTAAACGAGATCTCAAATCGGCTGATTTTAGAGAAAAAAAGTCATTGATGCTTTTTTGTAGAGCGGACATTTTCCCATTGAAATTTACTTTTGGCAAGCCGAGAAAATGTGAAATGCGCAAGTTACAAGCAAAAAAGTAAAAACAGGTCACTTTTACATTAAAAATCGAGTTTTCTCAAAAACGGCTGCTGGAACCGATTTTAAAAAATATATTGCGCCAATCTATAGCCCTTCAGAAATACTTTGACCGAAAAAAAATCTAGTAAATAAACTTTTCATTTAAAGTTGGTTCCCAAGCACCGTGTCTCATTTAACTCAAAATCGGCTGATTTTAGAGAAAAAAGTCATTGATGCTTTTTTGTAGAGCGGACATTTTCCCATTGAAATTTACTTTTGGCAAGCCGAGAAAATGTAAAATGCGCTAGTTACAAGCAAAAAATTAAAAAAAAAAGGTCACTTTTTCATGAAAAATCGAGTTTTCTCAAAAACGGCTGCTGGAACCAATTTTAAAAAATATATTGCGCCAATCTATAGTCCTTCAGAAATACTTTGACCGAAAAAAAAGTCTAGTAAATAAACTTTTCATTTAAAGTTGGTTCCCAAGCACCGTGAGATGTTTTTGGCCAAGTATTTTGATCCCTGCATTATAACATCCACACTAATCACCGGATCTCGCATCATATGAGTTTTTTATTACCCAATATCAAATCAGCTCTGAAAGGAACCATATTGAAAACAGTAGAGCTGTCATAGAAAAAGCGAACATGCGATCAAAAATTTATTAATAGCACTGCTATTAATGGAAAATTTGCATCGAGCTGTTAGGATCGTAGAGGGACTTACTTATATTGAAGGCGATAATGTTAAAATTATAAAAGAAAAGCAATAAACGATTTTATAACACTAATTCGGCGAAATAAAAAAAAACAACATCATAAAAAATACCTTGTGGGTCTCCCGACAACTTTGGTTATCTAAATTCCTTAACTCTCTTAATAATCGTTCAGTCTTGTCAAGTAAATGCAATTGTTGCCTTCTCTCCCAACCAGCTAATCCTAACTGTGAGAAAAATAACCGACAATGCTGGAAAGCAATTTGCTCAGTCGAACTGGAAATACCTGAAAAATTAAATACTCTATACTAGGCGAAAAATTAAGAGTTAGTCAATAAAATTTTTCTAAAGTATAGCTATAGTGAGCTTAAACCTTTTAAATATTATTGGAAAAAATAAATGATATTCAAATTTAAAAAATGTGATCAATAACGTCAAAAAAACAAAAAATGATTTGGTAAAATAAAATACAAAATGTAATTATAACCTCTAACTTTAACAACGCTTCTTCAGAATCTAATGAACCAATTAAAGTAAATTCAAGCAGATCTTAATTTTGACAAAATACATCAATGAAATTAGTCAAATTTTGAGCAAAATTTTAAAAACCAATAAACTATTGGTTGATTGTTATGAGAAAGAAAACTTTAGTAATTAATAATTGTCTTAAATAAACCAGATTCATTTGTTAAGCCTTTCATAACAAAATTTATTATGAAATTCGTACCTATTGTATTCGTGAGGCTACATCACAATTTAATAGTCTGATATACTTACTCTGTTGGTAAGCTACACTTCCAAAAGACGGGTAACTAGACTCTGACCTACTGCTAGGTCTATCTACAGGTTGTCCCAACATGGAGTTTACCAGTTGCGAGTGCCTATTTTCTTCAAATTCTAAGTTTCTTTGGCTAATAACTGACGCGATCGCTTCATTTTCTAGATCCGTAGACATGGGAGGAGCAGCAGGTTCGTTCAATTTTTGATTCACATTTTCCAGACATTCTGGACTCGTATAACCCAGGTATTGAAGTAACTAAACGTACAAAAGTGACGTATATAATGTATCAATTATATATAATAGCAATATTAAAAAGCATCTATTTATATTATTTATGCAATTTAATTTTTTTTTCAATTGTGTAGCGAACTAACTTTTACATGTGTAATTCGTAAATCTAGACAATTCACTTGATAAATGACTGCTGTTATGTAAACACTTATCAGAAACTATTGTTTAGGCAGACGATAAAGAGACTTACATCATCCAGCTGATCCAAATCTGGGGCCGCATTGGATACTTCAGGTAAAATATTAGGCTGTCTATGTCTAAAAGCCCTTTGCGGCAGGTTTCCCAAAGGTGTTGTTCCCATCAAACTCTCAGGTTGAATGATATTTTCTACATTATTAGTAGAGTATTTCTGTATTTCGATTTCTGGATGTTTCGTAACTATCTCTGGATTTCTATAGAGAATTGAAGCATCCCAACTTGATTTCCCGGAGAGATCTCTTAAGAGAACTCGTACCTGCTTGTCAGCAGTTGACAATCCGGCCGTTACCCCACCTCCTGGTAGTTCCAAAGCTGGGAGTTCCACCAAGCTTGATATTATATCTTTAGAGAGAATAAATAGCTGAAAATAATATAAAAATTAGTTTGAATATATTCTTGATTGTTTCAGCAATACCAGGTAGACAATCGAGCTAATGATGGATATATTTTAATACATTAAAAAACTTACTTGGATATTCGAGGCAGAAAAGATACTGGTCGACAAATCGTCAGAACTGAGGTTAGGCACATCATCGTGTTCTGACACCAATGAACTTAGCCTAGTTGCACCTATAGCCATTGGGAAATGTCCCAAATGGGTGACTAGATGGGTCAATATTGTTCTTGCGCATAGTTTGATGGCATCTTGACATTGATTATTTTTGGAAGTCGATAAATTTGCAGATAGTTCAAAATCATCGGAAAGAATATTTGGATCAAAATCGTCGTTCATGCTAGGTTGCGTTAAACCTCCAGGATGTTCTAAGGACGCCTTGCCTAGCATTATCTTATGCAAAACCTTGAAAATGTATAAATTTCAAACTAGTTAAAATCGTAGAATTTTCCAGGACGAATTTGAATATTCATAGTAGAAATTTACCTATAGTCTAGTGTTTGAAGGTAAAAATAGGCTATTACCTCTGAATTCTTTGGATGAAAATTTGTAATTCAGCTTAACTTACTCTGCTCTTCAACAGTTATGTTGTTGTGAGCTTTTTATTTTTAAGGGTTGACTTGAAAACCATATATTTAAGCGTTGCTTGGATTAAAATCTCTTAATGTGCTCATTCAAAGCATCAACTGTTGGACCAAAGGATGTAAGTTACTGTTCTTAGAGGTAGCCTTAATAAAGCAGCTGATAAGTGTATTAGAAAATAGTTATACATATATGGATACCATAATAATTCGTTAGATGCATTTATAAACGAGAATGCAGCAATTCATATGCTCCGAAATTTTCACCAAAAATCACGATTTTTTTATCGATAACATTCTTAATTTTAAAGATATCTAATTGCTAAAAATCCCATTTTCTGCGAATTTCAAGGCTTACAAAGTTAAATTTTCTTGATTTTTTCGCTTTAGAGATTGAATTTAAAGGGCTTGTGGAAAGTGGTACTCGCACTCAAATGAAAACTAAAAAGTGTGACATCTCAAGTAATTTTTACCTTGCAAAAATAAAAACTCTTTTACATAAAACCTACATTTCTTAACGCTTGTATTATTTACGTATATTCTTTAGATTCTAAGGTATTGTTAAATTTTTAAAAATCTTTTCCAAATTGAATCAAACTTGTTTGCAATTTAAGCGTTAAAAACCGTTCAAATTTCGAGAACAAATTGTGCCTAAATAAAGTTAATTTTAAATTTTTGCGGATAATTCAATGGCTTCATCGGAAAAACGAGTCAACCACTTTATTTTGATAACTATTTCAGTTTTCATACTAACTGATTTTAAAAATTTGTCGTTTTGTGTATAACTCGAAAAATATTGATTTATTGAAAAAACCTTCATAGACCATTTTTTTAGAATACTTCAATCTTTCCAAATTTCACGTTAATCGGCTTAGTCCGAAAGAATTCGCAGCCATAAACCTTAAAACACTGGACTACTACTAACTTTTTAAATAACAATTTTTTTACTATTTTCATTATTAATCTCTTCTTTTAATACTCGCAGTTGTAATTTTAAGCTAATATTAAGTGTTGTTACTGCACCTTAAAAATTAATTTTTATAATTTTTATTTTTGAATATTTTTCATGTACGCCACTGTTCTACTGTGATACTATATTATTTACATACTTTGTTACTTTTAATTACCGTGGTGAATCATAAACAACGTAATTAATGCATTATTGATTATAACTAGTACCTAGCAACCAAAATAATTAATTTATGTAAACCAGTGCGTTACCCTTAACAACAAGGTGAATATGATTGACGTTCTTTACTAGTTTCAAAATGTCTTCAACAGAAATACTGTTTGCCAAAAAAGCGCTAAATAAAGCAAAAACTGCACAAACCGTATACGAAAAAACAAAGACTGAAACAAGAGAAAGAAAAAGGAATATTTTGTACCTAATACATAGCTACTTAACGGAGCAAAAATTATTTGATAGTGCAGAAACTTTACAAGAAGAAGCTCAATTAAATACTGAATACCAGGTATGCGAGAATGTAGATTTGGATATCATTCTTCAAGAATATAATAGCTATTATTTTACCAAATTTCAAAAGTATCCAAAAATTGTTAAGAAAATGGAAGAACCTGTATCAATTAATAGTAGCGCTAAACTTAAAAGAAAAACGAGTCCTAGAAGCAAAACAGTACAAATAGAAGATAAAGAGGCTTCTACCAAAAATCCGCTTGAAAATTTCCAATTTGAAATCAAATCGCTTACAGAAAACGCAAAAACAGAAACATCAGAATCTAAAGAAATTAGAGAAACAGAATTTGTCGATTACGTTTTAGATTCTTACCCATCAGACTGGAAAGATATGGCTGATCAAATAAAGAAAGAATTTATCACTCGCGGTGCCAACACATTCTGGAGCGACTGCATAGGCCTTTCTAATGTTGCAGAAAAACTTAAAGAAGCTGTAGTTTACCCCCAATTATACCCTGATTTATTCATAAACGTGGCAACATGGAAAGGAGTACTCTTATTTGGACCCCCGGGTACTGGCAAAACTCTACTAGCTAAAGCTTTGGCTTCAGAGGGTACTACATTTATAAACGTCACCAGTAGTACTTTTATAAGCAAGTGGAGAGGGGAAAGTGAAAAACTGATTAAAATTCTGTTCCAATTAGCAAGAAATTATGCTCCTACTACGATTTTTATTGATGAAGTAGACGCTTTAGCTTCAGCGAACGATATATCAAACCATGAAGCATCAAGAAGATTTAAAAGCGAACTTTTAACTCAAATAGATGGTATGCAAAACTCCAAATCTAACATTTTCGTTCTGGGAAGTACCAATTCGCCCTGGAATTTAGATCCAGCAATATTGCGTCGTTTCGAAAAGAGAATATTAGTACCACTTCCGGATGAGGTGTCTAGACAGCAATTGATACAGAAATATTTGGCCCAACCCAATAATATCGAGGAAAAGGAATTACAACATCTGGCGAAAGTGACGGATAAATTTTCTGGGTCCGATATTAAGGCTTTGTGTAAGGAAGTCACTATGATTATGATAAGGGAAAAAATTAGGGAAATCAATGTGAACGGGAGTAATAAGACTCATATGAATTTGAGAACTGTCAATTTCAAAGATGTGGAGCGGGCTTTGGAAAAAATTAGAACAAGCGTTAAAGATAGTGATTGTACTAAATATCTTGAGTGGAATAAAACATATGGGTCTTGGTGAAAACAATGGTATTTATTTTTGTAAGCCTCCTACATACGATTTGTAGATAATAATACAGTGTGTTCCAAAAGTACTTCAATAAACATTTAGATAGTTATTTTAAGACTTAATAAATGCATAAAATAATAAATGCATAAAATAATAAATTTCCAAATTATTTTTAATTTTTATGAGACTGGAATTTAAAAATAATTTTAAAAATAACCTATCGCAAGTTAATCGTTTTCCACTACATGAGGCTCGGACTATTTTGTCATTATTTGTAATTTTAGAATAATTGTTTAAACATATATTTCTCAAGATGCGGCATGTTTTCATAAATAAGCTAAGCAATGTCTTATCACAAAGGGAGCATTTTTCGTGTAATTATTCAATATATTATGAATTTTTTTAAGTGGCTACGCTTTTACGATGTTCTTTTATTGGCTTTGCTAAGAAAAACAGCTTCATTTTTTTTTATTGGTGTCTGGCTTCAACAACTAAGGTCATTTAGCCTCGTGTTCTATGTAGGTTATGGATTGTACTAGTAGTCTAATACTCCATAGTGTAGGAGTATTAGTACTCTAATACACCCCTACAGACAGGCCTTGTTACTGTTTCCTTGCGCCACTTTAGGAACAGCACTGTTAATTAGAACCCAAAAGGAATGGTCGTAATTACATGAAATTAGAATTTTGACGCTTGAATTTATGATTCAAAAATGATTTCTAAAGGTTGTTTTAAAGTTAGTCTCTCTAAATATTACTAATTATGATTGATTTTTAAGTAAATTCAACATAAAAATCCGAATCTGAAGTTATATGATGAATACAGTGTTAACAATATATATATTTTCATGGGAATATGCACAGTAGCCAGAAATATAAAACATAGTGTATTATCAACTATCCAAAATTAACTCTATTGATAATTTTAAAATATTCAAGAACTTAGATATATCTGCTTACTCTGGTGTGTTGGGATCCTTAACATCACCTATGAAAAAAGGCTTTAAAGAAAATGAAACAAAATTAAAACTTTCCATTTTCGGATTCTAAACCTTGTGCCACAGAAACATGACTTAATTGCCTATACTTGCTTCCCTCTAATCAGTGGCGGCTCGTGGTTAAAGACATTGGGTGTTCTGCAAGATTCTGCTTTTGATTCGATTACATTCCCCAAGAATGCAAAAAATTCACAATATCTTGATTGGTATATTTTTCAATATTTTAAATTTTTTGAAAGCAAAAATTACACAACTTAAATAAATAAAAATATGACAATTCAATTTGTTGACAGATTGTCATTTAGTACATTTCCACGGCATATTAAGATAAAAAATATAAATTAAAATTTAACTATTAATATTATGTAGATGCGTAAAATTGTAATTTCAATTTTCTTAAAATTGGTGAGCGACAGTTATAGGGAATTCAATGCTAATATGGATCGACGCAGAATAATTTTCTGAACAAAATAAAATTATACAGGGTGTTTCATTTAAAATAAAAGTTTTTCATTTTTAAAAATAATTTTCAAACACCCCATTTCAGGTATCTGATATAAATAGTTCCTGAGATAGACGACTTTAAGAAAATGCCTACCAGGGACTAAAAATTTAGAAAAAATTGAATAACGACAAATCCGCTAGAATTAGAATCGGCAAATGGGGTATCATTGTTTACAGAATTTCATGCCGATTCTAAAATTTAAAAAATTATATAGATTCTATTTAAAATAACGAAGTTAGTAGTTAATTCCGGTATAATCGAAAGTCGCACAGATTTCAATTTATTTTAATTTAAAAGAGCATATTTGATTATGTATACTCAGAAATCGGCGAAAATACAAATTAATTTATTCTTCATATGTGGATTTATATCACTCATTACATTTTAAAGCAAGTAATAAGTTTTGTATTCGTATTGCCTAAAGTATAAAAATAATGTTTTCTTAATAGCTATAACTAAAACTATTTTAAATAGTACGGGATTAAAAAATGCAAAATTAATACATTCTAGTAACAACTAAAATCATCTTATCTACACTACTTACCGTGAAAACTTGAAGTAAAAGGCACATTCCTCTGGTTTCTCCATATTCACACACCTCCAATAGTTTCTGCGGTCCCAATTTCATGCACCACTCTCCCAAACAAAACAATAAAGCTGTTCCCAGTGCTTTATCGCTTTCACCTGCTGTGGATCCTAGTGGAGTGTGTAAAAAAAGTGCAGAACACAATGTGGAAATAACTGCATTGCCCAATCGTGGATACTGAGACCATAATAATGGTGCGTGGTCGCAGAGTAGAAACAGTATGTTGCTGGCTAATTGGACTATTATCTTGTTATTAAACTGTAACAAAAAATGGGACATTAAATTAAATAGTAAGAATTACTTCTTCAAACTTTTAAAAGTGTCAAAACTATTTTTAATAAATTGCATATAATTATTTAATCTTGAAATTATTTTATATATTGAAATAACAGTGAAAATGAAAAAGCTTTTTAATTAAAATTCAAATTCAATATTAAAATTGAATGCTTTCTATACAGTCTTTAGTAGGTATATCAAATTGTATGACTACAAATATAAGATAAACTATGAACTGCAGTTTAAAATGGTTATCAAGCTATAAGAGAAGGTATTTAAAACCACCAGAACTTTTTCATTCCTACCTTCAATGCCAGAAGTATAACATTAATCGCATCAGTTACTTTTGAATGGAAAGTTTGATTGTCCAATTCTCTATAAACAAAAATTCCAAGAGCTGACAAAGCTATACACCTAGCTTTGCCCTTTGGTTCTCTCCTACCAGCACGTAACAAAATACTAACAATATGTTCCTAAAAAAAAAAAAAAATCAATATAAGACGCATTTGGAATCATTTGATATCAATAAAAGAGAAAAAAAAATGCTCACCTTTACATCGGGACAAGTTATGATCCGCATTTCCGAATCAGGTTGTAGTACAGAAATGGAATTCAAATTTTCAGTCTGACCGAGCAAGTTTGCCAAAAGTGACATTGCTTCGGTTCTCGGTGCCAATTCCAATTTTTCGGTACTGTTTAAAGTTACATTACAAGCATGGATGAAATCCAGTAATAAAAGTGAAGATCCGGGTAGTTGAAGAGAGAAGAAACGAGGTCCAAGGTATTTTAGACAAGTATTTATTACCAGCTTTGAACTACCAGTTAAAGCTAAAAAAGAGTTTTTTATTTATACACGTGGTACACATCAGGGTCAGCTGTCATAAATGGTACAATACACTATATTAGTGTGACGTAATTTGTTTTCCACTGACAGTTAACGTTTAACAAAAACAAACCATTGAATTTAACGTAATACAAGTTTAGATTTGTTAAATATTGTTTGCAACTCATAAAAAAATAGAAACCAAATTATTTTTAATGGTTAAATGAATACAATCTTGAAAATAATAGAAATAAAACGTTAATGAATAACTGCAATTTTCTGTGGAACACAAATTACGTCATTACCAATATAGTGTATACATGACTTAATTTCAAAGAAACAGACAAATTAAGTATTAAATTCGGCTTTGAGTGTAGAAAGACTGAAAAAATATCAGTCTGAATAGTTAACACTGCAATAATTGGTGAGCATCGTGTTAATAAATGTGGCCCAGTTGTAGTTCGTTCTGTGGTTTCCGATGTTCTAACTTACTGTATGTTTTTTTTTGTAGTAATTTATAGCCACATAGGATGATTCTAGGCTGATAAGAGAGATAGTAATTTGGAAGATGGAAGTTATAATATATAATAAGAGAGTTGATAGTCGTTGCTGACTAGTTAATAATTAAACCAGTAATTAGTGGGTAATGCAGCAAATGAAAGAGTACTTTTTTAAGTTTATTCCAAGCTTTCGGAAATGTTTATTTCCATCATCAGGGAGACTAAAATAAAATAATACCACATATTATGATAAAGTAAGGTAAAAATTTTTTTTTTTTTTTTGTCATCACTTACATCTTAATTAAGGTTGTTCATTTTGGTGGTATTATTCAGTTTAGTAAAAATACAAAGTAAAATGGACAAGCTGAAGTCAATTACAAAATAATATTATACACAAACAATAACTACGACACTTTAAAAAATAAAAATAAAAAATAAAATAAACATTTCCGAAAGCTTGGAATAAACTTAAAAAAGTACTCTTTCATTTGCTGCATTACCCACAAATTACTGGTTTAATTATTAACTAGTCAGCAACGACTATCAACTCTCTAATATATAATATATAATATATAATATATAATATATAATATATAATATATAATATATAATATATAATATATAATATATAATATATAATATATAATATATAATATATAATATATAATATATAATATATAATATATAATATATAATATATAATATATAATATATAATATATAATATATAATATATAATATATAATATATAATATATAATATATAATATATAATATATAATATATAATATATAATATATAATATATAATATATAATATATAATATATAATATATAATATATAATATATAATATATAATATATAATATATAATATATAATATATAATATATAATATATAATATATAATATATAATATATAATATATAATATATAATATATAATATATAATATATAATATATAATATATAATATATAATATATAAATGCGAAAGTTTGGATGGATGTTTGTTGCTCAATCACGCAAGAACGGCCGAAAAGATCTGGATGAAATTTGGCACAAATATGGATTATAGTCTGGAATAGCACATAGGCTACTGTTTATCCCGAAAAAATGTACGGTTCCCGTGGGATCGATTTTTTTGTTTTTCACAGAGCAAGGGATCTGACAATTTTTTGCATAGTGGTAATAAAACATGAAAATTTGAAATACTGCCTAAGCATAAATAAATAATGACATGTTTCAGGGCTTTTGGTTTTTCACATTTTAAGGGACGGGAAACAGGGGTTAAACAATTACATGGAAGCATCGATTTTATTATAGGTAGGAACTTAAAAATTGGAATTATAGCTACTCGTCACAAATAAATAATGGTGTGTTTCAGGTTTTTGGATTTTCATATTTTAAGAGAGGAAAGAGGGAAAATAGGGGTAAGAGGGGAAATGAGGGAAGAAGGAAAATGGGGGAAATGTGTGGGGAGTGAAAGTTTGTATGGTAGGAACTTGAAAATTGGAATTGTGGGTACTCTTCATAAATAAATAGACATGTTTCTAAGTATTTGGATTTTACATAATAAGGGAGGAAACGGAAGGTGAAAGTTTGAATAAGACTTTCGGTTTTTTAATTGTAGAAATTTGAAAATTCGAATTGTAGTTACTCATCATAAGTAAAAAATGACGTATTTCAAGGTTTTTGGAGTTTCATATTTTAAAGAGGAAGGAAAATAAAAAAAAATAAATAAAAATAACTAAAAATAAATAAAAATAAATAAAAATAAATAAAAATTAATATAAATAAATAAAAACTAAAAATTAATAAAAATTAACGAAAATTAATAAAAATAAATAAAAAAATAAAAATAAATAAAAACTAATAAAAATAGTAAAAATTAGTAAAAATTGGTAAAAATTAATAAAAATTAATAAAAATTTATAAAAATTAATAAAAATTAATAAAAATTAATAAAAATTAATAAAAATAAAAAAAAAATAAATAAAAATTAAATTAATAAAAATTAATAATTAATTTTTTTAAATTATAAACATGCGTGCAAAGCCGCGGGTAAAAGCTAGTAGAAGATAATTCAAGAGTTTATTCAGAACCCTTTCTAAATAGCTAATACAAAATTGGTGACGTGGCGCTTACATTACAGAAGAGCACCCAAAGCTAAGCAAATAAGACAATAAAGTTCGGTGCTGTAATAATGAAAATTATGTCTATTCACAAATCCGTTATTATGGAAGGTAGATTAATAAATAAAATATTAATATTTAGAAGTGTATGAAACGCCACTGGAAAAAATGCTTTTTTGGCAATTTTACTGCAGGTAGACATTTGCCATTTTAATTCAAAAACACTAACCACCTATCTAAGTAAAAAATAATATATTAGGAGTTTTTGATTACACGTAGAATTATTTATTTAAAATTTGCATCGATAACTACAAAAATTTAAAAATATCAGTATCTAATTTTTAACCATGGATTGTACAGAATTGTTAAAATAAAGGAACATATTTAATATTTAATTTTCTGTTTCACTTTTCCTATAATACACAAGCACGCTTGAACACACATCATATTTCTTCCTCTTCAGTGATGTATGAAAGGAAACATTTTTAAAACTTAGTTTCCTATGGTCTATTAAAAAAATTACTATTATAACTCATTGAGATGCCACAATTTTTTTTAGGACAACGGATGGTATAACACCTGAACCTGTCTTAGAGGCATCTAAGGATGAAAGATGAATGTAATTTCATTTCTATTAAACTTGTGAGTGGATTACACTCATTAATTTGTAAACATGGAAAGAGACAACCCAGTTGAATCAGACAGATAGAGCTGCTGCCTCATTAGAAAGAGCGAGACGACCTACTAAATTGAGTGGGAATATCGTTAGCGATCACGAGTGTATAGGATGAAGCAAGTACAACAGACTCCTTATTTACACTGTTGCCACACTGCAAAATAAATGGCGTATGATTCTGGAATTCACCTTCAGCTACAATAATAGTTGCAACCAAATAAATCGGTAAAGTTTTTTTACCCAGAACTTCCCTGGATATAATTAATTATATGCGAATATTTAAAGGTGTGAATCTACATGAAAAATTAATGATAGTTTGCTTTATAAACTATGTTCAAAAAATGTTCCGTTACGAAAATTCAGGGTGCTAAAGTTTTGGAAAAAAAAAAGAAAATTAATTATTATTATCGTAATCGCTTGAGATATTTCAGTGATATTTAATATTCGGCGACAGTTAATAATGGCGCATATTTTTCAATACAAAAATAATTTTCAGTTTTAATAGTGGCGTGCGTACGGGCACTAGCCTCAATATTTTTGATAAAAAAAATGGTATGCCAATGTTTTTTTCCCAAATAAAAATAATTTTTAAATTCCCCGTTCAATTTTAAACTCAAAGGCGCTCTTGATTTATTTCCCTACGTTTTTGAGTAAGAAAAAAAAAATAAATAAAAACTGTTGTCCGAGAAAATTAATGTAATTATTAAAAAACAAAATAAAAAATGACATTTGGACCATATTTTATAAAGAAAACTATCACTAATTTTTCATGTAAAGTTACACCCTTAAATATTCGCATATTATTAAGGAACATCCCATAGAAATTGTAAAAACAGGGAACTTCTATGCACTTACATTTTAACAATTTAAAATTAAAACCACCAGGCCAAAAACCCTTTTTCACCTTCCTCTCTCTTCATCGATCTTCCTCTTGATACCACCCGAACTCTTACTTCGCGTGCGCCCGGTGTTCTTCATCAAAATCACCTTTATGGAACGATAATAATTGGTTGCTTTTAAAACGGTCCAGTTACACAAACGAAAAGGACGCTTTTTATTATTTCAATCCAGGGGGACTTTTTTTATTAAATATGATTCCTTTAAGGTAGTTCACTCGTAAAACGGATTTTCTTAAGAATTCAATAAAATTGAAATATAAGGTTAATGAAAGTGTCTTTTACGTACCTAAAAAAAATTAAATTTTTTGACCGTCTGTGAAACGAGATATTAACAATCAAAATGTGCATAATTAACACTATTGAAGCCTGTCTGTATACAAGCAATGCATTTATTTCAAGATATCTAGAAAACGGTTCTTACTATATCTTTTAAAAACTAATAGTAATGTAAATCAAGAAGTATATTTTCTAAAAAAAAAACGCTGAATTTTTTGACCGTTTTGATATAAAAATATAGATTTTTGAAATAAAAATATTTTTAAAGTATTCGACGCGTAGTGGGGTACAATGAATACGACTTGGCAAAATTGTAATCGCTAAAATTAACGCGCATTAACTCAAATATCTGCTAGATCAGTGCTCCCCAGTCTTTTCATCGCCGCGGACCGGCTAAAGTTTGATAATTTTGCCGCGGCCTGCCGAGGGGGCCGTTGATTGTTTATATTTTAGTGTGTTTTGATTTAACAATTTTAATTTAATTATATTTAAACATGCCTTCATAATAAAATACAGTTACACCAAAAAATGAATATAAAGTGAGTTAACATTTTAACTCACTAACACGTTAAATCAATGAGAATACTGAACTTGTTTCTTTGCAACGAGATGGTTTCATCTGGGACAATAGGAAACAATGTCGCCCGAAGTGTGTTGTTTATGTCCAGTTTATTCCATTGTTTTGGTTGAAAACCCCGCTTCACCCAGATAGGTCGTCGGAAATATGAATCTCAAGGTATTGTGCCACGACTTTGATCCAGAACACCGGCAGAGTTGATGTCCCGAACGTAGTTTTAAGGCCGCCATCATCTGCAATCTCCAGCAGTTGATCTTCTTGCACAAACATGGTAGATTCGTCTGATTCATTAACAAATGGATCGAGGATACATTCCTTACCATTTCGTGGTTGGAAAGTAGCGCTCGAATTCTTTTAAAAGCAAAGACAGGTGATCGTTTACCAACTGGAAGAATCATTTTCAGATTCAATCTCACCGAATATGTCACACAGAGTTTTGCGACCCATATCTTGTCACTGAAATGTGCTGCCAGCTGAGAGAAATCTTTGGAATGGCTCTCATAATTAATTGAATTACATTGATTAGCGATGGAATTTGATATTTCTTGGGCGGCCCGGTACAATTTGATCCACATAGCGGTACCGGTCCGCGGCCCGGGGACCACTGTGCTAGATTACTTTAGGCTTGTATTGGTTCTTTCAGAAACTAGTTCAGAATAATTGAATTACACTCGATCAGCTAAGAGGTTGTTATAACCTCGCGATGTGTTCTTGAAAAATTAATTCGTCCACTGTATTTGAGAGATGGAATCGACGGTTCTGTTTGAACCAAAACAAACCCTTAAAATTAGTATGAGGAAGTCACAAATTTCTATAGGTATACACACTCACTTGATAGTCATTCATATATTTGCGACGTTGCCGGATGGATTTTACTTGTAATAATAACGTATCATATATAACCTTATATTTGTTGTGTACAGTCTCTTACAAAAATAACATTTTTTAGCATTGAGAATCTCGAACTTTTGGTATTCACCATTAGGCGATATTTTTGTGTACGACTGTCGTGAGTAAACTACCTTAAACATTATTTTGAATTTTTAAAAACTTATTTAGGATCCTGTTACCTTCGACTTTTAAAATACTTGATACTTTAAAAATATATTTTTTAAACTGCTCACCCTGTATATACTCGTATGTATATAACTGACTGAAAGTATTACTGGTTTTGAGCCAGAATAGAATCTCACTCGCATACAAAAATTGAAGTTTTTTTAAAAACTGTTTTTGAGCTATCTCTTATTGAGGGAAGTAATAAGACAACCATAATATGAATGTTTGCAATTCACCTTCTGTAAACAAAAGTTCTCCAGTAGTTGTTCATCGTTGTTTCAGAACCATCTTTCTGTATTTTTTATAAATCCCGTTTTTTTATATCAGAAAAGTTTGCAGGTATGTATTATTAATTAGTTCCTTAATTTATCAAAAATGAAAGAAGTAATATGTCATTAAGATGACTTTTAAGAGCTTCAGCATAACAATTTATTCATTTCTCATTATATTTATTTATAAGAAATTTTATTTTTAACAATTTAATTTTAAGAAAAATAGACCATTTCGCTCACCTATATGTAAAAACCTGTAGACCTCTGGTAAATAGGTCAGATGCTTGCTATCACAGTTTACAGTTATAGTACAGATAAGCCTTAAGGCATTCAGTTTACCAGCTTCATAAGTTCCGGGAAGTATCAAAGCTCCAAAACACCAAGGAAGAATCAAAGTTAGTGGTGGAATTAATTCAGGAGGTTGTGGAGTACTCATGTTATCGTAAGATACACCCTGATTTCGACTGATTTTGATTAAAGTTTCTGTAAGCTTAACTAAATATTCGAATACTTGAGAATGTAGTTTTGGATCTGAGATTTGGTTAACGTCACCCAACGCACCTAAAAGAAATAAGTATATCGCATAAATCAATGCTTCCTAAGAAAAACCGTGGAAATAGAGCAAAAAAAGTCATTTTTAATCTAAAACAATTAATTAATTGTTATACCTAACATTCTCTTCCACAGGATGACAGCTACATCTGGCAGCCATCCCCTTACAGAACCACCGCAAATTACTCCCCTATTTTCTCCTGATGGTTCAGAAATGTGGTGGTCCACAGAGAGCATATCTAACTGAATAGGAGAATCTTTAATAGAATTGCTCTCTATTCCGCTAGAGGGTGCTGGACTAGGTGAGCGAGTACGGTCAGTGGATTCCGTGTCTATAGGGCAAATGTTTTCAAGAGATTTTGACCGTCTTCTATTAGCCTGAAATGCAAAATATACAAAGTATAATAAATATTAAAATCTGACATAAGAGTTGATTTACATTTCTTTGTTTAATCCGCACAGATCTTCTTTTTACAGTTAGATCGTTGTCACTGTAACTCCTGGTTAATGTTGTTCGAGCTCTTTTTAACAGTAGATGACCATCTGGCAAAGTGGAATCCTGTCTAGAAACATTTTGATGTACAGTTTCTCCTATGCTGCTAGGAGTACTATGTTCTGGTCTACTAGTAAGTCTTCTAGATCTTTTAGATCTGCATTCATTTAGTCTATCTAGAGGAAGATTTGTCAGATCGAGGTTGTAAACGTGGCGAGCTAGGACTCTTGTTAGAGTTTCCATAGTTTTCTAAAAAATATTTAAACTGAGTTACCTGGTATACTTACTAAACTGATCTGCAAGCTTAAATTTAATATTTTAATTCTGACAAATATACTTGCTTGAAAAATATCAATCGATTCCATTTATTCATATGTACACCTGACTAACAGTAAAACATTCTGAGAAGATTTTTATTTGCAAAACAGAACTATCTTGAAAAATTAATGACTAGTAAAAATTTATCAATGAGTCAACAATACTATAAATATAATTGCAGTTTTTAAGTGATATAAAGAAGAAGATAGAAACTGTTATTGTTTTGATACAATTAGTATTGTATAATTTGATTTAACAAAAAAGGTATTTGGAGAATTGCTAGTATAAGTGAAAAATAATGATTCTGAAGTTGTAACGTTCAAGTAGTTAATAATAAGTTGTACTTTACAATTTTGAAAATAAATCACTAGACATTTAAAGAACGTGTCTAACAATATTTATATATTTTTTTTTACTTACTGCCCATTCTTTAATTAATTCCTCCCAAACGGTCAACGTGGTTAATACATGCAAAAATCTGTCCCACAATTCTCTACTTATCAACACATTTAAGTTAGCTTTAATCCAAGTAACAATCAATGTTTGAAATATTGCAGGAGCCAATTTTCCACCAAGAGTAGACCCTTTTTTCTTTGGCGGGTTTTCTCCGAGTACAAGGGATGTTATTTGGAGGAGAACCAGCAAAAGTTGTTCCCTGAAAATTAAATGCACAGGTTACTGAACCTATTAAAACAAAATAAAAATGTTTTTAAATTTACCATGTGTTACTGTCCATTCTGGTATTCATTACCATGTACCGATATATATTTAACACTCTTTTACAAGCGTCTGTTTGTTCTTCAAGCATTCTTGGTACATGAGAATTGATTTCGATAAGGAAAACGTTGGCAGCATGAGTCATAAAAATCTGATACAAATTCTAAAACAAAAACAGTCTAATTAATAATATAAAGGGTGGTTCCGAACTGAGGGAACAACCTCCTACAGATGGTTTCTACTGTCAAATTAGGTAATGTAATGTATCATTTTTAATATTTCAAAGTAAAAAGAGTTTTTTTAATAACTCGCCCTATAATATTTATAGACTTGAACATTTGGGAGCAGTTATTAGATAGTTAGAGAGCCATTTCTGACTTAGGGCCAGTCTTTTCACTTCTGAGTAAAGTTGAAAGTAACTACTTGCTAATTAAATTATAGAGCTATTGTTTGTTAATCTGTCAAGTAAACTTACATGTAACTTTACTCAGAGGTGAAAATGTTTCTATTATACCAGTGGTATTCAAAGAGATTATTATTAATTATAATAGTGAATTTCAATGAAAACTATCTCCCCTTAATAATTTTAAAGCAGAGGCTTTTATGAATATAAGTCAAAAATTTTATAAAGAGGGGACGACTAAGGAATTAAATCAAAAGACAGGCTCTTTTTGGAAAACCCCAGGTTGATCCAACAACGTATAGAACCCACTCACCCAAGGATCTGTACAAACTTGTACAAGGTACAAAGGTGATAGAGTGGGTGCTATGAACTAACATGGGGTAAAACACAATAAGCCAATAGGCTTCAGTGTTATTCGGAGACACATAGTCAGACGAGCCCAGGAGAGAAAAAAAAAAGGAATTAAATAGAAGAGGAAGAAAAAAAAAGGATGAAAAGGAAAAGTGCGTAAAGAAAGTGCAAAAACAGGCAAATTTAAAACGATTAATTTTACACCTCAGGTATACATTTTTGGAATCGAATAATAGGAAAATACAATAATATACAGGATGTTCCATTGAAAAAAAATATGGAGGGTGGCGAGAGGGTGAAAGTTACAAGTATACATGAGCAGAAGGATATCTCGCTTTATATGATTTTTGACTTATTTTTGTATTTTTTCATTAAAGGCTCACCTTTAAAAGTATTTAGGGTGGATTGTTTTCATTGGAATTCAGGATTTGTATAAAAAAAACTAGGATCTTAACGAATTTTACAAAAATTCAATCGCTTTGTACCCCACTCACTAACATTCGAGTGGTTGGTCCTTATGATTTACTATGGTAAGTTGACCGTTTTAAATATTTTCACGATATATATTTTACAGAAAATTGTATATAGAAATATTGGTAGCCATAGAATTCATTTGTTTTAAGAACAGGCCATATATCGCCCTGTCCACTACCGTTGAATTGGTGGATCACTACCGTTGCTATTATTCTACCAACGGCAAAACAAATTCAAAGGCATGCATGTGTTTATTATTTCTATTTTTAATCTTTTCTAGTGTACACTTTAGTATACAATGCATATAAAACTTTGTATAAGTCAATTGCTGTTCTGCAGTTAGGCATGTCCAGTCAAAAAGTTGATGATTGCCTGGCCTGTTCTTAAAGCAAACGAAGTCTACCGCGTTGTTTACAGTAGATGAAAACATATATTCATTACACAGGGTATTCACAAACTCTTTAAAAAAGGAAAACTGCAAATTTTAGAGCTCATTTTATGTCGATTTGCCGTAAATCACCTCATACAAAAATGGTTTAATTTAAATACCTTCAAAACGGTTTCCTTTTAAAAGTGACATTCTTTCTGTACATTTATTTCGAGGAATATGCCCAAATCTATGGTGCGAATGATAATTTTTAATTGTAATCATAAGCGGCTTCTTTGGGGAAGAAGTATTTGACATTCTTATTCATAACTTTTGCTTTCAAAATTTCGCCATTTTTATTTCTTCATAAAAAATTATGCTCTTATCTGTAGTAGCTATAAAGCACCGATTTCAAAACAAAATAGATTTGAACTTTTTGTATGCCAATGTTTACTTTCCATTGATTATCTCATTTCTATAATATGAAAAATGGGCTATGTAATAAAATAAATATGTATGAATATCAAACTGTGCAGAATTTTATCACATAAAAGGAAACAGTCTTGAAGATATTTGAATTTAACCGATGTTATTGTGCCATCTTTAAAGAGATCTGGCTCCCTTAGCAAGCTTTTTTGGACAAAATGAGTTACGTCAAATGGCACAAAATAAGCTCCAATTTTATTTTATGAAGATAGTTTATAACAAACTGTTATCATCTATTTTAAACAATGTTGTGACCGAGAATAACAACCACAGAGAAGCGACAAAGCCGGTCCCGCAAAAAAATGGAGTGGGGGGGGGGGGTTAACCCGACAAACTGTCATTTTATATTTCACTTGTCAGTTTAACTAGTTTAGTCGTGATTCTTGATATTTGCTGATTCGTTTTAAGTTAAAAATATATTTTATTTTATAAAAATGTGTTTGATTTGCTATTTAAAAACTGACAATCTACCTTTTCCGTTATTCGACAATTTCACATTACTTATGTTCAAAAAAAGCGCGGACTTTTAAATCTAGTAATTTTTTATACAACTTATTTTATATCTCTCCCTCTGTCATCTTTACTTTAAACAACTGTCATATAGTCTATATAGAAGGGGAGTCAGCGACACTTTTTTGGTACACATTTGCATGAAATATTTGTAATTTTGTCTTGCGCAAATAACACACCTAAAAGTAAGACTGGGTTACAAGTAATAAAAGTTAAAAATGACATTTACGGATGTGTAATTGGAACTCCGAGTAGGAAACATAACAACAATAAATTTTTAATTTTAATAGGACGTAGGATTTATGCATGAGTAATATATAGACCATTTTAGGTCACGTGGTTTTGACATGACGTTGACATTCACTGAGGGGCATACATAATTTATTTTGCTATTGTTTTTTTATATAGTCTAAACGTGTGTACGCTGTTCTTTGGGCTCTTTTCAAAATATTACTGTATATTGTAACTTTTTTTAACAAAAATGTTTCGTAGTGAGTATTATTGTTCTCTTGGTGGTGACGTAAAAGTTCGTTATGACGAAAAACTAAAAATAATAGACAATATTGATCCCTACTGCCTGAGGCATGATGACTTATCTGTAGATATAAGTTTCTTGCCGTCAGTCAACTTAATCGACTTAATGAACTATCTTGTTTTAACCAATAGTTTTTATACTGGGCAGCAGTTGAAGGCTTACAAATCACTACAAGCTTTTAAATATTATGAAGCTGGGTATGTGCAAGAGGTTTTGGCTAAAAGGATGGAGTCAAGTACTTGTATTATTCTAGCCAAAGTAAGTTAGTTTATATATTTATATTAGGTATATGATTAAAGGAAATTACAAATTGTATTCTATTAAAAACATTATTTTGACTTAAATTTTTTGTTACAGGTCATGCATTCTCAAAAAAGGAATGAAAAACCTCTTCTTGTGTGGATTGCTTTATTATTTGATGGTGCAATATCCACTGGTCATTGTAACTGTATGGCAGGTTTGGGTGAAGTATGCAGCCATATAGCAGCAGTACTTTTTTTTCTTGAAGCACGTCCTGTTGGTGGTAGCACCCAAGTTTCATGTACTGAGTTATTGGCTCAGTGGCCAATACCTGCTGCTAAACGTGTGGAAATGATGCGCATACGGGATATGAGCTGGGCAAAAAAAACAACAAAACCAGTAAGCACATCAGCCTTAATGTGTACACCCATAGAAGAAGATGAACTAAATGTTCTAATAAGGGATCTCCAAAATATGGGAATTGAATCAGCTATTGGGAGGATTAGGGAACCGTTTGCAACAGAAATGATGAAGCCTGCAACACAGATTCTGAGTGGCTTGCAAGATCTTTTTAATGAAGAGTTACTTTTAAAAACATACGAAGAAATATTAAAGATATCAGAGGCCACAGACATTAATATAAATGAAAATGATGTGAAGACCATTGAAAAAGCAACTCGAGGCCAAACTAAAAGCAATGCCTGGTTTAAGTTTAGGGCTGGCCGAATCACTGCTTCAAAATTTAAAGCAGCATCTAGAGCCAAATTAGGAAAGCCACCCCTTTCATTAATTAAAGGTATATGTTATCCACAAAAAACAATATTTTATTCTAAACAGACCACGTATGGCATTAAAAATGAAAGTACTGCTCTACAAAACTATTTAGAAAATATTGAAAAGTATCATGAAAATATTGAAGTGAATACTTCGGGCTTTTTTATTTCTAAAAGTTATCCACAGGTTGGTGCTTCACCAGATGGATTAGTTTCATGTACATGTCATGGTCCAGGATGTGTTGAAGTGAAGTGTCCCTATTTATTGCAGGATTTAACTTTGGATGAATATGCTAAGAAGAAAAGTTCATGCCTAGTACAAACTAGTCCTGATAATTATTCTTTAGACCATAATCATCTATATTTTTACCAGGTACAACTGCAGATGTTTGTAACAGAATTGAGTTACTGTGATTTTGTAATTTGGTCAAAAAAAGGAATATTGATTGACAGAATATATTTCGATGAAGAATTTTGTCATCAAAATTTAAAAAAATCTATAGAGTTTCATAAATTTGTAATAAAACCAGAAATGTTGAGTAGGTATTTTACCATAAATGAAGGTTTAGCAAAGGTTCAAACATGGTGTAACTGTGTCAAACCTGATGATGGAAGACCGATGATACAATGCGACAATGATGATTGTAATATCAAGTGGTTTCATTTAGATTGTGAAGGACTTCTTGAAATTCCAGAATATGGCTGGTTCTGTTCAAATTGTTAACTAATTGTAAATAAATATAAGTAATTCTCTTTATTGTAAATAAATCTCAGAAAAACAGATAATGTAGTTTTATTATAATATTAAAAGATTACAAACATTTTTCTACAGTAAATATGAAAATACATCAATTATTTGTATAAAAAAATCAAATATAATGTAAAGAATTATTGCTGAACACTCATAAAAAAAATACTCCAATGAATTGAGAACATCCTCCTTTTTGGAAGTCTGTTAAAAATGTGATTAAACTAGTATAAACAAGAATCTCAAAAAATATATTGATTCTAACAAACCTAAAATTTTATACAAAACCTTAAATTAAATATATACAGTTTTTCCTTCTAGAAAACAACAACTCTTAAATATACATTTTTTTTATGAAGATATATACAAAAAATTATTCCATAGGAATTTGAGAGGGACATAAATTTATAAAGGCACTACACACCACTAAAATTTTATCAAGAGCACTCATATTATCTCTAGTCACAGATAACATGCTAATAGGTATTGGACCTTGAATTATTTTAAATTTTTTTTTAAGAAGACCTATGATTCGTTCTACATGTATTCTTACACTAGCGATATGTCGTGTACTTTCTAATTCCCTTGGATGAAGCTGTTTTTTGCCTTTTGTAAAGGCTGGGATTTGTAAATGCCCTCCAACTATTTCAACTGAATCTTTTATTAAAAAGCCTCTGTCTGCTAATACCACATCTCCAGTCAAAATTAAATTTAAAAAGCCACAATTTTCTGTTAAGTATTTATCACTGGTTCTTCCACCCCAAGCCTCTGAAATATAACTTATTGTACCTTGTGGGGTAATTCCAATTAAAAACTTTACAGTTTCATGATGTTTGTAGTTAGACCAGCAACTTGCCATGTTTACTAGGCCAGATGGTGTTTCTGTAAATATTTCAAAACAGTCTATTATAACTGCAACACGATCCCCAAAATTTTCTTTGAAACAAGCAGGCATATTTTTTCTTAGAATTTCCCTTTCTGGCCAGATAACAAGTTTTTTATATTTTTGATATAAAATATCAATACATTTATAAAATGTGTCTGAAGCAGTAGCAGGAGATATGCCAAATCTGTATGATAAATATTTAAATGGCAAATTTAGGCGCAATCTCATTAATGTTAACAAAACTTGTTTAAAAGGGCATAATATACATTTTGTAGACAAAGAAGAAGCTATGATATTAAACAATTTGAACATCATAGAAGCTTTTGGAAATCCTGTAAAATACAATGTCTTTGAATCATTGTCAACGAATGATTCTTCGGTAACATCCAAGGCCTTTAATTTTAGGTTAAGGGTTTCAATTCTCTCAGTACAAAAATTGAGATCTTGAAGCAGTTTATTTAAATATTCCATATTCAAATCAGTTTGTACACCAGCATTTATTTTACCATCTGTGTTAGAACACAGTGAGTGTTCTACATTACTTGTTGATGGCCCTGGCACAATTTCTACATCTTCTACAGATAGTAATGGATCTAGTTCACCCTAAAAGTTATTTATACATTAAATAAATCATAATGAAATTATAATTTTTAACTAACCATTCTAGGACGTTTTCTTCGTATATTTCTCTGATGTCGTTCAACAGCTTGAGGATCTTTTGAATTAGTTGTAACATACCCCATGTTTTGAGTTGGTATCCAGTCTGGATTAATCCTATCTTCGAGCACTGAAGGTTGTCCTAAAACAGCAAAAATGTTTTCGGTTTAATATGACTCTATTTTTATGTTAAAAGTATTTTTAAGCTAAATAATTTAGTGAAAATCATAGTTTTACATTAGTATTTACCTGTTATAAAGTGATTTGAGCAAATCCGTGCATTTTTAAGAAACGTTTCGCTTAAATTTCCTCGTTTTAGGGACCTAACCCAACATTCTCGACGTTCTCGTGATTCAGCATCTAATTTTTCTCCCCGGTCTTTAAAAGCCGCGGGGATTCTAAAAAAGCGTACTTTATCCCTTTCTGCCCTATTTGCACAACCTACCACAGCACAAAAAGAAGGCATATTTAATAATTTTAATGTTAAAAGAAGCTCACTTTACGTTGTTTACAATAGCAAATGAAGTTTGTGTGACCCTCAGCCAATATGGCGGAACCCTTGTGACGTCACCATGAAATGATCTATAACGCGTCTTTTTATCCAACGTTATCGCAACGTTGGCATCAGTGCGATATCTACCTTTCCATTTGTTTTCTCATCAAATATATCAATGATGAACTAACAGCGCTGTCTTTTTATCCAACATTGCTGCAATCGATGTTATTTAATTGTTCTATTGAGGGAAAAACCGAAAAAATGGGCTTTTACAAAACATACTTTCAAATTAAGGTATGGTACATTCAAATAAAATTATAAACACAAATTTTTAATTCAAAATGTCAACTGTTATTTATTTCAACAGTCAATCATAAATAAACCGAATCCAACACAAGGCGTTCAAGGTCGCATCAGTGAAACAGCGAATCCAACAAACTGATGGAAAAAAAGACACACCATTAATAACGGGAAAGGTCTATTATCATTTTTTTTATATTTGTTTTTAGAAAAATTAAATTAAAAGTTTTAAAATTACAAAAACTACTGTAATAAAAACCAATATTTAATTATATACATTTTTTGCACACTAAGGTAAAATATTATTTTCAATATCAATATATTTTTTTCTCAGTGTGAAGGTTGATACATGTGTGCTACTGTTCTGATTGGTCTGGGAACGGCTCATATGTTTGGATGTTGTGATTGGTTTACTAGATTAGAACGGAGAGAGATAGAGTGTATGTTGTAACTATTAAAAACACAATGTATATTTGTTTTTAACGATTTATTTCAACTACATCCATTACCGCGACTACGATAAATTTGCGAGTGTGAGAGAGTTAGCAATAGTATTTAAATTACTTAAAATTTTCCATGAGTGAGAAGACTATATTCTGCGAGCGTAAATACTAGTAAATATGTTGCAGGTGTGCAAATTATGTTTTTCTTGGAACTCAAAATCCGTTAGACTGCATTTTTGCTGCTTCCAGGAACGTGTAAGATTTTTAAATTTGGTAATGCAATGTACTAATTAAATAATAAAATATATTGTTTTTATGTATACTATATATTATTTATACGGGGTGGATCATAAAGAGAGTAACTGAAGTATTTTTTAAAAAATGTTTGTCATTTCTGAACAAACAACAAGGTATATTTCGTTTGCTTTAAGAATAGGTAAAATACGTCATGTACCAGAATACCCTGCAATCTAGTTTGTATCGGGAAAATCTCGAAATTTGCCATAGAGAAAGGTTATGCCGTTTTTATGTAAAATTTGTTAAATCTTAAAACATTTGTTTTGTAATTTTTCCAGTGGCGTAGAAAATATGAGTCTAAAAAGGCAGCGAAACTCAGTGCACCCAAGTCTGAAACTTTAACTATTTAATAACTTGCAAAATAAATGAGTATTTTCAAGAGTGTAAAAATATTTAATAACCAAGTCAATAGTTTTCAGAGGTGAAGCCATCATCATAATATTTATATATTTTATGTAACATGTATAAATGAACAAACCACACTAAGGGCGGGTTGTACAATAGGCAGTTAAAATGTAATCTTAGTTTAAACTGTGAACCTCGTTGTATAATTATCGATTAAACATAGTTTTAAAAATGACATTTGTACTTTGAATATAACCAATTAAAAATTAAACTCATGGGGGCTAAACTGTGTTTACAGCATTCTTTGTACAACCCGTCCAAAGAAAACGAGTTTTGAATAAGTATGGTCAGATAAGGACCACCACTGTTAATACTGTAGTAACCACTGGAAAATGAATGTCCAAACAGCAAAGAATAAGTTAAAAAAAATATCTAAATTGAAATGAATGAAAATGTTGGGAATAGAGTAGGCGCAGTATGGAGAGAAAAGCTATGTGATAGTAGAGTACCAAAGAGCTAAGATAGATAGAGGGAGCATGAGAGCGACTTATATCTTATATGTAAACTTACATTTTATATTTATGACAATTTCTCTCTCTCTCATGCTACCTCTATCTACCCTAGCTGTTAGAGTCGCTTTGATGAATGGATCGGAATGAATTGTGTACATATAGGAGCAGAAAATTCAATTTACGTTGATGAAATGAGAATACTGCGATGGATGTATAGTTGGAAATATGAGATTATTCTTAAGTGTTTAAAGCACTTTATAAGCACTTAACTATAAAAGTGGAAAGATCGTATGTTGAGGGAAGAAGTAACAGAAGCAGAATAAGAAATATTGTAGAATATTAAAATGAAGTTAAAGTAAAGGAAATTTAAACTAAAATGGCACAGAATAAGATAAAATGGTGGAAAATTACAGGTAGTCGACCCCGTCTCAGAGAAATTACTGAGATGATAAATGAATGCCATATTAACCCAAATCCACCTAAACAACTATCTGAGCAGTATTATAACATGCTATAATGCAAGTGCCTACTTTAGTATAATAGCTAAAAATCCAAATTAATAAAGTCGATCCTACCTGAGTTCCTGCTCTTATCAACAAATTTTCTTTATGTATAGCTCCCAAATACGAATCATTCCTTAATCTAGGAGGTGGCTTGTTCTCGCCCTCAGCATTTTCTTCATTTCTTGGCATTTCATCGGGCAAATCAAGAGCATAGGGTGGTATTTCAATGACGTTTCCTTGGATAAGATCTTTGTAAAGTCCGATAATCTTTCTTATGGCTACTACGTGTGTAAAATTTAGAAGAAAAGCTTGCCGATACAATTCATGAATAAAATTAACGTTATCTCTGCTACTATATAAAACTTCACGGACTATTTGCGGAGCTAGTTCCTCATCAGATGTTGTTCTGGTTTGAATTGAAAGAGCTGGAAACAAATAAATACAGTAATTAAAAAATTGGCATTTGAAGAATTTTTGTTTACAAATATGTTGGATATTTTAAGCATTTTTATTTTATTACATTCAGATCAATTATTGTTCATGTGCTCACTTAAAAGGTGATAATAGTTTTATGTATGTCAGTTAAAAAAAGAGATTTTGATAAATATATTATAGTGTTATCAATATTATTGATTGAATTAAATTGCAAAGGAAGAAAGGTGTTGATTATTATTAATTATTGTGTATGAGTCGTAACCCGTAAGCCTTAATAATAATGGCTTTACAAATATTATTTTTATTTGGAGAACTTACTTGAATCCAAGCTAGGATGAGATGAATCATGTTGTGAATCTTCTTCATGTGACCCATGTGAATGTTGGGAATATTGAGAGGGCGAATGAATATTTTGGATGGAAGCTATAGAAGGTGGACCTGTACTGTCCCTATTATCGTGCCCCTTTTTTGCTTGGTGCATGTAGTTTATAGTCCACAATATTAAACTCACTCTACAATGTACAAATTCATTTTCACTTTCTGGTCTTCTAAACAAGGGGAGGTCTGAAATTTCAATTACGGTTATTCACGGAAAGTAATCGTAAGAATTCAACAAAAAAAATTTAATACCTTAAAAGTATTTAATATTTTAAAACAATATAAAATATTACCTAAATTTGGTGAATACAGAGATGTATCTTTACAAAAATTTGGACAGATCTTAGTTACATAGTACAATTTGAATTTTTCCAACAAAAAACTGAAACATCTGTGATGATGTGCACTCTTGTCTTGCCATTCTAACTTCACAACCTAAAATAATTATTTCAATTTATTACAACAAGCGTGATCATAGAGTAATTATAGTGTGTAATCTGCAGCTTTAATCTCTGAGCAAGTTTTACTTACAGTGTGAACCATATACTCCAACAGTGCCTCCAAATAAAATTTGCTGGAATTATCGGGCGCTTTTTCACCACTTGATGGAGGTAAAATTGGTAACAATTCAGTCGCTGTTACAGGAAATTGGGAGCTGGTATCGTGAAAAACGCTTCCGCAGTTTTGCGACTGAAAAACATTTTGATTTCCAAACCCTGGCACCAGAGCCCCAAACATATTGTGAACGTATTCTGGTGCATTTTCGTTCAAAGCTTGATACCACATTAAAAAGAATCTATAAAAAAAAAACCAATAAAAATCCATGCAAATTGGTAGTTCCATGTGAAATTAACCATTATATTGTTAGAATCAGCGAATTAGGATATCGCCACCACTGGGGTCGACGGTACCACGTCTGCCCGTTGCAGTGTCTAGAGTCAGCGAATTAGGATATCGCCGCCTTTGGGGTCGACGGTACCACGTCTGCCCGTTGCAGTGTCCAGGACCAGGAGAGCGGGGACTTGACTTTCGACCAGCCGAACGCTTTAAAGACATTCTTTATTTTGTTCCTTAATTAATTACATTTCAAACATTGTTTACGAGATATTTAATAGAACGTTATAAAACCATGTTAACACGTGTTTTATAAAGTGGCTATACAGGGTGTTATAGTATACAGGGTGCTAAATATTTTAAAAACAATAATTTTGAAGTTAATTCTTTTAACTTCTAACATATATATATTTTTTTTGTTTTAATATAAGGTTCTCCTTTCAGGAGGCCTTACAGCCGTCGTCCTGTTAACTTCTTAACTATCGCGAGACGCGAGTGGATTTTCGAGTCGACTGGGACAGCCAGCCTCGTCCGAGAAGGTCGTCGCGTAGTAAATAATTGATTTACTAATCGAAAAGGTTACTTTTTGCAAATGGAAGGCTCCGAAAATTCCGTTTTGACCATTCATTAATTTTAATTATTGGGGAATATATTTTCTGTATATAGGGAACGGTGTAGTTTTCCTCATTAGTTTTAGTTCTTTATAATTCACCTGCTACATTTGATTACATTTATTTGTTGAGAAATTTATTTTCTGTATACTGAGAGTGTTGTAAATTTCCGTATCAATGTTTTTTTTTACTTTTTAGTTTCTTTATAAATCACCTGTTTTATTTAACTAATTTTATTTAGTGAAAAATGTATTTTCTATATACAGGGTGGAGCATAATCGCCTCCTGAATTTTGAACCGTTATTTTTTCAACTTATTTATTTTTTTTTTGAAAATTAATTGTACTTTGTAGTAAATTTATTTTGTGTATACAGGGTGAAGTATAATTGTTTCCTGAATTTTGAACCGTTAATTATTTCAATTCATTTTTTTTTTTTTTAATTAATTATACTGTTGGTAAGCAATTTTAATTTATGTAAAAATGTATTTTCTGTATACAGGGGGAATCATAAAGTCCCGTTTAATTATTTGATTTCCTTCATTCCAAAAATTGACCATGTATTTCAACATTAAAATTTAATTTTTCCCGAAAACGGTCGACTTTAGAGCGTATGACCAAGAGTACCTTTTTTGTGTAGAAAACATTGGCGGTTCAAATGGGCGTCTCAAAACCGTACTTTTTCCAGTGGCGTAGAAATTTTTTTTTCAATTTCAACACCCTGTCTCTCGAAAATGGTGCATTTTAGAGGGTAAGTTAATAGAAACGTTTTTTCAGATTTTTGGACGAGCTATCACGTCCTGAAGTCCTGCACATATATTATGAAACACCCTGTATATGGCATCTTCCTGAAACCCCATCTCCAGGGCTTCCGAAAAAAGTTAACATTTGCAACCAAGTTCAATTCTGTTGACTTGCATGAACGAAAGCCAAATTGTTGCAGTGTTATGATACTAGCGCAGTCATAAGTTAAGTAGTTCGTTATGATGCTTTCATAAAGATTTGGGATTATGCTAATTTTGGATATGGGACGGTAGTTTTTAATTTCAGATTTTTTTACTGGACTTGTATATTGGTATCCAATTATTTGTTAAAAATTAAAAACAGAGGACGAGACAATAATATAAAAGCTGCAGTTTTTCAGGAGTAAGGGGGGAATCGCATCGAGTTTAGCTAGCTTCTCGTAAATAGTTGAAATTGGAAAATGATATGAGGAGCATACATTAAATTTCGATTCAATGTTACATTCATATAGATCGATATTCTGATTGGCGTAGACTGAAGAAAAATAGTCGGCAAATAAGTTAGCTATTTCCGATCCAAGGAAGTTTAAAATTCATTCAAGTTCAATAATAATATTCTCTTTTTTGCTATTAACAAAATTCCAGAAGACACTTTCTTTACTGTAATCAAGACACCCCCTCCTCGGCTCGAAGTACTCGTCTCGGCTATGTGATTCTCTTGTTTGTAGATTTTGTAGTTATAAAAACCCAGTTCAGCATACACTGAACAGTAACATATCTATTCTGTATTATTCTATAGTTTTACTATTTTATTTTGTGTCTGTAATCAGTGGTCTGTATTTAACCAGTCAATAATACCCTTGATTAGTATGTTTATCCCGTGATGAAATAATGTTTAAAAATCCTTAATGGTCGAATGAACTATAAATGTACGACGTAGAGTGGACACGTTACTAGAAAAAAGATAGATATTGGCAGGACTAAAGTTAGCAGTACTGAGGGAAATGGAGATTCCATTTTACAAGGAGACAAAATACTTACTAAAGGTCACTTAAAAAAACTTGATAGCCCTCAACTTAAATGCAGGATTTAACTGCGGTTAGGATGGAATACGCTATCAAAACGGAAAAGACAACGATGATCCTCGCATCTGCATACCTCCCCTCTGAAGCAACTACCACTTAAGCGCAGGTTGTGAGATAAAAATTGTTACAATCAAAAATGGGTATACCAAGATCATAAGGAATATGGGTGGCTGGTTTGGTGGCCAACACTTAAAAGGTACCTTTAAGTCTGTCGTGTTTTAAGATCTTGGATATTATCAGTGGTTTAGAGACAAAAGACCAGAAGAAAACTGATCTTCATTAGCAGGTGTAAAATACTTTTCATAGAAGACAGGCTTTTATATCATTCATTTTGTAGTAATAGTAGAACTATATTTATTATACTCCTCACACAGTAGTCTGTGAAGAGTATTATGCATTTGGTTATGTCTGTCCGTCAGATGTCACGTTTTTTGTAAGCACTATAAGTCAAAAACGAAAAACGTTATCAATTTGAAAATTTCGAGATAAATCAATATCTATAAGAGGACGAAGCCTATTGAATTTGAAAAAAATCTGAAAATGGAGGTGGTTAAAGGGGATTGAAATATTACAAAAATTCCTAACTCAAAAACAAAAAATATCAACTTTTTAGCAAAAATCAAGCTCTATAAAAGAAGCCTTAGATTTTGAAAACATCTGGTTAAAAATGTGAGGGTTAATGGGGGTTCAAACTAAAAAAAAAAAATCATATATCAAAAACGAAAAGCGATATCAACATGAAATTTTTACTAAAAACCAAGCTCTTCAAGTGAATGAAGCCTGTTAAACATGAAAAAAAAAATAATAAAAAATGGGGGATAGGGTTAAGATATTGAAAAAATACTAACTCAGAAACAAAAAAGGATCTCAAATTGAATCAGGAAAACTCAAGCTTTATAATAGTACAGGATCCGAAGTTATACCGTAAATGGGTAGCCTAAGAAAATACTTCGGATAAGCCTATGATTCTGAAAAAAAAAACTGAATAAACATGAGGGGTTGCGGGTTGAAATTAAAAAAATTAATTGAAAATGAAATGCGATATCAACTAAAATGTTTAGTAATAATCAAGCTCTACAAAGGAATGAAGTCAGATTTTGAAAAACAAAAAAAAAATCTGAATAAAAATGGGGGGTTAAGGGGGTTGAAATAATTAAAAAAATCATAACTCAAAAACGAAAAATAATATCAACTTGAAATTTTTAGCAAAAATCAAGTTCTATAAGGGGATAAAACCTATAGATTTAAAAAAATGTGAACAAAATGGGGGGTAAGGGGAGTTGAAATTAAAAAAAAAAAAAAATAGAAAACAAACACCAAAAGCGATATTAACATGAAATGTTTAGTAAAAATCAAGCTCTATAAGGGGAAAAAGCCTATTGATTTTGAAAAAAATCTGAATAAAAATGGAGGTTAAACTGTGAAGAATATAAAATGCCATTCTAGTTTATTATATGAATGCTAGATTAATAGTTATTAGATTAAGAACTTGTATTTTTTTCGATTTGTTTACTTACCTTATGCCTTGCCTCCTCAATTTGATCGAATTGCCAAAATGGAGCAATTTCGCCAAAAGTCTGCTTAAAGAATGTAGTTGCCATCTTCTGTATATAAGCTCAGGCAAAAGGCACAATACTTGTTCCAAGATCCACAGAGTACCTTCCAACTCTTCTTTATGAGCCTTGTGCACTGCAGATACAAAATTATGTTCATAATGAAATTAAATTTTAAACAAAATGACGTATAACTTACCTAGATGAAAAGACAGCTCTAACACCGCAAGAAACAGACATTAGCAATTAGTTAATGATTTATTATTTACATATATAAAGAGGACATATATAGGATGTGCTAAATAAAAGTGCCATTGCTACATTTTCCAGAAACAAAAGATATATTTAAATTAAATACTGTTTTATTAATATTAATTTTCTTTCCATCAAAATTTCAAAAAGAGTAAAATTGTCTGGAGCTTTCTGAACTTTACTACTACTCAAGTGAAAAAAAGGAGAAATGCCTTTTAATGTCATGTTAGAGAATAATGGATTAATGGTAGAATTTACCTCTCCAAGGCTGAGAATGTACTGAATACTGGTGGCTACAAAATTGTAACAGTAGTAGATAAATATGGGAAATATTACTACCACCTTTCCAGCAGAGGCTTTTGCAACATAATTATGCACAAGAGAACTCAAAATCTTCCTCTTGTACAACAAACCATTTTCGCAGATAGAAAATAGATAATCCTTAGAACCTACGTTTTCTCAAAATAAATATATGGGGTAGCGAGAAAGTCTGGCACCAAGGTATTTTCTTTCTGTATTACATTATTATTGTTTTTTCAGATCCTATACATACAGGATAGCGAAAGAGACCTCTAAAAAAATGGAGAATACAGTCCCATTGATCACCCTGCTATTTCATAATTTCCTATACATTCATTCGTTTAAAAAATAATACCTTGTTGCCAGATGTTTCCGCTGTCCTATATAATGTAACTTTAGAAATGAAAAAGTCTCTTAATATTGTACAAATCGTTTGTTAAATCTAAATTTGATTATGCCTCATTGGGTTGATCATCTTTTTATGGTTTTTACAAAAATCAATTGGTGTTCTGTCAAAAGTTCTTCATAAAGTACTTTACATTTAAAATAGATGGAGTGAATCCTCACAAGGCTATCTTAATAATCTCTCTCTCTTCTTTTTAAATCACCTGGCAATACAAGTCGTATGTATATAAAAAAAAATGATTTTAGACACCTTAACTAAACTTAAAATAGTAAAGCCAACGTTCGATTTTTTTAATGGATTGTATTTACCTAATATACCATCTTTGTACCAATAATGAGTTGTAATTGGGTGTATTATTAGACAATATAATGAAGTAAAGTGGGTGGGTTCTTAAAATCAACCCCTTTTTAGTATTAAAAAGGGTATTGTCAAATTATCACTAACTGAATAGAGGACAAAACATTCATATAGATTCCACTGGATTATGTACCAGATTCAAAATCATCAATCACGGCCTTCATCTCAAGATGTGGTTTGCAGTGAACTATATTAAATTGTGAAGAGTAGACGATTTCCCTCTCATTTAAAGCATATTAACACTAACATAGATGTTTTTTAAATAAAATTAAAATATCTTTTATTTATTGCATTTGTATTGGAGAGAAAACAGCATGGTACTCTTATGTGCACATACACTGCTCCAAGAAATTAATGTGCCAATAGGAAATACATACATAAAAGTAAGAATTATAATATATGACTGATTTATAACTTAAAAAAGAGATAAGCAAATGAGAAAATTAAATATAATTTCTGTACAATGAATGTTCAACTAATGTCGTTAATATCGAGTATTTCTATCTATACTTTGGATGACCGGTGTTACATCATTCTGATCCAGCTCATTCCAAATGTCACTGTTGGTGTAGTGTCCACCAGTGTAAATAACACCAAATTATTTATCTGATTTACTTCCTCCTTATTCCTTATACTCATGTCGAGTGTAATTCACTTCTGTTAAATAGCTGGTGGAGAAAATATCCACCAGTGGACACCACATCGCCGACAGGAGGTTGTAGTGAATTTTACTCCAGGCCAAACGAAAGGTTCATTCCTACACCAGTGGGATGAACGAAAGAACCTATTGAGTCGGTTTGGGTGCTTCCTGAGGCGTCTACCAAGCATGTCCCAAACATGCTCAATAGGGTTGAGATCTGGACTTCATGATATGTAATTTTGAACAACTCGAGCATTAGCAAATTTGGGCAAATATAAGGTGCAAAATGCAAATGGTCCATGTTCATCCAGAATATCATGACTACCTCAGTGAGAGGTAGCAGAGAAATGAAAATAACTGATTCACCATTGAAAAAAGGGGTGCCCACAATGTTGCATGAGGCACATGTCTCATTTTGATATCAGCATACATGAACAGGTGTATGAACAAAATCTGGACCAATTAACATAATTTCTTGCAAAATTCAAACAAGCTCTGCAAAGGTGCTGGAACAAGTGCTGCTAAATTAGCCTCTAGATGTTTGCAAACTGTTTTAATGTTCAATACTAATTCACATACCACGACAATTATTTTTGTAACTTTGCAAGAAAAGCTTACTGATAGAAAATTGAGTAAAAATAATTGCTATATACAAATTCCTTACAATAATTAATCTAGTGATAGCAATTATAAACAAACCAAATAAGAATTTCTTAAATTTTCAAGTGGTGTGTTAATTTCTTGTAGCAGAGTACTTATTAGGTGACTATATTAAGGATTTGGCAAAATTTAAATGTGACCTAACAAACGAAAAAGTAACCTTATTTTTTATTCTACAAAATATCGAGTCACCTAAACATGTTTCAGTAATATGTAAATATTCTAACTGGACAATTTTGACAATAAGAAGATTTAACTCAAGACAAAATATTGCTCCTTACTGAGTTATAGGGTGTTTTATTTTTACAAAAAGCTGAGCAGAAACAGAATTTTGTGGCAAAATTTTGATATATAGCAGGGACAGAACTTGGAAAGGCTTTTGCCAGTTCTACGACTTCATACACAGGTTTTGACAGTTTTGCAGCGGAGTGAACACGAAACATTATTGGCGTAGAAAATTATTTTATAGATGCTAATAACTTTTCACATAAATAGTTTAATGAATTGTAAATAACTGTTGAAATTTTGTAGAATAATGATTTGGGATATTATTACTTGTTTAAATAATTATTTGCAGCTCTCAAATAGATACGTTCGCCTGATTCCGCGCGGTAATTTAAAATTTTTGGTATTATTTTTATTCTATGATACGATAATGACGAATAAACATTACCACGATAATGACGAATAAACATTACCGCGAAATTCTCGAAGTCCTCCGACTGGGTTTGACGTTTACCACCTCTCTACCTACCGAAACCTTTTCCAACTTCAGTCCCTGCTTTAAGTCAATGTCGTATTTTTTTTATATTGGTGTCTTCGACTTACGAGTTCCTCGCTATCACTAGAGGCACGAAAAAATTGCCAGTTGCGGAATTGTCATTTTGTATAATTTTTCGATTTTCCAATACTTTCTACGTAAATAACATACCTCTTCTTCCTAACGATAGTCATTATTTTTCGAGATATTTGAAGTTAAATTATAAGGCTGCACAATTATTTTAATTTTAATATTATTAATGTTCGTATTACCATTATGTCAGTGTCTATTGTCATAAGATACATTTCATACTTGAACTTACTGTCAAAAATCATATAAAAATGTAAGGCAATATTTAAATAATGATCAAAATTCATTTTTAAGTAAAAAATTCTATACTTAAATGAGTAAGGAGCAATAACTAATATATAATAATATATATTTTTAAATATCTGTTCATAACAGCCTTTATTAAGTTTTGAAAATTGACATGTCATTGGGATATTAAGGTAGGTTAGTTAGAAATGATTTATTTAATTTAAGTAGGTTATTGCATAAAGTTTGAATCACTGACACTGTTGCCAAAGCTTTAAAATATATTGCGATCCAACATTTTTATTTTTAAGATTATTGTCATTTATTCGATTAACAAAGGCAATGTGTTAATTTTTTCATGTTCATGGTTAATGGCAAGCTAGTTACAATTTGAGGTGTTTCATTTCATAGGTCCAACATTAGCACTACTGTGTTTTTGTGAAACGTTATCAGGTTAATTCCTATGCAGTTTTTGTTAGTTTTTAAGACACAGTGTAAAATAAAGGTTAGAAAAAAAAACAATATATTTAAATTAGAGAATTTTAGAGAAAAATTAGTGATATTTGTTTTTAGATATCCTATACTAACAAGTCTTCAACAATACCCATATCCCATGTTATCTGGTAAAATTAAAAATTTTATGAAAATGGTAATTGTTAGTAACTTTTATAACACCTAAGTATCAGTTCTAAAAAATAGGTAAGAGACATTGTTTAAAGATTACTACTGAAGTTATTAATGTTACTTTTAGCCAACTGATGACATTAATTTAGTGACCTGGGATATGGACTAAGGATATTGTTGAAGACCCTGTACTACTCATTTTAATATGCACATCTATTTAAAAAACATGCTCTATACAGCATTAGGGATTTGGAAAATAATCAAAGGTACAACCTGTACGTGGGGCAACATCCCCTTCCCCACCTTACAGATATGACTTGTACGTCAAATTGTGGAAATTTTAGTTTTAGTTAAAAACTTAAAATAATTTAAAACATTATTCTTAATATTTTTGAAAAATTTACTTGATTTTCCAGTTGTTTAGGGAAATGAGTTGTTTAGAAAATATATCTTTTTATTTAGACTATCTTGAAACACATATTTCGTTTGCTGGGTCACAAGTGGAAAACATTGAATTTTTATTTTTTTAATTGTGCAAATTTAATAGTTAGGAACACTAAAAAAAAATTTGTGTACACAGTAAGTTTCCAATTTCCAAATTAAAATATGTAAGCATTTACAACAAGAGTTACATAAGCATACAATATACAAAATTACAATTATTAACAAATACAATGAAAATTTTCTTTAATATTCCATAGTACAAATTAAAATTGAAGGGTTCAGACTAAATTAAAGTATGAAATCAAATTATAAAGAAGTTTATCAAAAAAATAACAAAAATAAGGATCATTATCTAGTTTCGAGTTCTTTTCGTTTATGAAAAAACTAAACATACGTACTTGTAGGTACCACTATTATAAATAAAAAATTTTAGTTCCTTATCTTATGCAAATTAATAATAAAAAGCAAATTTTTAAAATATAAATATTTCACAAATTGTCTCAAATTAAAGCGCAGAGATGCTACTTTTACGTCTTACACAGTTGCCAAGTAGCACAAAATATTTCGTCGCATCCATGACAAAACGGCACAAACGCCACTATGTTCTTTTTTCAGGAGACAGAAAAAACCTTATGGGCGACTGGCACTTGTACCAAATCATCAAAAACAAACCTGTTTAGATGGCGCTTGTACAAACTTTTAGCGGGGGTAAACATTTTATTTCCATATAATTTTCGATGCGAATCAATGGAGAAAAACAATCATTATGCAGTGATGCTACTAGCGAAATTTTCGAGTTTTTGGCGTTTGTGCCGTTTTGTCAGGGACGCGACGATTTACTATCCAACTATTTATTATCAACAGTACAGTAATTTATTTCTAATAATTTTCCTTGCCCTAACAATATATTATAATATTATTACAACTATTGACGTTGTTTTAATTCTTGCACATCAAGTAAGATGAGAGGTCCGAATTCAATGTTTTTTGTACCGATTACTCAAGATGAGATTAAACAGATAATTCTAACACTTAAAAAGAAATAGGGTGTGGCTAGAGTCTTTGCCTGTGGATCCAAGGGTCCCAGCTTCGAATCCCACCGTTGGCTGGGATTTTTTATTCAATTTAATTATTTAAAATTAATTCTGATGTCTTAGTAGGATTTCCCACTAGACCATTCACTGTTGGGATCTAATTAACAGTGATGTTTCCTAAAGTGACGCTGGGAAACAGTAACTAAGTCTACGCAGAACACGAGGCGAAATAACCTTAGCAGTTGAAGCCGATGACACACAAAAAAGAATGTATTGAAAGAATGTGTGGAAACAATTTCTGTCCAACTATTTCACATTACCCATTTCTCCGTTAATCAGGGCCAGTTCCCAAAAAACTAAAAATAAAACGATTCCTTTATTCAAAAAAGGTGATCCTCAATGTGTCGAGAATCACAGTATGATATGTACACTTAGCTGAAAAATCATTGAATCGGCCGTTTACAATGGTTAATTGAATATTTAGACCACAATAATAAAATCACACAATCCTAACATGGTTTTCGTCAGAATTATTCAATCGAAACTGCTTCCATTGAGCTTGTACAATATGTCCAAGAACATATCGATCAGAACAACTATTTAAAGGAAATATTTTTTTGACCTAACCCCTGCATTTGATACAATTAATCCCACTTACTTATCAACAAAACTTGAAGCAATGGGCATTAGAGGTCCAATTCAATCATGGATCAACGCAAATATGTCTGACAAAATACTGAAAGTGCAGATTAATCTTGAGTTATCTGATGAGTTTAGTACTTTTATTGGAACTCCGCAAGGTGGAGTTACCACCACTTTTATTTCTCCTCTACATAAATGACCTACCTTTAAGTAGAACAAATGGACGAATTTTTATATATGCGGACGATACAACAATTGCAATTGTAGCTGACAGTTTAGATGAGTTACTTAAGAAAATACTAATAACCAGAAATGAGTTAATTCATTGGTGTCAAAAAAATGATCTCATTATCTCTCTGTCATGAAAATAAAACCATTTTTATCCAATTCACATCTCCACTTAAGGAAGGCAACAACATAACTTTTACATTAAATACTAGCAAGTTTGAGACTTTGGGAATGGAATCAGATTCTAAACTAAATTTTAATAATCAAACTCTCTCTGAAAAAAACTTAAACTCTACTTTATTTTCAATAGTTTGAAATAAATTTTGTATCAATCTCACCTACTTAACTTGTATTATGCATTTATATACTCTGTCATCAGCTACAATATAACAATTGTGTAGGGCCGAGCATCGAAAATTGGACGAATATTCGTCCTTCAAAAGTGATTCATTCACATAATTTTTAACTTAGATTACAACGAATCTTGTAGAGATACATTTAAAAATAACAACATCATGACCTGCACATGCATATATCTTTTCAAACTATTAACCTACACTTTTCTTAATAAGAATAAGTTTCAAAAAAATTTTGAAGTCCATATTAATAACATGAGAAATAAAATTGATATCCACCTAAATAGATTCAATTGATTTCAACTAAAAAAGTCTCCAATGTATGCTGGAGGACAGTTTTTAATTTACTATCAGATTCAATCAAAGAAATAAGATATTTTAACAAATTCAGGACCAGCTTAGATATTTTTAACTGAAAATGTTTTTATTCTCTGGACGAATTTATTGGCTGAAACACCTAATTTTAACAATCAGTTTAAAAATGTTATTCTGTACTAAATGTTTATTAACCATTAATGTTTTTATTAAGATAATTTTTAGCTTATTAGTTATAAACTTATTGTACCTTATGAGTATACCTACTATATTTGTGACTTGTCTTATGCCATGTAAATGATACAAAAAAATCTATCTTATCTTTACCTACAAGTACGTTTGCTGTTTTTCCGTAATCAAAAAGAGCTCAAACTAGATACTCACCAAAATAAGAAATTGTTTTAAGAATGCACAGTGTCACCAGTTCTGTACATCAGAGGTATTTTACAGGAAATTTAAAGTGTTTAATAAAAATATTTGCTTGCAAAAATAATATTTAAGTAACAAACTTATTATTGACTTGTTTTAAATGAGCATCAAGATAAATATACAGAAAATATGATAGATCCTACCCATAGTATGTACTTAATACTTAACTCAATTGTTTCCTAGGTACAGATTTCCATTGTACAAAAAAGCAACCTGTGCATCTTTATTCAGCATTACTATTAGCTTTAATTTTATATACAAGAACTTTTGCTATCTTTTACAAACAGACCAAGGGATGTTGCGATACTATACTGATATCAATACTGGATAATTTAGTACCTGATACTTTGCTTCAAATACTTTACCCATATTGAAACTACTATTTTGATACTTTACTAGTTTTGACATTACAATACATATAAAAGTGTAGTGTAAGATCATTTTATGGTATTTGTTGTTTTAACGACTTACTTATGAACATTTTTTTCTGTGTGAAATATTGGTATAGATATTTTGGTTCTGATACTCTTTTCGATACCAGTATCGATAATTGTGTTCCAATACGCTTTTCGATACTTTAGTGGTATTGCAACATCCCTACAGATATCCAAGACTAAAAATTGTCTAATTTGTTAAAGTATGTAAGATATGGTTAAATTAGAAATATGTATGTGGGACACATAAAGGAAATAGTAAATCTTATCATTTGTATTGTAACATAAAACTACAAAGAAAGTATTTACAAAGATAAATACAATAACAAGAAAATTTACCTCTTTGCCTTAAATTTGTTTCAGTTTGGACAAAGCTTTCATATAGTATGTTATAAATATGACTGAAATTAGCTTCAAAAAAACCCTTCGCCTCTGAAGAGTCTACATTTTCTGAAAATAATAATCTTGATTATTATTTCATTATATTAATAAGGAAACATACCCAATATAATTTTTAAATGTTTCACTCTAGTTGCAACATCTTTTTTGGGGTCTTGTAGCTTAGCAGTCGACTTTTTTATATCAACAAGATTTCTTTTTGCGAACATTTCAGATGTAGGCGAATACTATGGGGTACTACATAACATTTTTAATCAATTTAAGTATTTTTCAATGTAAATTAAATACCAATTGTTTTTCTTTTACATTTTTTTAGTAAAATTTACGTTGACGTAAACATAAAAAACGTCAAGTGTCATTGTCATTAACATGTCATGTTCTTCTTTTTTATATTAAAACTTACTCAGCTGTTACTACTTTCAGAGTATTTTATTATTTAACGTTTAGAGGTGGGATGGACGATGGACCTATTAAATTAGACGGAAATTGATCAAACTCCAAATAATAGTATATTATATTACCAGAGATAACGAGTTATCTCTCTATATTACGAATGCGGAAAGTGACATTTTTCACACGAGTGGGAAATATTGTCGCACGAGGCATAAGCCGACAATAACGCGAGTATGAAAAATCACTTTTAAATAAGTAATGTACAATATAAATATTTCCTACGATCACAAAATAATTTTATAAAAAAAATGTAAAACTATAGGAAAGTTGGCTATAAAGGTTCCATCAAGATGTGGCTGGTTTTATATTTGTTTTTTTATATGCCTTACTGAATTAGGCATTCCAAACAAATGAATTACCAGTGGGCAGGTTTGGTATATCTAAGGGTGGCGACATATGGTGTACCTATTCTATCTACTTTACGTAAAATCATGAATAATGGATTACATTTAAATAGTTTATGTCAAACACAATAAAAATAATATTTAAAAAACCCACCTATACATTTCTTCATAAATTGGCAGGCTTGGCGAGTACTACTTCCAATAAAAATAGCGTCCAGGTTGCAAGACTATGTCGCTACCCCCTTAAATATACAAGAATTTCCCACTGGCACCTATTGTTTGACAGGTCGTTGGAATGCCTAATACTTTTTAAAGCGTTTTACAGATAGTGTTTTGTCAAAATTAAAAATATTGTCATTCCATTTATAATTTCATTGGATGATAAAGATAAAATAACATTAGTTACAAAACTTATACATTAATGTTTTTTAATAGTTTATTTTTTTTTTAACAAATAGTTGAACATCCGTGGAAAAAAAAAACATTATTATTAATATGGTTACACTTGTTTACTCACAATTTTTTTCTGAACAGTTAATAAAATAGTACAAAATATTGTAGGGGTTATAATATAATAAATAACATGTATTTTAGATAAATAAATAACAATACTGCCTATGAAAAACCCGCGTATTTCAAAAAATAAATAGAAAGTATTACCATAACAATATACATATTTCTGGTAGTATAAACTACAATTTTACTAAGAAAAAAAAAAAACCGTATTTGCTTATTTTTCCTAAATTTATCATTATCATAGACAATTATTTCCCCGTATGTAGCTTTGCGGCTAAACAAAATATGTTCAACTGCGTTTTTCTCGAAATCATGTTTTCCGGAGATACGGGGGTCTTTCATTAGACGGAAGAATAGTCGTATTTTTCCAATTTTCATATTTTTTCAAAACAAGAAAAATAATTAATCGGGAATTGAACCAGCGTCACGAAATGAACACGGAAAGCCAAGTTGAAAAGTCAAACTATAAACCATTTACGCTATCACGGTTTTGTGATTTGACTTATCTAATTAAATATGTATATGAACAACGAAAAAGAAAAAATAATGTAGGTAGTTACTTTAAATTCTTTTAATAATTTGTTAAAAAGAAATATCTAAGATCTATTTTAAAAAATGTTAACAATCATCAAATCGATTTTACTATTACAATCAAAATAGAAATTAGACATCTGACTAATTTGACAGCTTATACGGAAAGTAAATAGTATAGTAGGCGAGTTCGGTCAGTCAGGGGCTGGAGCGGGACAAATTTTAGGGTGCTTTTAGATGACATTTAAGCGTGTTAAACTGTCACTAATCGGACTAAACCGAACGCTAAAAGAATCGTTTGGAGTTAAAAGTGTTAAAGGAGTTAAAGGAACGTGGCAAACCGAACGCAATGAGTATATTACATTACGAGTGTGGAAAATCACTTTTCACACAAATGATGTACAATATTTTTCCTACAACCACAAAATATAATGTCATCAAAAAAATGTAAAACCAAGGTTATTATTACTATAATAATTAAAATGTATTTAAAAAAATAATCAACAATAATCGTATTTATTCAATTTTCATATTTTCTAAACAAAAAAAACTAAAAAAAAATAAATACAAAAAAGCAAAAAAAAAATTCTGCCTCGCCAGGATTCGAACGCGGTCGAAAAATGGCAAAGTTGATAAGTTCGACGTCCTAACCACCTGAGCTAATAGCCCTTGTGTCAATTGAATGATCTAATCGGTTATGTATTTAACCAGAATAAAGAGCAAACATTATTTTAAAATTATTTTAATAATAATTGTTAAAGATAAATATCTACGATCTAATTTACAACGATTTCAATAATTTAACAATCATATCGATTAGGTGTTTGACATTTTGTGACAACTACTGCGGAAAGTAACATATTCTCACTCGGGTGGAAAGTAAATTCTTATTCATACACGTGTGATATAGGGCACTTTCCATAGGACTATATAGTGTGATATGTGTCACTTTCCTAAGTGGTCGTAGGAAAAATTCATATTCACATACATGTGGAAAGTAAATTTAACCACATGCGTATAGGGCACTTTCCATAAACTAAATAGTGCGATAGGTGTCACTTTCCTAACTGGTCGTAGGAAAAATGTATATTTCTTTAATCTTTTTCAACAATATTTTAATTTAGTTTTTATTTATTGTACGATCCGCCTACGGCCTTCTACCAATTACAACAATTATATTTTAGATATATAGTCGCTTTAACTGGTAGATAGTATCAACTGTAAAACATTTCTTCAGTACATAGACCTATTTAGGGTTGCCAGACGTCACGCTTGCCGCGTTTGAGAATCCACATCGTATGCATTTTTTACATCTCGAGCGTTTTTTTATCCACATCGGACTACTAATACATCTACATCTGCGTTTGTTTATCCCAGATGTACCTGTTCAGATTACATTTTTTACATCTCGATTTGAAATGAGATGTTCGTTCCATGCCAGAAAGTAAGTGTTCTGTGAAGCCAAGTTTGTCAATTTATCCTTTGTTTAAGCTATCATGAATATAAAAGTGATTAGTTTGTTTAATTTTTGTTTAGATTTCAAATTTAGGTTGATTTGTAGTCTCAAAAGTCAATTTTAGAAGATATAAACTTAGGTATAAACTTCTAACTTGTCATTGACATTTTATCACGTGGCCAAATAAAGTCTAGACTGTTTGTTTATTACATCTATATTCAGGTCTAATTCTCCATCACGTGATAAAAAATTCACAACATCTCATGCCGCGTTTGAGAATCCACATCGGATGCATCTGAGATGTAAAAAATCTTTGATCACGTGATTCAGTATACGTAAATGTAATGGGACAGATGTGTCCGATGTGAATAAAAAAACGCTCGAGATGTAAAAAATGCATCCGATGTGGATTCTCAAACGCGGCATTAGGCGTGTTTTCCACGCTTTTTGACTTGACGCCACAGTACGAAAAGAAGGCACAAACCCAGACCGGAGAACGGAATCGACAGTGACCCGATGCAATCCATGATACTATAAAAAGAAGGTATGGTATGATATTACGTGGATTGATACTATACCACATACTTTGATTTCAAAGTATGTGTACTATACGTTACGGTGACGTATTGTCGTGGAAGGCGTGGCTTTTACGAGTTTGACGCATCAGTTGATCAAAACAGCGTGCGAAAATACATTTAAATCTGCTCATGGCCAATCAGATAACCATATTCCACATCACAAGACGACGTCATGCGCGAACTCGATGAGATATCGTCGGCTAAGCATACCTCTGTAACTTTTAGTATCAGACCTTTTTTATATTGTTGTGGAATCTATTTAGCAAAGGCGACAGTAGATATCAGAGAGATTATTTATTATTTTAGAGTTTGATTTAGGAAAATTTTAATTTTTTTGTAAAATCATATGGTATTTTTAATAGTTTGTAAATTTTAGAGAACGAACCACCCTTTTGACAGTCTCCGGCAAGTTTTTGGAAATATATGGTACTGCATATTGCCATATCACATATTTATATAGCTATGCTAGCAAAATAAACATTTATTATTAGAAATATCCTTTTATTGTGAACGTTCAATGCGTATTTTCATCCTTTTTAGATTTAAGCGTCTCGATTAAATTTTTTTTGAAATAATTGAACATGTATTTTGAAACGTTCATCATTTGCTGTTTGAAATGAATTTTTCTAGATTTCTGACTGTGTAATGTGGTCGAGAATGGTTCTGATCATAGAAAAACTAAAGGGTTATGATGGTCAGAAAACCATCGTAATAAATGATCGTACAAAGTATTAATCTGCTTGCGCGTTTATTAGAAACTTCTACAGAAACAAATCTTATATAATTGTCAACTGTTTTAAACAAAGATGCGCGATTAAATAATAGTTATCATGTTTTCAAAGGACATGACAGTTCCCAACTCTAACATTTTGTTTTTTTTTTTTCGGTGTCTTAACAGCCGTATGCATAGTCGATCGCCAGCGACTCGCCAGATATTCATTTCGGCGTTTCGCCACCTGTTCGCTGGCGATCCGCCGGCGCCGGCGAAAGCCCAAAAAGGTGGCGTCTCGCCGGAGATTGTCACCGGAATGTCATTTCACGCAAGTTTTTATTTTCTTTTATAGGGATTATCACCGGTATCACTCGCATTTTATTCATGATTCATTTCTTAAAACTCAAAAAATAATGAACGAATATCAAATTTTTCCCTCTAAAAGAACATGAAAACTTGCGTGAAATGACATTCCGGTGACAATCTCCGGCGAGTCGCCAGCTTTTTGGGCTTTCGCCGGCGGATCGCCAGCAAATCGCTGGCAATACGCCGAAATGATCGACTATGCATACGGCGGGTAGGTATTCTTTGATACGGCTGTAAGTTGACAAGTCTGGGTGACATTCTTTTTAAAATTAAGTAAGTCTCAAATAATTTCAATTTTAACTACGAGACAAGAGATTAGACACCGTTGGTTGGATCTTTTTATTGTATCATGCATTGGCACAATATATCCCCAAATGCATTGGATCCATTGGTAAGATCGTGGGTTGGGGTTGGATCACTGATCTGTATTATTTTACTGGATAGGATATATGCTATATTTAACATACTAGAACAGAGGTAAAAGTTGGAATTGCTTTTGCCAGTTCTCCCACTTTATACACAAAACTTGACAGGTTGTCAGCGGATCTCACCGAAGTGGACACGATACATTGGCGTACAAAATTATTTTATAGATGTTAATAACAATTTCGAGTAAATAGTTTAATAAATTGTGAATAGCTGTTGAAATTTTGTAAAATTATAATTTGAATATTATAATACATGTTTAATAATTATTTATAATCCATAAATACATGCGATTGTCCGGTTCCGTCGATAACAATTTAAAATTACTTTTTATTCTATGAAACGACACTGCCAGGTAAACATTACTGTGAAATTCTCGGAGCCGCCCGACGTGGTTTGACGTTTACCCCCTCTCTACCTACCAAAAGACTTTTCAACTTTTACTTTCTCTATAAAAAACCGTTCCACCAAGGAGACCGGAAGTGCAACAATGCTGGCCGATTTGGGCAAATTATGGTGGGTTCACAGAACTGAAATTTGCAATGAAGTGGAGAGGGGTAGAATGATAACTGTCAATGAAAAAGTCTGGACACTATGCACAATTAGGCATTCCAAACAAATGAATTATCAGTGGGCAGGTTTGGTATATCTAAGGGTGGCGACATATGGTGTATTCTATCTACTTTACGTAAAATCATGAATAATGGATTACATTTAAATATTTTATGTCCAACACAATAAAAATAATATTTAAAAAACCCACCTATACATTTCTTCATAAATTGGCAGGCTTGGCGAGTACTACTTCGAATAAAAATATCGTCCAAGTTGCAAGACTATGTCGCTACCCCCTTAAATATACAAGAATTTCCCACTGGTACCTATTGTTTGACAGGTCGTTGGAATGCCTAATTTTGTTTTGCACATTTTGTAAACAAAATTCAGGGACGGTTTAACAACATTTTGTGCAACAATTATAAAATAGTGCATCGAAAAATAATTAACAAGTATAATTTAATACTAAATCGGAATAAAAGCATAAAAAATCATAAATATAAGCAAGATAACAAAGAATTGTCGCCAAAAATGCTTACAACAGCCAAAACACAAACAAAAAACAGAACTGAACATGAACATAATCGCTGAATAAAGTCGATCCTGGAATTTGTTTACAGTGCTTTAGGGCAACCTCTCCTTGTCATTTACGTGTGTAAGAGTGGAAGGCTGAATCACGCATAATTTCTACACTCGTGATGGATGCGCAGACGGTACCTTATCGTTCTACCCTCTCTACTTCTTTGGAAATTTGGGATAATTTGACATACCTAACCTATAATTTGATTAGTTTTTCTTCTTATTCTTCTTCTATTCCTTTTGCGGGTGATGTCCTTCGGGAAAATTCACCCATGATTTGATTTTTTATGAAAGAAAATATAAAAATGGAAACGTGAAGCATATTGTGTCTTCAGGAATGAACGTTTATTGTTTATTTCATACTCTTTTTACTTTGTTTTCCACAATAAAAACATCTCATCGTAGCTTGTTGACACAATTAAATGATAAATGTGATGACAAATGGAAATAGAGGTTACCTTAAATAACATCCGGTCCGCCATATTAGGTCATTTCCTTTGCATCGAAAGTGTAGCAGTTGTCTCTGGTAGCACTGAGCTACACCACTTCTGAAAATATCGTTCCATTTATACAATATGTATGGATAGAATGATATTTTCAGAAGTGACGTATCTCAGTGCTACACTTTCGATGCAAAGGAAAATACCTATTATTTGCCCAAATCCAAATCGGCCAATTTTTCGGAACGTTTTTTAGGGGGCTATATCCTATCCAGTAAAATAATACAGATGGGTTGGATCCAATGAACTGGAGGGGGGTAGAATGCCAATGTACATGTTGTACTATTAGAACAAGGTGCGACTCGATGGGCGCAGCCATTTTTATTGTTCATCTTACTCGGGACTATTTATAATAACCATTTTCTGTTTCACATTGTTATTGTTCAATCCACAAGCTGGTGGATCAGACAATAACAATGTGAAATAGAAAATGGCTATTTTAAATATTCCCGAGTGAGATGAAAAATAACCAATCTTCGCCCATAGAGTCGCACATCAAGTCTATTGACAAGCATTCCACCCCACTCCAGTTCATTGGTTGGATCGGCTAGATAGATAGATCATTAAATGAGCATAGGACCACCTTGTAACTTGTAAAGGAAGGCGCTGCAAAGTTGCCATATTTTGATTTATACAGGGTGTCTGTAAAAGGTCTTTACAAAAACATACCACCTATTCCTTGGAACAAAATAAGCCAATTTAAATAAAATTGTACAAAATTGCCCAGTTTGGTTGGTAGGGGACCCTGAAGTTACAATTTTTAAATAGTTTCTTGTTTACTTGTTTATAATTTTAAAACCGCTCATGCCATTCTGCTTAGATTTAGTATACGATGATAGAGTTTTATGTGATAAAAAAATGTAGCAAAATTATTCACTAATATTAATCCATATAGGCGTAAAACTTATTTTTTTTATTACTCGCCAATAGAAGAGAAAATCAGGGGGTTTAGTATGAAATTTGGATTGCTTACAACGCATATAAATTATACAATGGTAAGACGTACATTGCTATATCGCCAATAATAAATAAAACACGATTTGTAAAACTGATTGATAAATAAAAATAAAAAACATTAATAAATTAAAAAAAAACTTGAAATAAGTTTTATTAAAAATATCAAACTGGGCACGTCACGTATCAGGTATATGTACTTCGCAAATGCTAAGTAAAAATTCGACATAAAGAGATTGGAATTTTTAAAATATTTCTCCATTTTTTTAATGCTCCAAACTCTGTGAAGTTTACTTTTTGTTCGCATCCAAACCTATGTATTTTGCACGTTTTGTACCTATTATAAACATTATAGAGAGGGTCTACAAAATTTTGTTCACCGCATAGGTACATACAATGACTTGATGTTCGTTCTTAAATTCCGTTTATTTGATATTAATATTATTGTATGAATCCAACCATGAGCTGAAATTGTTCAACTTTTATTTCTTCCTTCCATTTGAAGGTTTAATGACTATGTAAAAAATGTACAAAAAAAAACACTTCATAATTAATAACACAAACAACAGAACAAAATGAACACAATGTGCATATTTGCTGATAAAATTGCAAGTAATGGAGGAGTATAAATATTGCAAGTATTTCTAACTAAATATTGCATTACATGACAACAATGTACGCAAATATTTGAATGCTTACATGTGACCAACGTTGCAACGTGCGCGTTAGTTATAGACTCTACTCGCTATTTGAAAAGTTGCTTCTTGTAGTTTGTTGGTAGAGGGGGTATACGGTCAAAGATTTCGACAAATGACAAATTCGTAGGGCCGGCAGTCGCCGCCATAGATAAATGTCGCCGCAGTGTTCTCTCATGTCATGTGTATTAAGTGGGGGAATTGCAAAGATACATCACAACTTCACAATAAAGATTAGATATGTGATTATTTTTTAATTTTTAGTCGATCATAAGTAGATTAATAACTGCAGGCAGAACACTTGAGACAGAAGCTGATTTTCCACAGGATTAATTTAGGTTACACCGAATTTTGAATTGAAGTCTTAAAGAAATAACAAGATATGGACATAGAAAAAATAAATGGTGCTTTAGAAGGGTGTGACAATTTCCTCATCAGCACAGGAAATATATTATCAATTAATGACATTACTAAAAAAGTAAATTTAAACACATCTGACGAGGTATGTATACATGTTTTAAATTTTCAATAAATTTTAATACTTTTTTTTTAGTTAGTTGATGCTATTAGCTTTACTTTAAAAGAATTCCAAGATAATGGTGTTTTGCAAACCCAGTCAGATCATTTATTGGTAATTAGCAGACATAACGACAATCTTAAGATAAGTGAACATGAGCTGGCAGATTTAAAAATTGGATTCAAAGTGTTTTTGAATAGTGATGATCCAGATTCACTCACTGAAGCTATCCAAAAAGGTAATAAATTAAGTTCTGTAAAATTGAAATATATAATTAGTGTCATTTACAAACTATTCAGTAAGTAGACTGGCATTACCTAGTTAAATTTGATTAATATTATTAAATATTTTAGTATTGTGTTAGTATTTTATTTAGAAAACAACTGCCTAAGGGCCAGTCTTTTCATCTTTGAGTAAAGGTGAAAGTAACTACTTACTGATTAAACTATAGGGCTATTGTTTGTTAATCTGTCAAGTAAACCTTCATGTAACTTTACTCAAAGGTGAAAAGATTGACCCTAAGTAAAATAAATTTACCTACCCTTTGATAAATTACTCAATAATATGACCTGTTTATTTGGCATATCATACTATATGTTTTATCTGTACTTGTATTAGAAGTAATCTGATCATTTCTGAGTTATTGATTGTGTTAAACTTTCTTAAATAATTAAACAATGTCAGAAAAGGTGCTACTCTATTGTATTTGCTGTAAATGGGACACACAAAGCAGCAACTGTAATTATTGACAAAATAACAAATTTCTTCAAATTACCTATACATTTTTATTACAAAAAGGCTAGACTACGCTAAAGTGACCATATATATTTAATGTTGAAATTGGGAATAAATCTGAATGTCTGTGTCTATTTTTCTGTTTGTTTTCTACCTTGCAGTGATTATAGCTGGACATTTCTTAGTAAGAATTGTCTACTATTAAATTAATGATAGATCAGATAGATAGATAGGTCAGTTCAATCCACTTCAACATAGAAAAATTTCTAACTTTTCAGTTTCAGAATAAATCAATGAATTTGCATTAAATTCTAATAATCACTAAATATTTTTTACAAAATAATTTCTATTAAAATACTATAGAAAAAAATTACTCAAATAAAAACTGGTATCTTACATATAACTTACTACAAAATATAAAAGTAAAATAAAAAATAGACAATTCATTGAATTCAATATTTAGCAAGGAAATAATATCTATATGATAGAGTAAAATATGTTTAGTCATTCATTACTGAATACCATTACTAATCAATTTTTTATACAATGCTTACATATCTATAAGTGCTATAAGCTTTTACTAAAATAAACAGATTATGTAACAATTTGTTTTACAAATTTCAAGGCCAATGTTGTCTTTAATTTGTGTTTTCAGTTAATCGATCACATTATAATTATTAATCAAATTATTATATTAAAATATTGTATTGATTGTGTTACCTGAAGGCCAATGTTAATGATGGCTTTATTGATGTAGTGTATTTTAAAACAAGTATTAGGAGTTCACTTACAGTTATTTATTTTACCTTTATACATGAAGCCAACATCTATCAAATATTTCAGTCAATCCATTATAATTAGGGTTGACAGACGCAAATGCCACACTTTTTAAAACCTAAATTATAAAGAAATTTTTGAAGAGGTAAAACCTTTTTAGAAGCTCCTCAGAAAAGGACCTGGTTTATAAAAATTTAAGCTTTTTTTATAAAAATACCTATTTTTTAATCTGATCCCCTGTCGTCACAGTTGTCCCGCTTTTCCCTTTTGTAAATCTGGCAACCCTAATTATAATAAAAATAAAATTTGTAAAAACAATGTAAGGACATTGAAAAATTCGGAAATGGTTATTAAAAATATTATGCAAAATAAATATAGGATAGTTTTGTGTCAAAAATAAAAATAACAAAATGCCAAATACAAAAATACGAAGGTAGTGGAGAGGTGTAAAAAATATGACACATCACAGCAGCAGAAAATTGTTCTTAGCATTATTTATAGCAGGCTAATAATTTTTTATTTTCAAAATTTTACTTTCCTACAAAGATCTACATTTCCTAAATTCATCTCCCAATCAAAGTTTTCAGTTTTTGATTTGTATTTACACAGTTTAACCATGTATATTTTTTAGCCTTAATTGTCTTAAAAGTGGAGTCTATCAATGATGTCATTGTTACTTTTAAGCAAAAAATTGGCAACCAAAATGACAATCTAAATCAGATACAAAGTACTTGGAGTGTTCTAGAAAATTTAATAAAAAAAGGGCAGATCAAACAAATTGGTATTGCTGATATTGAAGAGTCAGCATTCAGAGCCTTATATGATTGGGCAAAAGTCAAACCCAGTATCATTCAAATCAATTTGTCTACATGTTGTGTGGTACCACCTACCCTGCAGTCATTCTGTAAGGAGCACGATATTAAATTGTTGACTCATAGTGATCCCTTAGGTATGTACTAATTCTATAGTTTGTTTTTGGAAAAATAATTGTCAACAACACTTCATATTTTTTTTTAAGTAATAAGTCCTGATGTTTTAATTTTATATTTTTATTGTAGATCTATTACCTGTGGAATCTATTGAGAGCATATTTGGAACACCTTTAATATTAAAATGGGCTTTAAGGTTTCTGATACATGTTAAATGTAGAGGAGTATTAACCACAAAGGGATATTTGCTAAATCTAGTGAAGAATTAGCATTATGTTTGAAGAATTTTTTTAACACTCTATAGAATATAATTTTTATCACTGTTATAGATTTGTCAAAGGACCTAATTTTTGTTACAAGTATGTAAAAGTTTGTTATAGTATTTTTATTACTTGAGCTAGTACTTAATGGATTTTAAATTGTAATTTTGTTAAATATAAAAGTCGAAAATACATTTTCTATTCAATGAGTATTATTTTTATAATTTTTCTGGCGTAAAGAAACAAACTCAAAATGATAATAAAACGTCCAACATTATATTTAAAGAAAAAATGCTCGGACACGTTGATTTTTGTTTGGAGGGGGCCACATTTTTTCCTTAATTGTTAATTGACACTTAACCCTCGAGCAGTGGGGTGAACAACCAGGGCCGCCGAGAGCCAGACCGGGCCCCAGGACAATTCTCCAGATCGGGCTCCGCGACAATTTTATAAAAAATTAAATAAAAGGGCTTCAAGCAAAAATTTCTCCTCTACTTGAATCTCTAAAAAAAAAAACAGGTCTTCAAGTAAGAACTTCCCCCCTCTGAACTTCTGAATGTAACAAATACCACCGCTGCCGGGCCCCGGGAATTAGTCCCGACTGCCCCCCCTCTAGTCGGCCCTGTGAACAACCCCTAGAATTGAGATAGGGAAAGTACTAAGTATGGCACATTTTTGAAAAGGTAATTTTATAATAAATCAGTAATGGCAATATTGTTGCGTCAAATTCCGATACTAGCGCCCTCTTGAGGATGAAAATTATGCACCTGGAAGCAGAAATGCTTGGACACGTCGATTTTTGTTTGGAGCCAGGACACATTTTTTTTCCTAATTTCAGCATCGATGCTTCGACCCTCGAGTATGGGGTGAACAACCCCTAAAATTTAGATAAGGAAAGTATCAAGAGTGGCACATTTTTGAAAAGGTAAGTTTACGGGAAATTACATTTCAATTTTGTTAGTTTTTTAAGTTTACCTACTTTCTAAAAAAAGTAATAAACTGTAAAATTTATTTATTAAAGATTTATTAAAACGTTAATTTAACAGGTATTGAAAATGTGACCCATTTGCTTCCATACAATAATACAAATTTTGTTCAAATCTATTGCGAACATTTTGTAGAATTTTAGGTGCTGTTCTCCTGCACTCAGCTATTATCTATCCGTTGGCAAAGATCTATGGAATTAGGCTTTGTAGCAAAACATTTATTTTTCAAGTGTCCTCAAAGAAAATAGTCCAGGGGCGATAAATCCGGTGACCTTGCAGGCCATTCAATTGGGCTTCTCCTTCCAATCCACTGTGCAGGGTACCGGTTATTTAAAAATTCTCTTACAGCACCAACATAGTGTGGAGATGCTCCATCTTGCTGGAAATGAAACTGATCAACATCATGAATTGGGTAATTTTCTAATATTTCTGTTATAAGAGGGTCAATTTCATCTTAAAGCATGTTTAGGTACACTTCACCAGTTAAATTTCCAGGAATGAAAAGAGGTCCTACAATATGGTTACCTAATATGCCACACCAGACATTTATTTTTTCAGGGTGTTGGGTATGCTACTCACGGAATAAATGTGGGATACTGTCATCCATCCCAGTAACGGCAATTATGCCTATTGAAAGCTCCAGTCAAATGAAATGTACACTCATCGGAAAAACAAATATTAAATAATAAGTCAGGATCTACAATTAAACACTAGCTCATTTCTTCACAAAACTGCAGCCTTCTATCAGGATCATTCTGTTCAGATCTTGTACTAATCTAGTTTTGTACGGATGAAATTTGTGAGCTTTTAAAATCCTTAAAGATGAACGAGAGACTTCAGCTAGTTGACGAGAACTTTGCTTATGATCCAATTCAACATGTCCCAAAATAGCGACTTCTACAGCTTCATTTCTGACCTGACTACTTGCTGCATTTGAATTTTCTTATTACAGACAGATCCAGTATCGGAAAATGTTTGGACTATTTTGGTAATATACGAATGATTCACATTTTTATTGGGATGATTGTTTTTGCTCATAAGATATAATGGTGACGCAGTAGAAAGAATTCTTTTTAAAATTCTTTCTACTGCGTCACCATTATATCTTATGAGCAAATTAACTTTTAGATCGTCTACGCACAATGTAAACATAAGAAACAATTTTAATTTATCAATGCCTCGTCACTCTAGTGCTATTTATAATCGTAGTTTTTCGTATAACGCAGTTGTTCTGTACACTTTACATACTGATATTAAAAAATCACGATCTCTACCTGTTTTTAAAAATGCTTTAAAAAGGCAACTCTTTATTAGTCAAATGTAAACTGGTAGATATAATGAGCTACTAATGTCAAATTGTATTGATAAACTTTTAATATTATAGTTATTTAAATGTATATGTTTTGTTAGGGTTAGGTGTAAGAATAGCCACAGGCTAAACCTCGCCCATGCTAACTGTACAAAAATGTAATTATTTTGTGCAAATAAAGACCCGTTATTATTATTAAACAACCGAGCAGTAAGCCTAGCGCAACTATTTTTTTTTGTGTCATCGGCTTCAACTGCTAAGGTTATTTCGTTATTTCTGTGTAGGCTTTGTTACTGTTTCCCAACGCCACTTTAGGAACAGCACTGTTAATTAGAACCCAACAGTGAATGGCCGAGTGGGGAATTCTACTAAGGCATCAGAATTAATTTTAAATAATTAAATTAAATGAAAAAATTCCGGCCAACGGTGTAATTCGAACCTGGGACCCTTGGATCCACAGGCAGAGACTCTACCATTGAGCCACCCACCCCGTGCGCAACTATTATTTTGAAAATAAAGTTTCACAATCAATTCGTTCTGGAATGGAATAAACCATTTTTTTAAATAAAATAATTTTAAAAGCAACCAAATTATAAAGAAACCACAATTAACGTTTGCCTAAATTGTTTTCTTATTTTATTTCTTTACTACAGTAACCTACCGCACCCAGGTACCTTAATAATTTATTAATTCCATTTATTAAATACAATATTGCATTCTTATTAAATTCAAAATCCTTCATTTAAAAAAAATCTCCCAGATAATTAAATCTTATTTACGACACCTAATAAATAATAGCTATAACCACGTCCATAAAAGATCCAAAATTGGTGCACGTGGCTGAGTTCCTAAAGTAAGAAAACACCATAAAACATTTCTTTTCACGAAGTAATTATCATTAAAACACTTAACACGCTTATCTTTCTAGTTTCAATATTAAGGCCGATTTCGACAATATTTCGATACACAAAGCTTTCAAGGCAAGTAATAAATAAGCCACCCCCTGCACCCACCGTATTTCTATGAGAACTAAAGACATAAAGACGTCACAAAGCCATTAAAATTTTAGTATAAGAAGTCAGACCCAAACGAGCTCGTATTCATTCATTTTTAATTATTTGATGTGCATGCATTCATTTATTATTTGATGTGCAAGCCCTCATTTATTATTTGTATCCAGTTATATTTCAAGTTCAGTAGTCAGTACCTTTCCTAAAACGCTCTTCCTAAACGACGTTTATCCTACATACCTCCTATCCCCGAAAGGTGTCAACGTCTCGACGCCCAACGTCCTGCCGTCCTACTCCCAACGTCTCGAACGCTGTCACATTCCGCACCATCTAAGTATTTCCTACCTTACATTCATTCCGACGCCCAACGTCCCATCGCTCTACTCGACGCCCCTAAATATTTCCTTCATAATATCCTTGTCGACACCCTTCGTCACGTCCCGCACCACCTACATAATTCTACCATATATTGTCCCAAATGCAGTGCCGTATTAAATACCTTCCTTTCCACCACGACGCTAGGCGTCTCGACGCGAGGCGGCGCCCAACGCCGCGACGTACCTAAATCGACGCCGTCACAACGCTAGCTGAAATTAGTACATAAGCTAATGTCTGTATTTTCAATGGTCAAAAGATTTATGTACCTTTCTTTGAGGTATCACCCGGGTTTCGTTTAAGGGCAGGCTTGACATTGCTGTAAAATATTATCAATAAACAACATGGCCTTCAGGTCATACACCCCAAACATCTATTTTCGATGGGTGAAATTTTGAGTATTTTAATAGAAATTATAAAAATCAATATTAAGAAATATACAGGCTTGTATTAAGTTATTTCAATAGAAATTATAATAATCAATATTAAAACATATACAGGGTTGTATTAAGTAATTTCAATAGAAATTATAAAAATCAATATTTTAGAAATATACAGGGATATGTGCTATCTTGGATAAATTGTACAAATTAAGATGGTAAAGTTTAATAGTAAGTTAACCAACTGGTGAATACGCTGTTCCTTAGCTCAAGGGGGACACCTATACGCTAAGCAACCCGTTCTACCAGGTTTGAAACAAAGTATATGTGAAATCAACATAGTAAGGTAATCAACTGGCGAATTGGCGCTGTTTGTTACTTCCTTTGGTCATCACATCTATACTCATCGTAATATTTACCTAACAGGGTGCAACCTGTATATATCTAGAATAGAATCAAATCAACTCAATAGTCAACAAACTGGCGAATTGGCGCTGTTCGTTAACTCCGTTGGTTATCAACCTAAATCAGAATATAAACAACACAATAATTAATCAACTGGCGAATTGACGCCGCTCGTTAACTCTGTTGGTCATCAACCTAAAAAAAATGTATATTGATAGAAATTAATATGGTCTGCGTTTGAACGGGACTCAAGTGAGAGCTCAGTAAATAGTAACAATTGCAATATAATTTGCTAATTATTGCATCACATTTAAAGTATGAAAAATAAAAAAGAGTGAAAACTGTTTTTCTTTATTTTTAAAGGACCCAAATACCAATTGTTACACCTATAACGTCTGCGGATTTTGACATATTGACATCCTTATAAAACCCAAGGCATAAAGGGAAGCCTAGGGTGGTTGGATATATACTTAATTGTTCAATGAATTATTTTTTATTTGCATTATATTTATTTAAATAACCTTAATGTCAAAATTAATACATTATTAGTAAAGCGAAACATTTAAAATTTTACTACATAAAAATAATTTTTGTTTTTATGGCCTGTTTTCCTAAAAAATATCAATTGTACTCGTGACGAGCTATAATGCATGTGTCGTGATATTGAATACACAACATAGTACTATTTACTTGTCACTTGATTGATTATACGAGTACATACCTAAAATACAATTTAGATTAGAGAATATTTCGATAATTTTCATAATATATTTAACCACATTATATTCTAGAATAACATTAGGAATTCCGTAGAAAAAAAAGTGAATTAAATTTGTCAAAAAGAAGGAAAAATTAAGACTTTTACCATTATAATCAACCAATGGACTCGTCGGATAATTGAGTGACCTTAGCTTGTAGTTCCTCAAAATTTATGGCAACATGTATTTATCTACATATACCAATCTTGGGTGATATCTTCCTTGTTGTAAGATATAATAAAATGATGTATCAATAAACTTTGAGGGCCAAATTTTAAAATGACGATACGAACCAATCATGTTTTTTTAAACCGAACACCAGTTTATTATTTCAGCTTTAGATTACTCTCATTTTTTACATTCTTCTAATATTCTAATATATAGTTTGTCAAGGTCAGTGGTCGGCTAACCGTGGCTCTCGAGCCGCATGCGGCTCTTTGGCCCCACAAACTATAAAGTGTGGGCTCGCGCATATAGTGCGATTGAAATTTCGTGATGGCTGTTTTTCTTATTTCCATTATTTCATACTTAATTGGTGTTTATGTGCCCTTATCTTTAGGCGAGTACTTTCTTAAGCGACTTATTGAAAAAACTTTTCCAGAAAGATAAAATATTAACATGTATCGTACAATATATTACTTCTGAGCGCGTATCGCCGCAGGAAAGACTATAATTGTAGTAAAAATCTGCACCCCTGCATTTTAATCTCCCTCTGTCCGAAGCGTTTTGCCTTCCCTCCAAGGTTTCATTTTGAATTACTTTCCAAGCCTGTTGAAATTGTGATATTGCCATTTTCTATTTCAAAACAATACTTTTAAATATTATACAATTTAATTTTATCAATAAATAGTATCTTTATTAAGTATGTATCAAGTTTTATTCAACACATTATTCGAAAACGTCGGAGAGCATCGTAATCAAACCGGTAAACATGTACAATAAACATACTCGTTATTTGTTATAAGTATAGCCTAATTTTGTTACTTTGGTTTTTTATTTTTGTGAAATTATGAAGAATTTGCAGTCAAAATAAAAACTTTTTAAAATACATTTTATTTACCGACAAGTCAACTTTTTCATTGCACAATTAACAATCCAGAGACATTGCTCGGAAAAATAAACATTCAAGTATTCCGACATGCACACAGTATCCTTAAAAATGAAATGATTGCACTGGTATTTTAACCACATTTTTGTCATTAATAGTAAACTTAACGGTCAAAAATATTAAGATTAAATTCAAAATCAAGTTATTATTTTTCACTTGCATAATTCCTAATTCTAGAGATAATGATACCCCACAATATAGTTCATTCAATACTAAATTGGAACTTTCTATGAGATCGCGGATCACAGGAGAGGTGGTAGTCGTTATACCCAAAATATAGATGAGTATTCACTCGCAGTGCCTATAGCCTGTGGCTCATATAATTTTTTTCCTAACCGGTAAAAGGAGAATGAACGATAAGCGATAGACAAAACAAAGAGCCGACCTTAGCGAACGTACCTGAATCAGATTGAGGATATTTTTAGCAAAAGCCAGCTTAGGAGTACCCTAATTAAGTTAGCAACAATGTAAATACCAGTATAGTTTAAATTTAAAAAATTTGGCCCCCAAAAAAAATTTCAGCCGTTTTACTGTTGCTATTTGGCTCTGTTGACTAATGAGTGACGATCACTGGTCTAGGTTATGTAGGGTACTCTTAAAGAAATTGGCATTTTTGTATGAAAATCGTAAGTAAATAAACGCGCTGTAGCCAATTATATACTGTGGAGAAAATAGTTTTTTTTTCCTACACGAGTTTTTTTAATATGTTTTACACTTTTCTTTAGTAACGATTTTATTTTATATTTATTAGTATAAAGGACGACTCAAGATTCGGACCTTTGATTTTATTGTTTTATTTAAATGGGACACCCTATATTTTATATCACTAGTGGAACTCTCTGTACTAAGCCTTCCATTTTTATTAAGCATACCCTATACCTAAAGTTAATATTTATCGATATTTGGTAACATTAAATGAAAATTGTGGTTTAAATAGGCATACCTTCACTATTACTCCACTTCAAACCCACATTTTATAGTTACTATCATGGAGTAGTTAAGTAGCAAAACCAGACGACAGAAAATTTTTGCAATTTTTTTGTTATAGACTTTTAGAAACAAATTATTTCATTGCCAACAAAAAACGAAAAAACTCCATTGATAAGGAACATTATTTTGAATTTAATAGGTTAAATGGCTAGACACATCAGATATTTATAAATAGAAATCAGTTGACACTAATAACAGAGCTTCGACTAACCAATTTTCATGATTTTGTTTATTTGGAATTGGAACTTCTCATTGTAAACAGTTGTATTTATGGTCGTCAAATAAGTAATATGTAAAATAAAATATATAAAAACAAAATATTTAGGTATAAATAAAATACATTTCAAACGAAATACACTAAACATTTAGATGAACATCCTTTATCTAGATAAAATAATCATCGATTTTGTAAAAGCACATATTAATGAGTAACTTTTTAAAACTTACCAATTTTTCAATTTATTTTTAGATTCTTTTTATTATTATAAAAAATCAACAAAATAGGAAGTTATAAAAGTACATTTTGAATTTATTATGTGAAGGTTTAAAATTATTCTTAACATTACAGCTACATACATATATTACTACACTTTAATAATTTAAGTATCTACATCAATTGTAATCTCTTTAGGTGTTGGGTAATAAACATTAGAAGCCAAATGTTCCTTGAAGTATTCATGGCCACATTCCTCATAAACATTCTTTGTTAGCAAATATTTGGAATAATCACCTTTTCTTGTAAACTCCCTAGCTCCATACCAAGATGTTAAATTGCAATTTTCCATTATACATATATTAACCTCCGACTTAAAAGGTCTAATAGAAATTAAGTCTTTTAGAAGTCTCTCTCGCAAACCAGGAAGATTAGCTAAACCTCCTGTAACTATTACATTTGAGGCAAGTTTTAGTTGATCTTCAGGTTTGCAAAGAGATAAAACGTATCCTAAAAAAATATTTAAAAATGAGACTTGTTGAAACTTTTTATAAGTAGAAAGTGTTTATAAGTTTCCTTTGTAGGATATTTGTTCTTAAATATACATACCTATTACTTCTGACAGTCCTGCTTCTGATGAACCAGACATATATGGTTTAAATATAAGTTCAGGAGCTCTATACATCTCAATACCTACATGAAGTTGGTGCATTTCACCTAAATTTACACCTTCTTCAAATTGTGAGGGATCGTGTATTCTTAAAATTTCTTCTAACTCCATTAGTTTTTCATTTTCCGTTTCGCTGTCGGAATCACCACCTAAAAATTATAATAAATATTTGATCATTTTTTTCATAAGCAAGTTAGTTATTGATAATTTCTCTATTCAAAAAATATGAATATAAATAATTTGAAAATCTACCTACCATCTTTGCTGATAGTTTTGTAAATATCCCAATCTTCATCTCTAAGACCAAAATCATCATTGCCCTTTTCTTTTCTGGCCAATTGTGATATTATCCTCATCCTTTCTTGTCCAGCAGCTGTTCTCCTTTTAAAAATGTCTTGTTTTCTTTGCTTCCTAACTAGTTTTCGGGTAACAATTTCTTGTCTCTTAAAAGTAGAATATATACTGTTTATTTGATAATATTTTTTAAATAGTATTTATACTCACCATCTTTTTAGCATTATCTAAAAACGAATGTAGAGCTGAATCACTTTCGAAAACCATTTTCGAATATTTAGCTTGTTTGACAGGAGGTTCTTCTATTTCTTCAATATTACTAGCAGCCAATATTTTTTGTTTAGTTTTTTCTATTCTAATATTAAGATTTCCAATAGCTTTTTGTAATTCTTGTACATTTTTTAGTTCAAATTCTGTTAAGATTTGTTCAACTTCATCTTTTTCTGCACCAAAATCGATAATTTCTTGGACTTCTAAGAGTTGTCTTAATTTTTCTTGGTCTTCGGCTAATCGTTCTTCCCGTTTTCTAGCGTTTATCTCTGTCAGGCGTCTGGCTAGTTCTCGTTTGCGTTCTTTCTGTTGTTCCACTGTGAATATTTTTATTTTAAATGGAAACATGAAATACCCATTTTGGAATTAAAGAACTAATGGCTTTCCTTCGAATGTCATAAGTAAATAATAATAAATTAATTTAAAATATATACATATTAATAAACAATTAAAAATGTAAACCTTATATTAAGTAACTGGCTACAAAATTCTGATTGGGAAATAATCATAATAGCCACATTTTGTTCCATGGAAAGGTTGGGCGAATGTAGCAACATTCCTAGTTACTCAAGCTGTAGAGGGCACAGAAAATCCAATTTGGGATAAGTAGGAACAATCGGCATATGAATTATGTTAAATAAAACTTTAAGATGCCTTGTGACATTCGGCGGTCGCTTGGTTGTTAGGGTTACATTAAAAGTACATTGCATGCGAGCTTAAAGAGCCTAAAACTGCAGCTTATTAATTCAGATGGGATGTTTTTGTGCTAGATGGACAGGTACCTATTGAAAAACCTAGGTATATCTCATGGAGGCAATAGGGAGAGGAATCGCAATTTGTGCAATGAAGCGGTATCACCTGCGCCATATTGTTACCATCCTAATGTCATTTGTGTATACAAATGTCAAAATGTTATAAATTGTGTTGTATTTGCCTTATTTTTCGGTTTATATTGTGTTCGTCTTATTTGTATATAGTCTTAGTTGAAGGCCAGTTAAGAACAAAATGGTATCCATGTACTTTACATGGTTGTAAGAGCCGATATCGTTTAGAAACTAAAAAAATTATCGGGGATAACATTTATCATAGGTTAATTATCTAAATAGATACAGTGTACACAGAGACATAATCGGCAACCGACCATTTTGAAGAAAAATAATTCGATCGATCTTTGTCTAGAATTATTTTGAGAAATGATGCTATCCCAACAATTTTGAGTTGAAACCTATGCCATATTTTTAGCCTATTTTGAGGTTATTTTTATACTGTATTTAAATATTTTATGCTCCTCGTTTTTTACAAAAAACAACCAGGCTTTTAAAATATTAATTTTTTCGAAAAATTTGCCATTTTTTAAAAACAACCTAAAAATGTGACGCGGTTGTTTAATAAAAAACATTTAAAATGCTCTGCTTCCCCGTATTTTTTCAAAAATATTTTACAATATTGCAAGTGGCAAAAAATAGCCTAAAAATGTGGCATAGTTGTTAAAAAAGAAAACAAGAAAAAAAAAAAAAGGTGATCTGGTGACTTTGTTCTAAGCTGGCATATTTTTTAAAAATAGTAAATTGTTATAGTATTTCACGAGCCTAAAAATGTGGTTTGGTTGCTTTTAGGAAAACTTTTAGTTTTATAACATTTCAATAGCCTAAAAATATGGTGTGGTGTTAATCTTTATAAAAACCGAGATGTTCTGCTAGCTTCGACGACACCTTGATTAAAAAAAAACATGTTTCAACTCAAAATTTCCTAGGTCATATCCATGAATAGTCATTATGGTGTTTTAGTTGGAGCACTGTATTTGATTTAATTTATTAAAATGGACATACTAGTAGAATCTATGCATACTCTTTAAAAACGAGGCCCATGGAAAGATATATTTGGTCTAGAAGTCATTTATAAATATATCCAAAATGTATGACTTTCAAGGGAAAGTCAGTTCTTTATTATAACCTACTACTTACAAGTTAAAGCATTGCTTGCTGAGGTATAAGGTAGCTGAATTTTTTTGATATTCTGTTCATAATAATCATTATTGGTCCATCTCATCAATTCTTCCTTATAATCTGGAGCAATTGCACATATTGTATGAAGTAGTTCTTCAACCCTACTCAAAGTAATTGCAGTTGCATGTGCTGGGTATTTAAGTTGTAATATTCTGTGAAGAAAAGTAATAATACTCCATCCACCTACAAATTTTGCTTGATTGAACTACGTCCCATCTTGTAATTTATTTTTAACTTACCAATATTTAGTCTTCTTGTATTTTCAAAATCTGTTTGATTATTAATAATAGGGATAACATGACATGTTTGATATCCCAAACTAACGATCAAAGCATTTTCTAATGGCTTAGGTTGGGCATAATGGTAAGAAAATAGAGAGTCCACCCCATACGATACACCAGGAATTCCATAGCATTCAAATAATAACTCTGACATTACTAAAAGATATTTCAAACATTGAATTAATTTTTGATATTTAGGTTTCTTTTACAATATTTTTTGTATTTGCTTCCTTTGTTTGGTGAAACAGTAACAAAGGTTACACAGAATACATAATCAATAAAGAAACCAAATATCAAAATGAGACTAGCTAATTGGGTATAGGTAATAGCAAAGATAATAACACTAAGAAAAAGAAAATCCAAAAGCTTCTGTCCAGGTCCGGCATGATGTCTGCATCCGATCAATTTTAGCATGAGACAATTCAGCGCGGGACAAATCTGCTGCGACCAATTCATGTTAAGACAAGTTAGCGCCTAATATAAATATATATTAATCCTTCTAGCAATTGCTAATTTACATTGGTAGTTAGGTATACATATAAAATAATTTAAAGTAAAATAGTACTATTAATATAAAATCATAAAATAAAAACTTAGAAAAAGCAGGATTAAAGAACATTATTACAAGAAATAGTCTCCGTTCTATTTAAGTATCGTTTGAGGTTACTTTTGAATACATTTATTGATATTTTGTTTTTAATTTCTGGAGAGTCTATTAAATTCTTGCAAATCTTTAATAAATATTGTATTTTGGGAACTTTTAGTGATGACTTCAAAGTCAGATTGGCTTCTTGTTTGTAGTTGTGATATTGAGAATTATATTGAATTTTTTGTAATATATATTATGGTACCATGTAATTTTGAATTTTATATCTTTTAACATAGTTACAATACTCATGTTTTTGTCCTTTATCAATATTATCCACATTGCTGTTTTGAAGTATTTGGAATTCCCAATTTCAATTTTATTCAATAAATATAAAATTGTAGCACAGTATGTGATGACCAACGATTAAAATAGTTTACTCACCTAGGGTAGTTTAGCTACTAAGGCAATAACTGGTTTGTAGAAGAGTACTTAAATCCTTATTTTAAATACTCAATACTGTACTGCCGGCATTTCTTTTTAATCGACTTCAAAAAGGAGGAGGTTCTCAATTTGTCGGTATATTTTTTTAGACACAGAATTTTAATATGCAAATTAATTTCTCAACAGATTTATAGATAGTTATAGAAATAATATCTCACAACTATTTATCACGATGAAGCACATTAAAATAAAACATTCCTAGAGTTATCCCTTTTATAGATTTGACTTTATGCACGTATTAACTTGTATGTTTGCGATGCCGGCGTACTTGCTCTATAGTCATTTCAAGTGTCTATGTTCTTGTTGGATTGCATGAATATAGGTCTTGTATTTTATTATATAATTATAATTTCCTAAATAGATTCCCTATAGGCACACAATATTTCAAAATATTTTAAAAACATTTTTATTTATTATTTCTAAATGATTTATTTGAAATATTTGTTAACTAATTTTTTTAAACTTTTTTTTTAATTGAAAAATAAATATTTTTATATTTTGGTGGTGCTAAGGTAGGAATTGCCTTAACGCCACCAATTTGCCTCTGGATGCGCTACCGCCCCCATAGAAAGTTCCAGCCCCCACTGGGGGACGGTATCGCCTCCGTTGGTAACCTATGATTTGGTACACATTGTAGGACTGTTTCACAGCTTTTTTTCCCTTAAGCCTGACTGTACACTATAAATCATTTACTTTTTTCCTAAGCAATCAACAAGTTATTATTATTAATTAATAAATATACACAAAATGTAATGTCTTTGAATATACATTATTATTAATAGGGTCGGGTCGGTAGTGTAGCGGTCTAACGCGCCTATATTCATTTATAGGCAAGTTTATGAGTCTGAGCCTGCTGGGCTTCGAATCCCAGACCAGATCATGTGGATTATTGGATGGTTCGGTTTAGGATTTGATGTGTGCCGTATTAATAGAAATTCAATTTCTGTTGATATGACATGCAGATTAAAAAATCGCCATGCATTACCGTCTCGATGATGGTGGGTGAGGTTTTCCGGGGTTTCCTCACCTGTAAGTCAAATGGCACCATCAATCATCTTTAAGTCGCCCCGGAGCGCCACGGCAAATAATAATATCCGTCCCTTCCCCTACACTAGTCGTTCAGTCGACTTCAGGGGTTGAAATTCACTCGTAAAGGGGTGAATTAGGGAGAGTATTATTATTATTATTATTAAATCTACTGCTCTATGTGAGTTTGATAATTTTGGAATTGGTGTCAGCGTTGAAATTTTCAAGTCATCCAGGATGATGTTAGTTTCTAGGCAGGTATTTATATTTAATAATGGATGTGCAATACTCTCGGAAGAGTTCTTTTAAAATACAGTTGAAATTTCATCTGGACTTCCTTTATTGGACATGTTATAAATAATTTCTTCTAATTAATTAAACTGAATGTTTTCAACTTTTATTGGCATGTAGAAATAACTAGATGCTCGATCAATGTTATCTAGTAATTCACTAATACTATCTATAAAATAAATGTTCAGTGCTTTTCGTATCTGATATACTTACATCCTTTATTATTTGACATTCAGCTAATTCTAATTCAAGTAATTCATTACATAAATGTTGAAACAAGTTAGGGCTTAGTCAAAACAAAGAGACAAATTAGCATGTAACAAAATATTCGAGTAGGCATTCTTATTAAAAAAAAAAAAAAAAAATTCAACTAACTTATCTCACCTGTGCAGCAATGGGCCAATGTGGGTTGATTGAAAAAAAAAAAACATAAAAATTAAAAAACATCTAAATTACCTAACCTGTGCAGTCTGGAGCCATATACAGCAACCAGCAATGGCTCCAGGCCGCACAGGTTATGTAACTTAGATGTTTTTTTTTTAATTTTTGTCAGGTACTAATTTATCATACTTTTTTTTTATTAAGCGTTAACTTGACTCACTATAATTTGACCAGTCCTTAGTTTGTCTCATTTTATTTATTTCAGGTGCTAATTTGTCTCTGCGTGAATTTGTTCCACACGGAATTGTCTTGTACTAAAATGGATTGGATCCAAAAATACCACTTGAAGTTATCTCTCAAAACAATTTAAAAAATATTTTACATCTATCAAAAGTTTTTGTACAGGTCTAACATGCTGTCTATATCAACAACCCATACCCCTAATGTATTCAAAATTCTTAGTATTTAGGAAACTAGGTAGACATTTTTTTTTTCATTTTATGGCTTAGGTATATATGGCTGCGATAAGTCAACAGTCAAGCTGACTGGTATAGTCAGACCTGTTGCTGAACAATTTAGTTAAAACTGTCTAGTTCTAATTTTTCAAATTCATAATCAGCACAATAAAAAGTACCAGTTTTCACCATACAGACTATAATATATTTAAAAAAAAGTGAGTTATTCCCAAATTAGTGTATTGAGTTTCTTTTTAATAATATAGTTCTTTATACATATTTTTTATTTAAAATAATTATAGAAATGGACCATCATTGAGGTTTAAAGTTATTTAGAGTCTTAAAACACTCAACTCACTGGTATTAAGTAGTAGTAAGTTTTTTTTTTCATGTGTGCAAGTACTATATCTAACATTAGACCAACAACCATTCACCAGATAGCTACATCTAAGTCAAACAAAATTTATTGACTGTTCTGTCTGATCAGTTGATTAGTCATGATGGTCAGTTTAAAGCACCTTATACCTAATATGCCAGTCTCAGTTTATGTTTGATTTTTTATATGTTCGATGTAAGCTTTGTCACTGTTTCCAGGCATCACTTTAGGAAGAGTACTGTTAATTAGAACCCAACATTGAATGGTCAGAGTGGGGAATCCTACCTAGACATCAGAATTATTTTTAAATAATTTAATTAAATAAAAAAATCCAGGCCAACAGTGGAATTCGAATCGGGGAACCTTGGATTTGGAAGTCTAGACTCTAACCACTGAGCCACCCACCCTCCCAGGTAGACATTAATCAATAAAATATTCACAAAATGGCTAAATTAAAAAAATTACATGTGTATTAATTACTATTTAAATTATTTTTAGTTCGAAACATAATTAAGAAGTAAACAACTGAGACGGCCTTCTGAGCTATTTTAAAGGATTAATATATTGATACCTTAATAGGTAAAGTAACTTACATTGTCTCGAACTGTTAGGATTTAAAAATGCCTCTGTCAAAATCAGTGGATGATTAACACAATTTTCTGTATCTATACCTAAATGAGTAAAAGTATAATCAAACAAATGCTCTTGAGCTTCAAAATGTGTCACTACGTTTCTATCAAATTGTGTTTTTAGTTGAAATCTCATGGTTTCAATATTTACAATATCATTCCCTATTTGTAATTGTGGTGTTTGAGGAACTTCTATAGTATCTTTTTTCAATCTCTCTTTTCGTGGCTTGGCTATTAGGTTCCTAAATTGTAGCAAAGGAGATTCGTTTACTGACCATCCTACTCTACATATATATGATCCTATAAAGTAAAATGTAGTATTTAGTCAATATTTTATTTATATTATTGGTTAGTTTACTTGCCATTATCTATTACAAGCGGTACAGAATTGTTTTTTAATGAAGATGAATAAGTATGAATTATATCAGGTGTACATTTCGTATCTGTGAATTCCATTAACTCCATTTTTAAACAAAGAAATATAACTATGTATATCAATTTATAATTTTTCATCAAATATTAACAAAACAGAACGATAACCTAACCTACAAAACATCTACTTTTCTATGACATATACAAAACATTTATTTTGAAAATTCAGTTCGATCATCTTGTCTAGAACATGATGCTCCAGAACCAGAACTGCATCAGACACGATACGACGATTGGTGATTGGTGAGGGCGAGAGTAACAAACAAACGTAAATTGTGTGCAGGGGTGGGAAACTGGTATGCGCAGGCCTGGGATCAATCAACCACGTCCGCGTGGCGCTGCAGTCGGGTGGTGGGGTAGGTGGTGGGAGTGTAAATGACAGGTGAATATTGATTTTTGTGGGGGTGTCATGGCGTCTTGGCTTAAACCAAACGTAAACTTTGTTTATTTATATTGGTGACTGTTGTATTCAGTTGTTTTCATTTCCAATTTGCTTAATTGATTTAGTTGACCACTGTTAATAAGCTTGTTTTTCCATTATAAATTTGTGCTTTTTCCGCTGTTATTTTGTGGTTTTTCATAAAGATGCGTAATTATAGAAAATGTGTACCGAATTGCCTTGTTGTGGACAACAAGATGCATCGCCTGCCTCACCCTACGAATTCACCCGATTTATTTGATATTTGTGCACTTGCTGTTCGTTGTCCAAGATTTAATAATAAAACAAGACTACAAATTTATTCCACCTTTGTAGTATGTCATAAACATTTTGAAGAGAAGTATAAAGTAGTTGGCTCTCGTCGAGGTCTAACACCTGAAGCATTTCCAACGCTATTCCTACCAGCAGTTCCTGGAAGAGTAGCGGATGGACTTTCCTCAAATAACGTAGAAATTGAATATGTTGATCAAACACCTTCTACTTCAAGTAAAGGTTCGAAGAAGAAGCAGACTAATAATATATGTTGGACTTCTTTTCGAGAAGGAAAGTTAGTAATCTACTCATTTATTTTATACTTATACTGTGTATTTTCTGTTTCATGACATTTGGGGTTGCAAAGCTGTATCGTAGAAGAAGAAGCAGACTAATAATATATGTTGGACTTCTTTTCGAGAAGGAAAGTTAGTACTTATTTATTTTATACTTATTGCTGTGTTTGAGAATCCACATCAGATGCATTTTTTACATCTCGAGCGTTTTTTTATCGACATACCTATATATAAAATGTTTATTTAGTCAAAAAAACTATTTTTTACATGTCAATACATCTTTACGTTTAAAATATAAAAAATACATAAATATAGAATCAACATACATTTAAAATGCAATAAAAAATACATAAGATACAGTACACTTACATGTCAACTATACAAAACAATAAAAGAACAAGAAAGAGAGAAAAAAAACGTCAATAGGTGAACAGGTATTCATGCAGTTTTATTTTAAATATTGCCACATTTGAAGAACATTTAATATCCTCAAGCAAATTATTAAAAGCCTGTACACCTTTAAAAAACACTGAATTTTGTGTACATTTTTCTTGTTACCTGTTTAGGTTCATGAACATCCTGATTATAACTTAAAATATTTTGTAAATATACTCTGGAGATTCCTGATTTAATTTTAAATATAAAAAGCAGGGAATAGAATAGCAAATATTTTTTAACAGTCAACCACTGAAGCACATTCAACATGGAATTGATTGGTTCCAATCTCGAACAGCTCAGTATTATCCTCAGACCTCTATTCTGCAACTTTTGCAATCATTGCAACTCATTCTGGTTGAGCAAATACAGTATAGTGGCACAATAATTAAAATAAGGTAATATTAAGAGTATTATAAATTATTATTTTAGTCCATTTGCCGAGATGTGGAGAACAGCGCCTCAAATAGTTTATTTTAAATCGGACACATCTGTCCCATTACATTTACGTAAATTGAATCACGTGATCAAAGATTTACTTCATCTCAGTTGCATCCGATGTGGATTCTTAAACGCTGCATATACTGTGAAATTTGTGTTTCATGACGTTTGGGGTTGCAAAGCTGTATCGTAGATGTAGGACTTATTAAAAAATAAAGTATTCCTCGGACTTATAATTTTTTATTAATACATTTATTTTAATGAGATTGTACTTATACTGTCTTTCTTTTTTCACAGCTAAAGTTCTTCACAAAATGATGGACAGTGTTGTATCCTGGAATATGTAGCAGCCATCCAGCTACTTCATACATAATACAATTTTCATATACATTACATTTTTTAAATATTGGATTTGTATTATATATATTCTTTAATAAATTTATTTTTTGAATATTCTTGTTTTTTTTATCTAAAAACTGTTAGCCAAATTAAGATTTGTTCACAAAAACTGCATTTTTGCTTTATTATAGCGATATTCGCTATAATAAAGCAAAAATGCAATTTGTGTGAACAAATCTTAATTTGGCTAACAGTTTTTAATGCGGATAATTTTTACTGTCAAATTTGAATAGCCCCGCGCTTTTCTTCTCTTCTTCTTTTTATTATTTTCTCTTCTTTCATATGGCCTCTTACCAGACAAGGACTTAATTGAAAAAAAATCAACCACGTCCACCAGGTGCCGCTAAAAACTCTATCATCCTTTTTTAACATGGGAGTTACCGTTCTAAGAGTAAGTGTTCTGTGATTGTGTGAATTTTTTGTCCCAATTGTTGTCCTGTCCCTTTTCCCGCCATTTAAATGGATTATTTCATAGAAAAATTGTTTTCATTGTAAAGATTTCAATAATTAAGTATTCAAGGCAACAGGGCAGGTAAGTTATTTAAGCATTTTCCGTATTTTCTAGTTTTATTAACAATTTTCATCTCACGATTTATGAAAATTTGTTTCATATTTTAATGAACGTCTGTCAAAGTCAAATTATTGTCAGTTTGACATTTGGCACTTTGGCAGACGTAAACAAACGACAAAAGTAAAAGGAAAAAGCAGACGACATAACGTGTGTGAGTGCGTAGTTAAGTGCCGAAAAGGAAAAGTTTTAATATAAAAATTAAAAAATAAAATGGATGTTCCTGGTTTCTTGTATGCAGGTTTGGTAGCAGCTGGTGGAGCTGTTGGATATTACAAAGCTGGTATGTGCTTACATCTTATATTTGCATTAAAAAATACAAGTCATACCATTAGATAAATTGATATAGAACCTCGTATAGAAAGAACATGATATACATTAATTATCTATATCAAAATATTTCAGTTTTTTGGAACTAAACTGGCCAATTTCTATAAAAATTGTTTAACCATCAATATAAATATTATAAGCAAAAAAATATACCTTGGCTTTTTTTAGTAATATGTACTAATTAATTTATATTGTAAGTATATGTATTATTATATGGGATGACAATTAAAACACTTATAATAAATTAAAGAAAAGTAAAACCCAATAAAAACAATTTATTTTGGACTAGAATAAATTTAAAGATGACATCATAAAAGTAAAACCTAATAAAAACAATTTATTTTGGACTAGAAATATTTAAAAAATGTATTTTTAAATAGGTTTTTAGTTTTTATGTACTATTGTACTATCCTGTATAGGGTGTATCTTATATCATTGATGCTGAGTTCAGGCAACTCATTTCCTTCGGAGAGAGGTGACTTGGGAGCAAGCTTGCACAGTAATCAATACCCGTTCCTTGTTTTGGGATGTATTAATATCTTTCATTTTCCTCCATGTTGTGAATGTGCAGGTTTAATTCTATTTTGCTTTGGAATTTGGAATAATTAAGGAAATATCTATACAATGTTGCTGGTATGCAAGAAAATGGTATAATATCAGAAAACAATTAAATATTGCTTATTGAAGAGAATATTTCTCTATGACAGAGAATATCAAAAGTTGCTGGTTTCAGATGAAAATTAAATACAAATTGATCATCATATTCATATTGGGTAATGTGTTTTTGGCAAAATTACAAAAGTTTTCCCTTATCATTGGCAAAATCATATTCTACTGTAAATTTTACAATCCACATTAAATAACCGTAAACATAAACATATGATTATTGTTTTGTATAAGGTTGTTTATTATTATTTCCAAACTCCTAAACATAAGTAACATTCAAATTAATAGTTCTGTATTTTGTAAATTAAGTTCCCCCTTCATATCCTAGAAACAATTTTAAGTATTTTCTGATATCATTTTTAGTTCATATCCATTGTAAGTTTTTCAATTATCACCCCTCTATATATTATTATGAGAGTTAGCTTCTTTGATTTTATAGGGTAATTTTATTAGTATTTAATTCAATATTTTTTTAGGTTCCATACCATCTCTGGCTGCTGGAGTAATTTTTGGAGGAGCTTTAGCTTTTGGAGCGTATGAAGTTACTAAGGATCCCTCTAATTATACATTACAACTAGCTACAAGCTCAGTATTAGCAGGTGTTATGGGTTACAGATTTTATAATTCTGGAAAAATTATGCCTGCTGGTGTTGTTTGTCTAATGTCGGTTGCTATGATTTTAAGAATTACTGGAAAGGCAGTTGGTCTTATTGAGACACAACGCAAGACATGAAAATTATATTTTTAGAAATCATTCCATAGATATTGACAGTAGTATATTTATATATATATGTATAATTGTAATACTTTTTATAGTTTGTATGTTTCAGGGATTTTATTTGGTTTTTAAGATACTATTTGTTATATAGGTGCTACTATGTTCATGTATAAGTTCATCAATCTCTAAAAAGCAAACAAAGTTTTACTTTAATAAGTAATTAATTAATCATAGGCAGTGTTGTTCCTAGGGATTGTACAACTTTCAAGATTTTGATATTGTACAACTTTCATGGTCAAAATTGTACACTTGTTGTTTGATTGAATGACCACTAAATTCTTCTTCTTTGTTTTCACTACCAGCCTACGTTCTACTACTTAACAATGCATATATTTTATCATTTTTTGTTGAAGGATAAAAGTCAATTCAGTTTCTAATTCTTTTCACTGTAAAGCAGTGTACTGATTGGTCATGAATTGCGCCAAATTTAAACTTTATTTTTATTAACTATGATGTATACGATATAACGAAACGTAGATTTTTGAACAGAAAAAAGCCTTCTACATACCAGATTTTACATAAATATTTAGCAACTTCAAATTGTACAACATTTCTACATTTTTTCAGAAGTGCATACAACAGTACAACCACATAACTGATTGTAGAGCATTTTGTACAATTATACAACCAGGAACAACACTCGTAGGCTGATTTTTTCTTCTGGTAGTCAGTTTACAGCATTTATTTTTTTATATTTTTCTCAATTTTTTCAGATCTCGTGATTAACAAACTAATTAATTTAAATTGTTTTTAATTAATTTGCCATATTTTAAGGCCATACATACATTCATTCATATTTTTTTTTAAAGTTATTTAGGATCTATAGTTAATTAGTCTTGTTATTAAAATTGTGACTATTAGTTCACTTACAATGTTTAGAAAAATAGCCTTATATAAGTATATCATGAAAAATTTTGACTGTTCTTTAGAACAATGTTATTTTAATCTCATAAACATCACATAATAACTTTGTTGTACAAACTACTAATAATGCAGTTGTAAATTTTTTTAGTGCAGGAAAATAACTTATTAGGTATGTTTTTTATATAGAGTATTGTTGACATTTTGTAATTGTTATACAATTGGTTGGGTCATTTAGTGTGTAAACTGACAACATTTTGGAAAATAGTATTATGTTTAATAAGGAACTAATGTGTTCCAAATATAGTCTAAATTTTTATAGCCATTACATACAAAATTATGAAATATCAATTTATATAAAATATATACTTTTGTTTAAAATTATTTTTTGTATTTAAAGTTGTAAATTTCTCAAAAGAGATGTATTATATAATAAATCTTAAATTAATAAAGTACTTAAATTAAAAAAAGAAATATACTTTTTATTTTCCATAAAGTAGATGGGTGATAGATATCTTTTATATAAGTATATGATAATTGATTTTATAACGATAAACCTTTTAAAGTGGCCATGATAAATATAAAAAAATACCTATTCTATGCTCATTTAAATTTTTTATCATTTCAATATCAATAACAATAATTACACCTATGATTGGGAAGTATATACTTTTAAATTGGAAGGTAGTGTTGGCTATCTCATCAATTATTGGTTACAAAAAGTTGACTAAATGGAAGAAAATTAGCCTAGAAAATAAAATGTTTCTTCATTTTATTTCCACCCTTTCAGGCATCCTTTTGCTCCCTCCTGAAGGGTTCCAGCAGGTTATCTTCAATCCGACTTGGGTTCCAGCAAAGCTCCCCAAGCAGGCTTGCGTTTCAGCCTGGATTCCCAATCAGGCTTGAGTTCCAGCCAGCCTGCCTGCCCTCCTATGGTGTTCGCATAGTGACACTGCAGCCGTATGGGCTTATGCCACAATTTGGATGCCCTACTCCTTCCCATTCATTTAACTCAAACATTCCACCGTCTTGATGGGCCCTGAGCTGTACACGTATGGTCACCCATCCAGATGTGTCATCGTGTGAGTAGAAAAGAAAAACCCAGATTTTATGGATAGGAAAGTTGCACATCTTTACGTTAGTTTGAGAAACCTTCGGATACATAAAATAATACCCATCAGCTGTCAAATATGTCAGATGCATAATTTCTATTATGATTTATGTGGTCTATAATAAAAGTAAAATCGATTTGATAAACTAAATGTACTTAAAACCAATAAACAACTATCTTTGTATTCAGTTTTTTCAATTATAACTTTTTTTTTCAAATTAAAATAAGATTATGTTATGTTGGGAATGGGGTGTTAATACACTGCGACCTAAAAAAATTATTGTGCCCCCTTCTGCCGCTAAGGCAACAAGGAAATGTCTCAATACCTATAACGACCTTTCCAATCCTATCTTCTCAAAGAAGTGTAGGATTTGGAGTGGATTCAAGTTAGGTAAAACTCCCTCTTCTATTTGATATGCTTCTAGGTATAGTGCCGTTGGATTCTGGAGTGCTACACATTCAGTTAGAATGTGAATGGAGGGTTCGTCCCCCTCATAGAATCTGCACTTACTATCTTCTACTAATCTCAGTTTACTAAGGTGTCCTTTTAGTCAACAATGCCCAGTAAGGATCCCTGTTACAATACGTAACCTGTTCTTGCTCAGACAGATGCAGGCTTCCGATCTTTTCTGGTTATATTCACCCAGAAGTATCTTAGCTTGTCTCAGCCCAAAAGATTATTCCAATTATCGGTTCTTCACTGCCCAATTCTTTTTTAACCTCCTAATATTGTTACTGCTGATACCGCCGAATGGCTTAGGTCCCACAAAGCCCCTTTCCTTGCGAGACTATCTGCAAACTCGTTACCCTGTACCCTGTTATGTCCCGGGACCCAAGTGAGAGTAACTCTATTTTTTACGCCTAGTTCATTCAATTGTTCTAGACATCTCCAGACTATTTTTAAGCTGAATACGTAAGAGCTCAGCGCTTTGATAGCTGCTTGGATATCGGACATGAAGCTTTCGGAGTGCTTGGTTCTCGGCCCATATACTCCTATTCTAGTTCGTTCTATGGTTTTGGAACCATGATGATTGCTCTCACTATTTCAGTATACATCCATCGGAGTATTTTCGGGTTACATCCCCATCATTAACCCGCAATGTTTCTGCATACTATTAGGGCTTTTGTGGCCTTATTCTATTTCCTTCTCATATGTGTTCCAGAGAAGTTTGTTGTCCAGGGTTGGGCCTAGATATTTGACTTCATTTTTCCATTCTATATCTATCCCGTCTAATTTAACTGTTTTGAGATTAAGTTTTCTTTTCCTTGAAAAGGATACTAGTGTTGTTTTTGTAGAGTTTATACTAAGTCCACCATATTTTGCATTTATTGGTAATTGAACCCCTATCGCGAAATCCAAAGACTAACTTTTAACTGTAAGAGCCATCAAATTAATTATCTAATCAACATCATTGTGTATTAATCAGAAAAACATAGATATTTTTAAATTTAAAAACACATCTAGGATCTAAGTAACCAATTTTATTTCTCATAACATACTTCCTACAGTTACACAATCCATTAAACTCTGCTGTTTATTTTGTACTAGGTATTTTGATAACGGTCCAGAAAAAGATTTATTGAGATACATTCAAAATTGCACCTTACGTTGATCCGGTTGATCCTGTAGAATTAATCTACAACGTTGAAGTAGACAAAACGATTACGTCACCCCCTTGTGATATATAAGCGTCACTTCATTGCCAAGAAAATATTTTCCACAAATCAAGTGAGAAGATGATTGGTCAGTCAGTTAATATCAGAAATTGTTGCATTGTTAAAGAACAGGGCTTTTCACACTTTCGACAAGGAAAGTGCTCTCACACATGACTTAACTACAAGCCAAACCGCCATGCACTAACATGCCGGCATTTTTTAATCACACAAACAGTTAAATTCAAAAGAAATGTGACTACTTCTTTAAGCAAACAAAAAATATAATATTTGAGAACTTGTGTAATAAACTATTTTAAAAGGTTCAGTAATGAAGCAGTATTCAGTAATATGTGAATTTGAATGCAGCTACACCTTTTAGGAACCAACACATATTAGAAGACCAAAAGGTATGTCTCAAACTACAGTTGGGATGGCCCATGGTAGAACATTCTAACCGTCACCCATCCACGCGTGACCGGAGATTGCATATCTTGGCTTAACTTTTGCGGGAAGGTGGATGCACACTAATCTTGCTGCTAGCCTCTCCGGATATAAGTGACAGTAGTTTTTTTTATTGTATGCCAGAGTCAAATGACTAACCAAGTTGCTTTTTTGCCTAGTTTCACGATATTGTATGTTTAATAGAACTGTTATACACTTCATAACACGTGATGTTAATGTAATCAAAATACCACTCTAGACACACAGCATACAATGCAAAAATGTTCAATGACTCCCGATTCATCTGTGATTGTACTTCAGGGTTAGAGTAGAAAGAGTTTAGAATAAGTTTATAGGGTTTGAGTTTTAAATTTCAATTATTTCCAATTACCTCTTTAATTCAGTGGCAGCTCGTGGTTAAACACAGGTGTTCTGCAATATTCTGCCCCCCCTCCCCTAAAAGAAAACCATTTATTATTTTGCAGCTTTTATTCACCTATTTTTTGTACATTAGTTCTATTTCGCTGTCCTTTTGTTTATAGAATGGGTACTTTTTAATGTTAACATTTTTTTACAAAATTCGTTTCTACCTATTATAAAGCTACATTTTTTACTTATAAGTATATCTATACCTATTTTGTTTTTGGCAGGTATTTATTTCTTTATCATTCTATATTCGTATTCTACTAATAATTACTTGGTTTAAAACACATGCATTAAAATGCCTCAGTGAGTTATCAATGTCTAATTTATTCTATATTTGTATTATTTCATTTGAATAATAATTTAACTTTGTTACAAAAATGCCTTCAAGTATAAAGTGCAATTTACACCATTTCTCTACTATGGTAAAATAAAGTTGTCTGTTTAGTTATTTCATATGATTATGATACACATGTTACAAAAGGATAAAAGGGCTTCAGGAATGGAAAAAAAATCACATATTTATTATATATTTTTTATGTCGAAATTGTAGTAATTTTACAAGTCAATATTTGGGTAATTTTTAAATCCATTTTGATAATTTTTAAATTTGAAAAAAAAAACTTTACCCTGTATCAAACACATAAATATTATGGCAAGATAAACATATAAAGGAAAAATAGCTAATAACTGTATAACCACATTTAATGGATATTTTCGTTGATAGGAGGTAACTTGCATATAAGTTAAAAAATAATCATTTTAAATCTAATTTGGTTGATAAACCTATTATATATTTTTTAGTAAATTTGGAAAATTGTTTAAATACCCATATATGCAGTATGGTTTCACTGATTTTTGATCACTGGTTACAATATATTCATTTAGTTAAAAAGTAATGAAAACGATTTATAATTTCAATTTTTAAAGAACTGTCAAACCCAAGATATTAAGAACACACAATTGGTTCAGTTAAATGTTATCATAATAAATTAATATGACAAAAGTCTTTTTATATTATGAAAATGAGTATTTTTTTCGTTTGAGTTATATGTATTTATATAACTACGAGATATCCTAGAGATCTTAAAGGTTTTACCACACTGAGAAAATGGCAGTGTTTAATGTTGAGTTCGGAAGGTGTACTCCTTTTACTCTTTTCACTCAACATCTAACTTCAGTGCATGCTAAATCATTGTAACTCTGTGATGTGAAGTTAGACTTGGAATGAAAAGAGTAAAAGGAGTTCACTTCCCGAACTCAGCTTATAAATATAGTTGCAAATTGAGTACAAGGATCGAGATTCAGTAGAAGTGGTATATTATTCAATGTAACATTACCTAAGCAATAAGTTACAAACTATACATATCTTTGACAAGGTAGGTTAAAAAATATGACTTTTCAAAATAATTTCATTTATCTTGTGGATAAATATTGATACTGTCAAAATGCCCTATAGAAAAATGCAAGTTCATTGACTGTATGTGAAAAAAGGATAAATTACAATAGGTATTTGTAATAATTTATGCCACTCATTTCTTATATGTCTTAGAACTTAGGAATTATTGCATTAAAGAGATATCCACCATCTACCACGTTTCGGTTTAGTCATTAGACATTTAAAGATAGATAACACGTCACAGTTAGTGTTTTTAAAAAATCTGTCAAGTTATAATTACAAAATAAACGAGTCTATATTTGTTACAACATTCTTGGGTTTTACAAAATTTGTTTTCGGTTTTTGAAAGATCGTTGATTAATCTGACGTACAATAAATTTCATTTTTAAATATTTTAGAATGTTGAATCTAATTTGGTATCTACTTGTTTAATAAGTTCTATAGGACAAATCGTTTAGATACAATAAAACAAATAAATTAACTTTATTTTGACTTTCTGTAGATAAGGACAACTTCTCTAAAATACTTTTAAAATTATTTTGTAAGTAACTTTTAGCGAGCGTCAATTATTTTGTTTTAACCAAATATTTAAAAACGAAAATTTTTAGATCTGTCATCTGATAAATTGTAAATGAATGAATTTTTCGAATATACTCTCACGTCTATGTCTATCGCATTTGGGACAGTTTCGAAAATTTCATAATTGTCTATGTTTTCTGTACACATGAAAAAACTTAAAACTATTAATCACAAGCACTGAAATTGTTCCTTCAACATGAAGTCGAAGCAGTGTCAGTTTCGAAGAAATATTCTCCATAAAACAGTTTCAACTGAAAAATAAAACAAAATTAATTATTTTTTTAATGTGATTGAGTACCTCCATCTGTGGTTAGCATTGATATTGATAATAATGTATGGGCCAATAAGTAGGTGAAAAATGTTAATATTAATTCTAACATTTTTTAAACGTGGTAAGATAAAGTAGGTATCCAACGAATCGAAATTAGCCGATTTTGCAACTCAATACAGATTCGGCAATATTGTCAAAAATGACAAAAAACGAAATTAATGGATTGCTGGACTGTCAAAACTATAACATACAGCTGCAAATTTAATATCATTTTTATTTCAAAGTTTATGATTTCAAGTTGACTCCGGCAAAGTAATTAATTACTGTTAATTAACATTATTTGGTATCATTTTATAACCAAAATATTCACACAATATAATATACTGGCTAATATCCCCTTAAATGCCTGTGAACATTTGCAAGTCATGATGCATTTTTTTATAATTTACAATTACAATTTTGCCGAATCATTTTTAAATAGATAAAAAAATCCTTATCGTAAATTATAAAAAATGCATCATGTCATCATCGGAAAGAATTACAAATTTAAGGCATTTAAGAGGATATTAGCGAGTTATTTTGCGAGCATGTTAATATTTTGGTTCCTAAATGAGATCAAATAATGTTAATTAACAGCAATTAATTGCTTTGCCGGAAAATAATATCATATTTGCAGCTGTGTTTCGCCAAGTTTTGATTCATTCGGTATTTTATTTTACCACGCAGTTTAAAAAATGTTAGAATTAATGGTAAATTTTTCTATTTACTGGCCTAGCTAGGCGCTATTAAATTTTTTTTTCAAATGAACAGCGCTTGGAAAGAGCTATTATGCCGGTCAAGATATAGCAAAATACCTACAGATTGGTAAGTTAATTACAGCATTATCTGTCCCTCATTATCTAATTTTGTAATTAATTTTATTGTGAATGTAATTATTAATGTAGTTAAATAGTATTTGTAAACATATTTATGAAAATTATTACGTAAACAAAATAACATCTTGACAATACATTAAATGCTTATAAGGAAGGAATATTATATAAAACCTGTGGTATCAGTATCTGTATCTGAAACGTGTGGAGGGTGGGTTACCCCACGGCACTTATGACACACTAGGCCCATCGTGCATCCTCTCAAGATGATGGGAATCTCCTAGCTCGTGAGTCATACTACATATTTAATGTAGATGACAACGCCGCCAAGAGGTGCTTCTCTTATATCGGCCGGTGTTAGCCGATACTCGCCGAACACAAATATTTTAATAAATGAGAGAGTCGGGCAATCATAGAGGATATGCTCGATTGGTCCCATCTACTTGTTCCCACCCCTGCAGAGTGCGGATTCTGACTGCCCCATGATATGGAGATGCCTATGATCACGCGCAGAATCCGTCTAGTCATAGTCAAGTATGTCACTACAGGGAGCTAAATGTGACCACTCAAAATGAATTTAACTATGTATGTGGTTATTTAATCAAAAAATCATTACATATCCACTCTTGCGAAATTTGCGTAATTTTCTCAGAAGAATGCAATTTACTTAACAATTCTAACTTGTTAACGCATTTTAAAGCATACGACTCTGAAGAAAAGGTGTTTGGCAATTTAAAATCTCCCAGCGAAAAATTTCTCTTTTATATTTTCAAATTAGAAAAAATATTTATATCTGTATTTGATAGTTTGTCAACTAAGCCTGGAATTTCCAACGCATACCTTTTTGAGATGAGCAAAATAGAATTTGGTCATCCTTGCCAACAATTTGCGAAAATGTACACCATTAAATTATTTATAAGACTAAGAATTTTTTATACTCTTAAATATACAAACAGAGATTTGAAATCCTCGAAAAAGTCAGACAAAACCAAAAGAAAAATTAAAATTTTGTCCCATTTGTAAATATTATTGATTTTTTTCATCATATTTTTGAATCTGTGCCATGGGTACAGCACGTCACGATGAGGACAGCGCCCCGCTTGTGACGTATAATCCATCCATGTGTTCATCTCTTGCTAAGCGATATTGTCGTTGTCCTTGTTTTTCGCATCATAATGAGAGAGAAAACAACAGAGGCACACATTTACTGTGCCCTGTGCCCATCTTCCACTTAATTTCGAAATTCTCAGAACGTCGCTCAACGCCCGGTCGTCCAGTGTCGTGCCAACGCGGTTTGCGCTGAATATTAGATAAAATAATAATAGGCATTGAGGAAAATATAAAATATGTAAGTTAATTTTTTTTTTGTTTATTATACTAGGGCACATGCCCAAGTACCCTTACGGGCAAACCGCCACTGGCTACATATTTCTGTACTATTTGGGGCACAATGTGTACTAGTGTACAAAATTTTGCCAACGGTTTACACCTCGTAATATACCTACTCATGTTAAAGTCTTTTGATATAGCTTGACCGGCATATTAGTATCAGTGGTACTCAAATAAGGTGTTACTTATTTATAATTTTTCAATGCTGAATAGAGAGAAGTACTCATTAATTTAGGTCAATGAAAGAAATAATAGGTACAGATAAAATCAAGCAACAAATTATTTAATAAATATCATTTGCTACTTATTTTCTCTTTTACCTTTAATAAGGTAGTAATGTGTAAATGTGTATTGTGAATTTGTGTTAAATGTTTTTAAAAGTAATAATGTAAGTACATGTAAAATCGAAGTTTTAGGATTTTGATAAGTAAAGAACTTGTTAAATGATGACATCATTCTTGTTATCTTTGATATAAATGTAAACAGAAAGAAGTAGAAAAGAAACAGCATACTGAAATGTCGTTTTTAGCCAATTAGAGTAGGAGTTGGTTTAACCAACCACAGATTGTAGGAGCATGATTGTAGAAAATAGTCTTTTGATCCAGAAACAGCATTAAGATGATTTCGATGTTTTAAAAACATGCCAAAGAGAAACAGGATGATCCATGAAGCTGACTAGACGGCAGGGTAATATTAGAAATGAGTAATAAATATGTTAGTCAATAAACTTTTCTTTTTTTTCAAATATTTGGCTATAATTTGGAATAAAACTTGTTTTCCCCATTTCCATATAATAATAACAACTAAGTAGGTATGCCTTTTATTTCATTCCCTATATGGTCCAGACTTAGCATCATGTAATTATAGCCAAATTATGAATTTAAGTAAATTTTATCTATTGACATTTCTTGTCACTCAAAAGTACCTGCCGCTTAGCCTGCTCCTGAGCCGGTATCTTCTTACCCTATATCAGCAAGCCTTACTGCTTACTGCCTACTGCTTTCGCTATAGTAACTAACGTCGTTATAAGAACGCTTCGAATAATCGTCGGTGTCTAAATTTACGTATGGGCTTTTGGTCGATTTTCCAAAATCGGCAAAATCGTAAGGGTTCTTTGTTGTTTTTTTTCTTAAGATGTAGTAATTACCAACGAATTTGTTTGTTGTACTGGATTCTATACTGGGAGGTATTGTTGTTGAAGATTTTTGGTAGTATTGAAAATCGTACGGATTTCTCGTAGTAGATTTTTCATAATACTGAAGGTTGTATTGAGATTTTGTAGTAGACTGTGAGGGAAAAGTATATTTAAAAGTATATTTAGAAGTAGTTGAATAAATAGGAGGCGAAGTACTGGAATAAGCATTATTTTGATATTGATTAGTGTTGTCATTTTGATTTTGGTTGTAGTAGCCGTATTGTTTATTGACATTTTTAAAAGAACTATTAGGCTTTGAGGTAGTAGAATACCTATTTTGATACTGATTGTAATCTACGGGGTTGTTTAAGTCTTCTGTTTTTGTGTTGCTGTAAGTTTTTTGTTCTTTCGGATATGTTTTGTATGTATTCTGTGGTGGTGATTGTGTAGAGGGTTTATCATTGTGAACTTGTGCCTTTTCTTCTTCTTTTTCTTGATACCTGTGTTCAATGTTAAAATATTTAATAAAATCTGTATATGTTTCAATTGCACCATACTTTCTTAAAATATCTATCCCACTTATTTTAATTTTAAGTTATATTCTTTTTTAAAGGAAAATCCGGTAATTTACGTGAATGTTATTAGTTTACTCAAATGGTAACAAAATAAATGTACCAGATGTTCGCGCAAATACTTACGTTTAGAAAATTTGGTGCAATTGGTGAACACTTCAGTTTTAAGTGGTAATTACTTTTTTCTACTAAATTTTAGCATGTCGAATTCGCAATAAAACATTAAATTCTGCTTTGTATCAATACCACTTAAAAAAGATCCTGCATAATGATAAAAAATACTTACAATGGTCGTGAATTACTTCTTACATAAGAAGCCGTGTTTTGGGAATAATCTGGGATAATATTTTCATGTTCGGCTACGCATCTCCCATTCAAACAGTACTAAAATAAAATATCCTTGTTTTAGAATTTATACAGAAAATTATGCAAGAAATTACTTTAAGATCCCTATTATATTTTTTGGCGACTGTATTTTCCAAATAGAAATTTAGTTAAATACGAATGCCACCTTTTTAGTTTTTATAAACGACCACTAAATATGGTGTTATTGAGAGGTGACATTACTATTTTATAAAAATTTTAAATTTTTGATTGTTAAGCTCAAAAATCGGAAGACCAGTTTGTTTACAGGGAGCGTTTAAAAAAAAGCAATATTATAAACAAATAAATCCAAATTCTACGTGAAAATCGCTTCGTTCAACGTTTGGTAATTTTCCTATGATGAAGCACCATCCACAAAACACGCTCCATTAGGAAAGACTGCTTATAACAGGTTTACATAATTTTGTTGTAATGAATTTCACGAAGGTCGATTAAAATCGGATGTTGCTGTGCGTTACATGATTGAAGAGGATTAGCATGTGACTTACGGTGGGGAAGGTATAATCCTTAGGCATATCGAAAACTGCAATGCATTCGATTTTGAATGAATTTGTGAAAAAGATTGATTCAGATAGATTCCGCTTAACAGGTGACGAAACTAGAATATATTCGTACAAACCGAAAACCAAGCAGCATTAAACTGTTTGGGTGTTCCAAGATGAACCGATTCCAACAAAAGTTGTTCACGAAGCAGTTTCAAGAAAATGATTGCTTCTTTCTTTGGTTGTACTGGGTATGTCGCAACTATTCCTTTATAAAATCGAAGAATGATTAATGCTGAATGGTATAGGTACAACCCTTTGTTTGCCACAAGTCACTTATGAAAAACAACCGAAACGTTGTATCATCCTTCATAGTGATAATGCCAGCGCTCACAAAACATGAGCCTCTCAGAATTTTTAAGTTTGATTTAGTACGTGATGACCGAAACAAACAAACTAAATATCCAACGAACCTATCACAAATCCGTCCTGACACTATGTCCTGACACTATGTAGACGCACAAATTATAAGCAACGAACCTCTTTCGAGCCTATTCGCGTGACGCGTCGTAGACTCAGAACACCGTATGAATATGATGAACTGGGCTCGTTGATGACGACTCAGGCATGGCTTCCTATATATTTATACGGCCGTTAAATTCTCAGTTTTTGATAAACACTAACAGCCAAGCCGGATGCAAGAACAATCATTAAAATTTAGTAAATATTTGGACTCAACTTGAAGTTCGTAGGTTTGTTCATACATAAACTAAATCAGTTTACGTACTGTCAGGATTCTGAGCAGTCTAGAATTCGTATTCAAACAAACTTCAGACTCAAAACTGTATAAACCACATACTTTGATTTTCTCTTATACGGAGAATGGTCGCACTGCGCAGCTTTCTGAGTGCCTTTTAAAAGGAGATAGAAAACTCCGCCATTTTGATGCCTTATTACGTGTTACCTACATCTTGGTGCAATATTTTTAATAGGTGCGTTTTAATCATCCGTTTCTGCTTCGGAATGGTCGGTTTTCTTGTTTTAATGTGACAGGTTAAAACGACTAAACCGACAATTCCGGAAGCAGAAGCGGATGCTTAAAACGCACCTGATATTTTGCTTGCTGCTGTCACTGTCAGTAAATATTATTTTTGGAGTCACAATTTATTGCTAAAGAATCAGTTAGCTCACTCGGACCAGTTAAAAGTTCAAAAATAACATCTACTCCAGGGATACAAATTCAGGATGCGCAGAAGACTGCTGTTTTATTATAGGCGGTTATCATAAATATATTGTAGTATCCGAGTTGGGCAGTGTATAAACTGGAACATTGAGATCAAAAGTGCCGACACAGAGTGAGCGAACTGATTCTTTAGCTATAAACTGTGGTAAAGGCATCAAAATGGCCGCGCCCTATGTTGGGCGTGTCGGACCTCTCTCTTGCACCGTATAGTAATCAAAGTATGTGGTATAAACACATGTTCCAACACTTTAGGAATATATTTATAAAAGTGAACAAACGATATAATTTAGATAAACAAAACGAACAAAACGCACTGAAAATCTACTGTCACTTTAATAGTCAGTGGAACCATAATTACAGCATTACTAACGCCGCATCGGATGCATCTGAGATGTAGTAAATCTTTGATCACGTGATTCAGTATACGTAAATCTAATGGGACAGATGTATCCGATGTGGATAAAAAAACGCTCGAGATGTAAAAAAAGGATCCGATGTGGATTCTCAAACGCGGCATAAAATGGCGTATAACCTGATTATTTATATCCAGTTGCGGCTCGTAACCAAAATATTGGAAGATCACAATAACAGAATATAGATCTCAGTACATAGTTAGGTAAAATTCTTTCAATGTTTAAATTATACCTTTATTAAAATTATAATGGAGACATTAAGAAAAAAATAGAAATTTTAATTAAAAAAAAAAAAAAATTTGTAAGTAAAATTATCGTTCAGCAATGTGACTATACCAATTTTGTAAGAATATAGAAACAATTATACATACTAATTTTGTCCTGTAGAATCCGAATTTATAAAAATATACAAATTGTTCCATTTTAAAATCTAAATAAATGAATGAGCAATTTTAGACATACATTTATTTAATAAAGTACCTAATACCTATGTCATATCTAGTTAGAAGGTATAATTACCTATTCAACATATTTTAAGTTAGAGTTAAGTGTTTGTCATAATAAATATTGTTCATAAACCTTATAAAGTTAGCCTTATTGTTTTTTAGATATGACTCTCATATTTTCAAATAATTTTTCGAACTAATTCAAAGTAGGTGTATTCTACACATTATGGCTAGCGATCCACCCCTCGATTTATATGTTCTACATGATAAAAATTAACGAAATATATTTGCCTTTCGCTAATAACACGACAAAAAGTGTCACTGGCATATCAATAATAAAATTAAATACAAATAGTCACTATCAAATGCAAAAACAAAATGACATTTGCAGATGTGTAATACGCTAAATTAGTGATGACATAATTTTGGTTCCAGTATTTTGAGTGCGTTTTGTTGTAGATAAAATGCATCAAACCTTTAAACTATTTTTTATGACTTGCAAATAATATTTAATAAAAAAATAACTATAAAAAAGTATATGTCAAATACTGTTAAAAGTATGGTTAGAATTAACTGTCAGTGGAACCAAAATTACGTCTTACTTTTATGGCGTATTAGAACTCAGGGTAGGAAACAAAACAACAAGTATTGATGATTTTAATAGGACGTAGGATTTGCGCATAAATAAAAGAGATCATCAACAAAGGGATATTGATCCCAAAGCTTCTTATAGATAACACTTGATTTAACAATCACTCAGTAGTGATTTTAACAGTTATTACCTGTCCATCACCGCAAGGTGATCCTTCTGCAGCAGGCCTATAGGCTACACAGTAGCCACTACCCGCGTCGAAGCAGAATAGTTGAGCACACACTCTGTCATCTTTCTGCAAAAAAAAACATTCATTGATTTCTCTTAAATAAATTTTTTTTTCAAAAAAAAAAGAATGCAATGTTAAACTTACAAAACAGGCACTAGTTCCTCGATCTCTCCTACATTGAGCATCCAATGTTAATAATTTTCCTGGTAGTACTCTTGGTAAACTTTCATCTTCATGAGGTGCATTATATAAACACGTAGCAGTATCACCGCTAAAAATAAATGACAAACAATCAAAATAAAGTATTTCAATACAATAATATTATCGAAAAACTAAGAAATAACCATGAAATAAATTTTTCCGGTTTTAATTCATTACTTGAGGAAATGGTGGAAGCTGGCAACACTGCACGAAGACCATCTAAATCCTCTTTCTGTGTGCCTTAAATCGGACATGATGAATCCATCTGTCCATTGACATTTTTCCGCACCAGGGCCACCCAAATAAGATGGTGGTGGACTACCATCGTGAACAGCTCCCAATCTGAAAACAAGAGTTTATATAAACAGACAATTAAATATTTAGATACCCATACTTGAAATTATAAATCATCGTTTACAGAGGACATACTAACATACTAGAAGACTAGTATAAATTAGATTTAAAAGAAATTTAAGCAAATGACCAAAACCTCCAGATAAGTAAAATAAATAGATAGGAAACGGTTAGGGCAGTTAGAGGTAAACGAGATTTAAAATCACTCATTAGTGATGACTTGATGTTTCACATTCAGATTGCTGAATTCTGGCCAACTTTGGCCACTTTTACGAAGGATAAAATAAATTAAATTGTAAGAGTTGTAAAGTAAAATTCCTAAAAAATAAAAGTCTAGACCAGTGTTTCTCAAACTTTTTTGGCGACGGAACCATTTCGAAAAGCGAAATATTTGACGGAGCCCCGCCGCATTTCTAAGAAAAAGGTCCCCAAGCTAAATCAGATCTTTTTTAATGAAATCTAAAAAAGGTCCTCAAACCAAACCAAGTCCTCCCTTTTGTGGCGGCGAACTTCTTCATAGTATTTTTTTATTATAATTATTATTTTCGAGGAGCCCCCACAGAGGCTTTGTGGAGCCTCAGAGCTCCGCGCAGCACACTGAAAAACACTGGTCTAGACAATTTTTTTTAATATCTGGTCTGGAAGCGAATTGCATTTTTCTTTAAATCCGTCCTATACGAAATATGTAAAAACAATCGTTTGGATTCTGGTAAAAAACTATTTAATATGATATTAGAGAATCAAACTGTCAAGTTCGTGTATCTCTCCGAGCATTACTTGGAGTTTTATCTTGGCTTGAAACAATAAAGGTCGCCCTTTACCAATCTATTTCACTGGAGCCAAAACCCTAACTGTGTTCAAATAATCAGAAAGTATATTTACATACAAGGTAGCCTATACATCAGCTGCAAAAACATTAAAAATATACTCACAAATGTCCAACTTCGTGGGCAGCTACAATTATCCCACTGAATCCACCAGTATCTTCGATGATAGCGACAGAATTAACTTTTTCTAATCTCTTGTTCACAACGCAAGCTCCTCCAACATAGGCAAATCCTAGTGAACATTCATTGGGGTAAAAAAGTGTTTTTTTTTTATACTTTTATACCTTCACCACCTAAAAGCCAACCTTAAACCATTGATGCGAGTACTGCGGAAAAGTATGATGTGATCAAAGTGTTAAAATGGTTTATTATGAGTTAGAAGCTAAGATTTTAAAAGTATGTTAAACATTTATAGAGGCAATTAAATCTATACATAAAACTAATTTATCTCCGCCGGTGTTATAAAATAATAATGTATTATTTGAAATGAACCAGGACGGTACCATGGAAAAAAATACGACGATGGTGAACATATTTTAATATTTTAGTTTAAATATTTTGGCATTTGTAATATTAATTTGTTTTGCACATATAAAAAGGATAATAGTAGTTTGAAGAGTTGATATGATCGCCGGACAATTTTCTCTATAAAAGTCTACAAAATTTTAAAAATTAATTTAGAGGTGTAAGATAAAATAATTATTTTAAAATAAATGAACGCAAAGATTTGAATTTATGAATTTTACTTATTTATAACATAAATAACATCTAAATATAAATAAATTAAAAAAAAAGATGGGCACTAAATATATATTCTGAAATGGGTATGTAAATTATATCAGTTCAGAAGAGTGACATGGTCTATATATTAATAGTGTAGTTTATATAAGATAAAATATTGCACCTTCGATTATGGCTTAACGATACCAGTTTATGTCATAATGAAACTCATATCGTTATTAGTCCGTTTCATTAAAGAAAAGTACAGAGATGTCTTAAATGACGACGCGATATTTTTCAAGTATCCATAAATAAAAATAAACATTTATGAGTTACTATTGTGTGTTTTTTGGCTTTCTTTAATACCTAAGTGTTACATTTATGCGTGAAGCAAGAGATTTGGAAGTTTGTACATCATTTTTTTTTTAATTTGAACATTTTGTTATATGGCAGTCGTCTTTCTGATTTTGGACGAAAACAGCTGTTTCTTGACTAAATCAGCACTTTTTAATCTAATGATAAACACTTGTTTTAGCTCTGTACTGTAACTACACCTAAAACACACTCCTACATACCTACATAATTATTTAATGCACACATTTATACAACTTCCATTCAACATAGCTTTGGTTTAAAAAATCTTTATTGTACCCATAATTGTCATGTAATTTAATTAATTTGCATATCGGTTGGGAAATACAATAGTCTCTAATACACGCTATAACAAAAATGTCCATTTGTCTTGATAAATTTCTATATATTTGTTGCAAGTCAATTTCCATCTGAATTAGAGCCGCCTCTGTTGTTTCAAGTATTGCTTCTTTATTTTCCACATTCCAATTGATTTCAAATTACAAATGTGCCAAATACCTACATTTTCGATTCTTTTACAAACTTAACTTTCTCTTGGCTTACAAATTTGAAATTGTTACGCCACTGATTTAAATCCCGCCACCAAATTTACAATATGGAGCTGGACGACACTTTCGCGGATATTCTTGGGATCTAGCTGTATTTTTCTTTATTGAAACAGAGTCTACGCAATAGACCAATTGAAGCGTAATTCAATTGTCTTTTATAGCAGGGGCAGAAGTAGGAAAGGATTTTGCCGGTTCTCCCACTTCATACACAGGATTTGACAGTTTTGTCGCGGAGCTAACCGAAGTGAACGCGAAACATTGGCGTAGAAAATTATAAATGCTAATAACAATTTCGCGTAAATAGTTTAATAAATTGTGAATAGCTGTTGAAATTTTGTAGAATTATGATTTGGGACATTATTACTTGTTTAAACAATGCCGAAGAAACATCACTGCGAAATTCCCAAAGTCGCCCAACGGGGTTTGACGTTTACCACCTCTCTACCTACCAAAAGCCTTTCCATCTTCAGTCCCTGCTATAAATCCCCGAAGAAGCTTGATAGGTACAGATCGACAGAACAAAATCCGCAAGTGTATGGCGTATGTGGCCAGTCATATGACCTTGTCGACATCAGTTGTTTCTGCTGTACTGTACGTAAAGTGAAGATACTATATGCTCCCACGTGTGTCGAAGACAAAAAAAATACTAAGTACCTAGATATATTTTTATTACTATTATTAAGAGCAAACCGGACCTCTCGCGAAAATAAAAATGTTTTAAGAATGTTCTAATATAAAATATTATATTTATATGCGCACCACTGGGAATACTCCGTGATATTATGTGTCTTGAGAATATTGAGAGCTTTAAATTTGTGCAACGATGAGACAGCACTCTACAGAGACATTTAAGAAAAAAAGGTAGGAAATCCTCCTATTTAAAAACTACTAGATATTTATTAAAAGAAAAAGCAGCAAATTTTCATAGATTTAATACAGAATGGTGCGTAAATGTTTTTTTAATTCCTTTTAAAAGTTTTCAGAACAAATACTTTTCGAAGGTTAACAAACAATTCAAGGTTTCTCCACCATAAAATTTGTTATTGCTGGTATTTCCTGAAAATTTCACAAAAATTGGACTAAAAATAAAGCCTCAGAAGGAATTATAAATTTTCAAGGTGTTCGGTTTACTCTTAATAGTAATATATTAAACTCGTGATATGAAACATAATTATCTTTATTTTGTTTTCTTAGAGAAACAATATGGGAGCATTTCCTCTTAAAATCTGTAAAATGCTTAGTTTATACTGAAATCGGTGATAAATTGCCTCTAGTAAAGAGTAATTCACAAAAAATAATTCTAAAGTAGGCTAAGACCGATAAAGTCAGAGATACGAGTCATGTCCGTGATAAATCCAAACTGAGACTTAAAAAAGATGACGCATTGTACGCTGCGACGTACGTGAATTTTTACAAGGCCTACTTTAGAAACTTTTCTGTGGATCACTCCATATTATTCTTCTTACACCACATATTTCTTTTCATGCAATAATGGTAAAACATTTTTACTACTAGTATACATATATAGGGTAAAAGTAGAGTTTTTTTGTGAGAAAGAAGGGTGGATGTGTTTATTTGATCATGTGCATTCGTGTTTAGGTCATGATTTACAAATATACAGTGCGGAGAGAAATATGAACAACAAGAATAAAAAATGGAATAAAATGGTAAGACATAGGCATATGATGATGGTATTATTATTATTATACAATGAGAAGATATTCTAAACTTTTTCATAATTTCATAAAGTTTTTAATAAAGCTCAGATTTAAAATATTATACGCCTAAATATCACTAGAAATGTATATACAGGATGATCTAAAAATAGGTACCGTATGTTTATAAAAAGCATAGATTTAAAAACAATTTTATTTAATATAAATTTTTATATAAAATATACACAGTAAATCCTATGTTGATACTTTTTTAACTGTGTATCAATAAAATAAACATCTTTTTCAAATAACTATTTCAAAAAACAAAAAGGAAGATACAGAATTAAATCCAGCAATAGACTTGTGTATGAAAAGTTAAACTAGTTAATAAGTCTACTTAAGTTTTTTCTGTTTTCGGTTTTTCTTATAAATCTCGATTCATTGTATACCGGTCATTGTAATTCAGTCACGTGTAGTAGTCAATTTAAGCTGTTCAGTATAGTAACTTTAAAGGTTAGAAGAACACATTTTAAATGTTATCGAGGAAGATCCGACAACAAGTACGCGAGTGATTGCAGATCATGTGGGATTAGTCGAAGATAAGTATGGATAACATTGCAGGAAAATCAATTGTATCCCTTTCATGTTCAACCTGGATGATTTCCCTCGCAGAGTTCAGTTTTGTAAATGGTATTGCAACAGCTTGAACACATAATAGATGAACAACACAGAAAGGAAAGCAACTGTCGACACTTTGAAGTAGAGGTATATACATCTCTGATCTTCTCAGTGCCACCATAGAAGTACTAATGCACGTGAACATAACCTGTTCAATGAAACTACACTGCGAAAAGGACATTTATTTCCATTGTACTTTGACAATGCTCTACCATCAATAAGGCGTGGCTACGGCGTCTAGGGTTTTGGCTGTAGCCCTATGTTTCCTTTCTGTGTTCATATATTCTGTGGCATGAAAGTGATCAACATTATTTAAATTAGGCAGGACCGTATTGGATACATTTTGGAATAAATAAATGTTAATTTCTTATTTTTCAGTTTTTTTTTTTTTTAAGTATTAACCTAGGATTCACCCGAATTAATTTCCAAATGTGCATACTTTAGTTATTTATAAAAATAATAAAATATTCAATTTCATTTTTCAAAATCATCATAAACCATTTGTTTTTGGAGATGACATCTATATGGCATTTCGAATGCCCTATTAATATCAACCTACGTTATTATAATATCTAAATATAATAATTTGTTGAACGTAGAAAAAATATAGTGTCCTCTCCTCCGCGTGTTAGAAGAATATAACGAGATGTGAACTTGTCGGACCATAATACTTATGTTATTAGCATAGGACGTAGAAAAAATACAGTATTATCTCCTACGTGAACATGAATGTAACGAGACGCGTGACCGTCCTTATTGAAATTTGAGTTGCAGTAAATCGAGTAGAGTTGATGTGATAGACGGATATTTTATTAGTTTGTAGATATTTCCAATTCGACGCTGTCCTATCCTTTGGTCTTCTAGTTAAACCTTCGAATAACAGCGATAGTGTCCTTTTAACAATCACACCTTTTTAATCTTAAACAAATTAATAAAACAATATAGGATCCTTTAAATAATCTTCAAATTAACTATCAACAGATTTAAAACACAAAAATTTGCTATAAAAACAGTCAAACACTAATGAAAAAGTTAGGATACCTATTTGTTTTATTTGCCAACCGTCGGCCATATTGGATTTTTTTGACATAACGTTGGATTGCCTCATTTGTCACGCCAATTATATGCACTAATATCCTTCCTATATATATTATCCATTATATATTTTGTTAAAATCTATGCTTTCGTAAACGAAAGTACCTAGTCTCGAATCATCCTGTATAATCAATAAAGATGATTACTATTAAAATACAAGAAACGAGTAGATGTGTTAAAAGTTGTATAAATTATGTAACAAAATTTAAATAAAGAACTGGTTTTTGGTGATTAGCTATCTCAGAATATACAGAGGATAAAATAGAACATGCTTAACTGTTTTGTACATATGAACTGTTGGTTGATATCGAGTGGGTGATATTTGAAAGAAACTACAGTGTTTAGAAGAAAAAAAAAAAACAGAATAAAAGGCTTTAGTGTACGAAAACAACGTGCTGGAAAGTTGGTGGAAAAATTTTATTTTGTACCTGCCGTTCCACGATTGCAAACATCACTGGGGTATGACCTTCTGCACATGTCTAGTCTGGAAAAAAACGCGCGCAAAGTTGTAGAAACTCAAATAATCAGGAAGGGTCGATATATATTATAATTTCGTACTATTTTCCTGTTAAAATTTTCTACTTTGCGCAAGATTGTCCCTATTTTTTTTTTTTTTATAAAAATTGAAAATACCACAAGGTCCTTGCTGAGGGCCTCTTTAACATTTATATTTTATAAATTATAAGAAATCGGGCAAAGTTTAAACTCGCAGAAAATAGAAAATAAAAACCTTTTAAAAGTTTGTTTTATTAGTTGCGACCACAAATATTTGCTTAAAAGAGGTATTGCAACATTTTTATCAAAACTAGAAATAATGTCATTCATGACTTGTTAAAATAATAATAATAAAAATAAAAATGCGTTTATATTCATTAGGTTGCCAAATATATTTTATTTTAAATTTATAAAATCTCTAGCAAATATTTGTAGATTATATTTTGTTAGAAAATCGTTATTCCACAGCTTGTTTAACCACCATCTCGTTTTTACCATAAAGATGGATAAAAACCCTTGCTTGGCGTTTTCACTTTCCAAGTTAGTATCCCAGCTTTCCATATGTACACGCTATTAAATAAATAAAAATAAAATAAAACTAGGGCAAAAATTACCCGCTGTTCCTTTCGTGCAGCGTCCACCTTTTCTACGCCGACACATGTCGTATCTAAATTAAAAACAAAAGTTAATAATCTTGTATTAAATGTCGCGTATAACCTGATTTTGGAACCTAAACTTTCAAAAATAGATATTATTTTAAACCTCTATTCTAATTAAAATTAAATAGATTGTCAATTTTCTAGTACCCATTGGTGATTACGGCAAAAACAAAAAGCTTGTTTTACACCTTTTTTGTACCAACGTGTGACAGTTTTAGTTCTTATAATACAAAAATTAAAGATTAGTGTAACAAAGAGACTGCCAAATATTTAAATGTATAAAATAAAAAATACTTGAAATATTCCCAATGGTAAAATATTGGATTAATGATAAACGAGTCTCAAATTCTTTCTGAAATAATCATTTTATGAGGCACAGTTAAAAATCGATCTTTTGTATCTGGATCTGTAAATTGATAGGCTTCTTTTATCTTGTCAGCTAGCCTACAGATTTAACGTAGTTGACAACATCGCCTAGAGGTTCCTCTCTTGTGTTGGCCATTGTTAACCAATGCTCGCCGAACACAAATCTTCTAATGGATGAGAGCGTCGGTCAATTACAAAGGATACGCTCGATAGTCTGATTTTCTTGTTCGCTCCTCTGCAGAGTGCGGAAGCTGATCCTCATCCTATGACAATGACTAGTCAGAATGGCTGTGATCAGGATCAGATTTTGTCTAGTCATAGTTAAGTAGTTATTTATTTTCTGTATTATTGTCAGGGTGAGTAAAAAGCTCTATAGCAACTCTGCAGCTTCTTGTTTCATCCCACCTTTCCTTGAATTTCACAATGGACTGTTCTTTAACTAGATTTTGTCGCGAACGATGTTGTTTGTCCAGTGGAAGGGGTCAGATCGAAAAAGTATTTGGTTGGTCGCCTTCTTGGCTAGTGTATCAGCAAGACGGTTATTTTTTTAATGTGGCGAAGCCTTTAATCCATCTTAAGGCGACCACATTGTTGATGGATATTTCGGTCAAGGCTTGGTGGCATTCTAGTACTAGCTATGAGCAAATTTGTGGTCTGTCCATGGTAAGTAGTGCTTGTCTGCTATCAGTATAGATGAGCATGTTCCTTCCAATCTGGTAATTTCTTTTGCTACTGTGATAATTCCCGTGAGCTCAGTTTGACTTACACTGGTACTATTGCTCACAGTATAGTTTATGTTTAGGTTTAAATATCTGGAGTATATTCCACATCATGAGCTGGATGCCCTTCAACGAGGGATTTAAACGAAAATCTTGCCAAAGTAAAACATTTCCTGGATTCCGACCGTCGATTGAGTGTAAGATTAATCATCGAAGACCTCAACATGTGCAAACAATCGTTCATAGATTGCCGATCGCTGGAAGCTTTATCATGCCACCACTCCATCCCCACTGCTTTCGTTGTGACCGCCTACCTGGCCTGGATATAGGGGTTTCAATCTTGCCAGAGCCCCAATGTGAACCTGCTAGACTTTTCCTGTTCTCCTGTTTCCAAAGCTCAAGAGAAATCCTGAAAAGTCGCCATTTCCAAGATGTTCCCGCCATCCGACGAGCTGTCACATAGTCGCTGAAAAAGGTTATAGCAGCTGACTTCCAGGGATCCTTTGCAACGTTGGAATCACGTTAACAGCAGTGCATCGACGACCAAGGAGACTATTTTGAAGAATTTTAACAATATGTACCGATCGGATCAATACATTATTTTTACCATACTCTTTTCTTTACGGACAAACTCTGTATATATAAATTAAATCTAAAATTGAGAACAGATTGATCATGTAATAAATGGTAACGTTCAAGGCGTTTAAATGATCAACAAGATGATTATTGACGTTTATATTTACGTCTGCCTGAATCTATTTTTTAACTACACCTCATAAATATTTTGACAAAAAATATGTATTATAATTGTTTTCACGTGCGTTTAATATTTTATTTTTCAATATTTAACATTACGATATCTACGTACTTTGTTATGGCTACAGCAATGTCGTATACAGGAAGTCTTCTTTCTCTAAATAAATATTTTCCCATGTCAGTCAAGGCGGCTGCAGAATCTATGGCATCTCTACCTACTCTGTTTCTTTCTAAATATGGTGTCGCGTCTCTACCCTAAAAATAAAAGTTTGTTTCATAAGAAATACATCATATCTATTCTACTGATAAGTTTTTCAAAACCAGATTTTTTACAGAAAATTTAATTAGAACTATGGTTTGTTTGTTTGTTTGTTGTCAAAAAATCTAGAATTTACTTTCAAATTTTAGGTTTAAAAAATGGCGTGTAACGAAGCAGTTTTGAAATTTTTGGAAGACCACAACAGACCTTTTTCGAACTCCGATATTCAAAGTGGAGTAAAAGGAGATTTTGGTAAATCCGCTATTCAGAAAGCTTTAGATTTTCTGGTACAAAAAGGAAAAGTCAAAGAGAAGGCCTACGGGAAACAAAAGGTAAAACTATTAGAATACAAATTTATAAAAAAAGTAGTTCCACATAATCAGCGTCACATTATCAATGACTATAACTTTGTTAATAACGGCTTTTCATATAATCCCATACATATGTAGTATCATTGTATCTCTAACTTTGATGGCTTGCAGTCTTTTAACAAATTTATTATTTATGAAGACCCGGGTTCAGTAAATCTAAAATCGGATACGTTTGTAAGAAATTAATCTAAGTATATTTTAGGTTTACTGCATTGTTCAGGGATCAGGAACATCTACTTCCGAATTAAGAGAACAAATTTTGGAAATGGATCGGGCAATCAACGAAAGAACAATACACTTGAAAGAACTGACGGATCAATACAAAAGTAAAGTGAAATTGATATCGGAACTTAAGGGACAAATTAGTTTGACCGATGCTATAGAACAGAAAGTTACATTAGATCAAGAAATTCAGATTCTCGAAGAAAAATTGAAACAATATGAAGGTAAAATATATATTTTTATATCCTGCCCATTTCTGACATTAAAGTTCGAAAATTTATTACAAAATTAAACAAACAGGATGAGATGGAGACATTATAAAAGTTTCTTCATGTTTCTTGGTGAAATCTAGTAAACATTCAACCGGTTGCAAGAACGTTCTTTAAATATTGATGTTATATTAAAAACAGATCACATTCACATAGTTCACATTCTCTAAAAGGTATAATAATTTAAAAAAATAATCTAATAGGCCTTTTCATCAGGCGATGAGCGCAAGTTCAGCCGCCATGTTGAAATAGCGGTAATTCAAAGTTTCGAATTGTTTTGATCAACGTACGTTTGTTTTAAAATCATCTTATTGATGCAGATTGTTAACATAACAGTGTTGTAACTAATTATTAATGCATTTTATATAAATTTTGTTTAGGTACAGAGCTGATAGAGCCACAGAGAAAAAAGGAAGTACAGAAACATTTTGATAAGTATTTGAACGAATATAAGAAGAGAAAGCGTTTGTGTATGGATATGCTCAACGCCATTTTAGAGAATTATCCAAAAAGCAAAAAACACTTGTTTGACGATATTGGGATAGAAACAGACGAAGATGTCGGCTTTTCATTGCAGTTGGATGTTTAAATTTGTTCTTAGACTTTAATAGGTTTTGTATTAGTTTTAAGAGAAAAATGTTTAGTTAAACCGTTCATTGCGTTTAGTATTAAAAATTTTAAGGAGTACCATTTTTTTATTTATTTCACACGTAATAAATTATTGATATTGGATTCTTTTATGTGTGGATATTTTAAAAGTAAGTTCATTAATCCACTGCCGTTAAACATGGCTCAATACGGCGCATTAATATGATACCACTGAGCTGAACAAAAACTATTTTGTCATTTTTTTTTCAATATACAAGTATATTGTATCAAGATCGTAAAAAAGAAATTTAAAGGTATGTAACAAATGATTTTTAATGTATTTATTGTAGTGGTTCGCTTTTAGATAAATACAATCTTGAAACAAATAGAAATAAATTATAAATTGATAATAATAAATTTATATAAATTGATATCCTCTATTTAGTCTATTTTTGTTTATGTTTTAACGAATTAATAACTAAATACTAAACGATTATTTAACTAACATTTTATCTAGGTAGGTACTTACTTTAGGAATATGTTTAAAGTCCCAAATTCACTTAAATAAATAATATTGGTTCAAAAACTAGATATTTTTTCTATGAAGAACTTTGTTTGGCTTACTAAAGCACCGCATTAAAAATGAATATCGGATGGGAAATATCGCATAATACTTTATTATTATTGTCACATTTGGACGCCCAAAAACATCTTTAAAAATTAAAATTACCGTTCTGCACTTTATATTCCAAATAATACAGACTGATTTCACTGAGTAGTTTTCATTTTAAGAAGTGAATTTAACCTCTCAAATGTCATCTTCAATGAGATAAATAAAATGATAAATCTATATACTGCATCAGCGCCGTAGTAACATCCGAACGGGCCTAAGTTTGAGGCTATATCTGCAGGTCCCTACGCTTTTTTGCTTTGATTTTGTACTAAATTATACAGGATGTCATCGAAGAGGGGTAAAATATTCCGAGGGGTGCTATAGTGCTCATGAAAATATGCAAAAATGTTTATATAAACATGTGTCCGAAAATGCATATTGACGGAAATAGAACAAAAAAAAAACAGATAAACAGACAGATTTAATAATTCGTTTGATTTTGTGTATACATGTTCAGGACCGGTTTTAGATTTTTAGTTCCTTATATTTGTTATTTTTGACCCATTTTCAAAAAAGATGTTTATTTTAACGACTTCTATCACAGTTAAAAATGTATCAACTCAGGATTCATCCGTATAAACATTTTTTTCATATTTTTATGAGCACCATCACTCCTCGAAATATGTTGCCCTTTTTCTATGACACATTGTATTTTGGAGAAAGGCAACGACCTTATACATTCTTAAATCCACAAATTTGCTCGTAAGAAATTAAGAAAAATTAATGACTATTTTTATATTAAATAAAAATTTATAATAAATAAAATATTAACACAAAACTAGTTATGATATATTATAAACAAAAATGTCAAAATATATAAGGTAAGTAAGTGTAAGGAAATAAAAATATATCTAGATTTAACAGAGGCAATGTTGTAATAATTCCCTGTAAATCTACAGAGCAGGCAATTGTATGTTCAATGGGGAACATTGCCAAAGACGATAATCGTTTTTGACTCATGGAGTTCCTTAAATATGTTTGTATTAATGTTAGTTTTGAAAACGGCGCTGTACAGCATGCTAGGCCTGCCATCACCTAAATTGCCAACGCCGAACAAAAACCTTAAAAAACTCTGGACAGTTGGGTGAAATTCACTTTTTTCCCCAGACATCCTTGAATTTTTTTAACATCAAAAATAAATAAATTTTTCATTTTAATTTTGTTAATAATTTAAACAGCTTCTTTGCGATATATTTAGCAATATTTGGCAAAATTGAAATAAAAAAAGGGAAAGTGGTCGGGTAATTTAGCCGTGCGCGCTCATTTATTATATAGGTGTCCACTTTTTTTGGAACCTCGCCCGGACGCTCCCCGGACTCCCTGCTAACTAGATCAAATCCGGGGAAATCCGGACGGATGGCAGCCCTAAATATGGCATAAATTCAGCGTTTTATTTTTCTCAGTTCTTATTTTATTTTATATTCATAAATTTCATTTCTTGCGTGAATTTAAGTACATATAACTTGTATCAAATATGATAAATATCAATTCTGGTACCTATTAAATGATCGTACACATAATTTTTATTTATTTGTTGAAATGAGCTGTGGTTAAAAATTCAGAAATCATATTTGAACACACCTTGTACATTTTTGTCGTTAGTCAATTTAATTTCTTAAGATTTAACATTTTGATAAATTTTTCCTCTTACATTGCACAAAATTAATTCTAATTAAACGATTGTAGTTAGAGATTAAACATTTATTCAGACCATGCAGTCTGAGATATAAAATTTTTGAACTCAATTTTTGCAAATATTTTATTTAACGAGGGATATGACATGACGATATGAATATGCTATTAAAAATATACTGAAGTTGTGTATATTAATTTGTTTCTGAGATTACATCTATATTTTAATTTCTATTAAAATAATTACAATATAGACAAATGTGGTAATAATTTATTTTAGAATTACATAAACATTAATTAACCAGCATGGGTTCGAATATAATGCTGCAGATTTGCTGATATAAATATGTTATTGTTCATAAAAGCTACTGCTTGTTATATACCTACAATATACCAATAATGGATTTCAAAACAAACAGAATTGCACATCAATACAATGTCGTTAAATCACGGGAATGATTACCCACCTTTCGTTTTTATTTTTGTGAGACTTTCCAATAACAAACATGGCTGAGCAAGGTACAAAATACAAGAGCGTTCGAATTTGTTTTTTGAATGAGTATTTTGAAAAAGATGCTTCTTCGTGATTACAAGCCTCAATCAATGCATCTAGTAAATATTTAAATAATCACAAGAGGGTTCGAAAAGGTCGAGGAAGGCTTATGTCTAACTCTCTATGCAATTGGTTCTATGATAATGATGAAACTTAATTAATTATGTTTACTCTAGTCTTGGCATGGAGATCCTACTGGGAAGAAATCGAAGATTTCCCGCAGGCAACGAGGCTTCAAAAAACTTTAAAGATATCCACTCCGCAGCATTGGTACACTAATCAAAGAGGATAGCATGAAAACTGCAAACCTCGAAAATAGCGTAAAACTTCTGCTCTCAACACACTTCTCTGACTCGATCATCACAGACGTCGCCGACTGGGCAGAGGGAGAATACAACCCATCTGTCTACGATTGACAAACTGCCAAACACATTATAGACGATGACAAAATTAGATGGGTAATATCTAACTTTCCTCCATTTATATTGCCAGAACCTGATGGTATCTATCCAGTCCTACTTCAGTGAGGTCTGAAAGAACTCACACCGCACCTGGTAGGTATATTCAGATCTACGTTGGCTATGAGGTATAGCCACGAAAAATGGAGAGAGGTATAAGTAGTATTCATACCCAAACCTGGAAGGATGGATTACACTGTACCAAAAATATACCGACTAATTAGTTTGACATCGTTTACCATGAATACATTGAAAAAGCTATGCGAAAGGTACATAAGGGATTACAACAACTCTACGACACCTAAATCAACATGCATTCACCCCAGACTGATCTACTGATTTTCATAGACATAGAAGGTGCTTTTGACTATATCACATTCCCCAAAATAATACACTCACTAACCAACAGAGATAATCTACAGATGATTGTGGATGGATACATAACATGCTCTCAAAGAGAACAGTAAACATAAGAGGCTTGGTTGTGAGAGTATGTCCACAGGGGGAGGTGCTATCACCTCTACTGTGGAACAAGGGCAACGATACCCTCATCAGCCGCCTCAATAATGACACTCACTACACAATAGCGTATGCAGATGACCTGATCATTCTGCATACATGGAATTTTGAGAACATACTCTGCAAGGACCATTTACTGCTTATTAATCCAAGAAGACAGAAATGGTCTTTTTCACAAGGAAAATGATGAAAATGGAATTGAAACCTCCAGAGCTCCTAAACACAAAACAACTAAACTTTGCAACAGAGGTAAAGTAACTAGGTCTCACCTTTGAGAGCAAGTCAACTGGAACTCACATTTAGAAAACATAGTCAAAAAAGCATACATTGTTGATAAACAATGTCGTCGAACTATGGGACGCACCTAGGGTTTCTCCCTTAGAATTGTCACATGTACTTACACGGCCATTATAAGACCTATGCTAACATACTGTATAGTTGTCTGGGTAACGAAAACTTAACAATTGACAGTTATCCGCAAACTAGAACAAATTCAAAGAACAGCCAGCATGTCTCAACATAACAGGAGTCATGAAAACCACACATGAAAGTCATAAAGTCATTCTTAGTCTCACTCCCTTGATATTTAGGTTCCTCTAATTACAGGACTCCGCACGGTTGGAACAGAACCTACTGTAGGATTTAGGGAGGTGAGACGTAGCTTTTGGTAGGAGCCGCTTGATACGCTTCCATTGCTTCAAGCGAACATGGACTCCATCTCACCGATATATCTTCTATAAGCCATTTAAAGTTAGAAAGAAACAAATAGAAGAGCCGGAAGTGGCAGGTACGATTCATATATACACCGACGGTTCTAAAACAAAACACGGTTCAGGATGTGAAATATACTCCAGATCCTTAAATCTAAACATAAAATGAACTGTTAGCAATAGTGCCAGGTGTAGTTCAAACCGAGCTCAGTGGGGTTTTCATAGCAGCAAAGTTACCAGAAACAATATCACTGAAGGAACATGCTCGTCTATACAGATAGCAGACCAGCCCTACTCTTCCTGGACCGACAACGAATTTAGTCAGGGTTAGTACTAGAATGTCACGAATCTTTGGCCGAAGTATCCATTAATAAGATGGATCAAAAGGTCACGCCACATCGAAAGGTAACCTGGCTCTTCTGTTGGACTGACAACATCGGAGGTGACATACCTAATTAAAGAAATTTTCCTTATGAAATTAAAGGAAAGATGGGATGAAACAAGAAACTGCAGAGTTGTCAGGGAGCTTTTAAGTTATCCTGACAACACTATGACAGAATCTGCGCCTAATCACATGTATTCTGACTGGTCATTGCCAAGTACGGAAACATCTCTATTGCATGGGGCCGTAAGAATCCGCACTCTACAGAGGATGCGAACAAGATGATGAGACAGCATATCCTCTACGATCGCCCGTCGCTCTCATTTATGAGAAGATTTGTGTTCGGCGAATATAGGCTAACACCGACCGATATAAGAGCAGCACCTCTTGGCGACGTTGTCAACTACATTAAATTTGTAGGCGGGCTCACGAGCTAGGATGTACAATGAACCTAGTGAGGTCTAAGTACCGTGGGGCAATTTCTATAAAAAACAAATGAATCTAAACTTGAATAGTCCCATCATGCTACGTTCAGCTTTTGGGAACTTGAATAGCCCCACCACCTTTACCGTTTGTGAAGTGTGTTCAATGAACATACCATTTAAATAATATTTTCATCGGATTTATAATACTAGGAAATAAATCTGCTGCTACCTGATGATGATCCCATGGGGAAACGTTATAGAATGATTACCTCCAACCTTAATTGTAAAATCACGGGGTTGGTTGTGTAGACAATCGATCGCCAACGTGTATTGTAACACATTTATAATTCAAGGTTCGGAGAGGCATATAGCGCTAGAACTAGTTTATGCTGTTCTTACTTACTCATATTAATATTCGGGTATTTTGAAGGCATGTAACAAAATTTCTGTTCATGAACCTTTTCGTTTTAGTCATTGTAAAACTGCTGCTTTGATAAATATTTGAATTATTAAAACTGAATTAATTATTAATAATGTAATCAAAATTTATAGTTACCCTGCTAATGATAATTCCAGCTATTGATATCCTAATTTTAGGCCCCTTAAGTAACTTGTACCTCAAATCGACTCCATTCCAAAATGATACGAAGTATCTTTTTATGTGAACATTATCTCCTCCATGTAATCTGTAGCCATCGTAGTCTACAATTACTAAAATCTCGGGGTAGATGGTATAGGGTGCTTCTCTCTTCTTCCTTGTTCCTGTACTCCTTCTGAATCTTTTAGATAAGTGGTCAGGCTCCATCAATGCTAAAAAATAAAAATACATATAGATAAGCGGGTTTGTTTGAAAATAGTGATCCACAAAAAAGTAGATCATGGCCGACAAAGATAGAAATACGACTCATGTTCATGATAACTACGCTCGTGTGGATCACTTCTTATTATTTCGTGCAGTAGGTATTCATTCATGCATTTTCTATGTGTTTGTCATATAACTTATTATTTGAGATTTGGATATTTCTAAACTACGTTTTTAATATCATGCAACCATTTATGAGTTATGTCTGTCCAAAGGGAAAATGCTGTCTTTTACGGATTGTTTTAGGAAACTATTCTCCTGCCGGAAAGAACGATTTGGAACGTGCGTCTGGTGGAGACCCGACATTCGTGAAATAAAATGTTTACACTTAGTATTGATTAATATTTTCTGACAAAATACAATAAACATTTTGAAAATAGGTCAAGAACTTTGATCGTTTTAGAAGAAGCGTCTAATTTAATAAAAGATAATTTTCAATCTAGGTTCTGAGCTTCCATTGTCTTCGTATTTTAGGATTCACAACATTCCAATCAGTTGCCTGCGCTGTCTGGCGAAAAGAACAAACATTTTATACTTACCATTGCCTTGAAATAACTTCATGGATGTACCCTTTGCTCCAGCAGGCAGCTACATGATGGTAAGAGCTAATTATTTTTGCTTCTGACCATTTTATTGAGCTGTGTAATCTCAATAAATTTTAAGAAACCTCAGATTTCGAGCTTTGGGCTTTCATTCTAATGGTTTTTATAATAAATAAAAAGTTCCTTGGTTTATTCGGTCAATAGTTTTTATGTTTTATACTTTAAGCACTACATATGTTTCAGATTTTTTTATCTTTTGACGCAGTCAATATATTTATAAAGATATGGGGGACGAATACAAACAGTTTTAAACATTTTTAAATAATAGAAACTACATCTTTCTGTTTCACAGCGTGTGAAGGTGTATTCAAAAATTTTCACATTCACATGGTATAAGGCAGACGCTTGGAGGTGTTTGTTTTGTTCTTTAGATGTAGTTAGATGTGAGTGTACTCTTGAAAGTGAAGTCAGTTTTCCTTGGAAATTCCATTGTTACACTAATTGTTGTTTTGGGTGCCTATTATTTGTGTATTGGAGTTTCTTTTCATTTTGAATTCTTTTAACTAAAATTCGAAGGTCGCTGCGACTTTATGTGTTCTTCTTCCTCCTAGAACTAGTCCATGTTTGTGTTGGCTAAGACTGGGTGGGGAAAGTGGGGAATAATTGATAATCTTGTTGATTGCAGAACTGATTGCTGATTTGGAAATAGATATGAACTTTTGAGGCAGCAGTTCAAGACATGAATGAGGTCGTCTAGGAGAATGTTTGAGCGTGTTGCATATGTTTCGTGTTCTAGTAGCTTCTTTTTGATGATTTTCATTATCCCATCAAGAGATACATTAGTGTACAAGCTCTTTACATATTTGCTAATAAATTGGTTCTCAGGTTTTAGCTGGATAGTTTAGTCTGCCAAATACCATACAAATGAGGACAATTATATACAGAAGAAAAGGCGACCATTGGAAATTAGACTAAAATAGTATAAAAACCAGACATTGAAAGTCCAGATAACCACTAACTAAATGACTGCGAAAAGATTAACGATTTAGAATCTGCAGCATTGTCCAAAACATTCAAACAGAAAGAACAAAAAATTTAAAAAAATTGTTGTGTGATTCCAAAAGTTGGATTGGAAAAGTTACGAGATATTTTCGAAGTAGATAGTTGCTGCAGAAATGGATAGAAAATTAAAAAATAAGAAGAATGTGCATCTCAGTATAACTACCAAATCAACGTTCTTGGGCTGAAATAGCATACCTATAGTTTGAAAGTATTTTGTCTACTTATTACTAGTCTAATTAGACATGGTAAAATCATAATTAGAAAACCTTAAGAAGTGTTTTCTTTCTAGAGTAAAAATTTATTTCAATTCGTCACATTTTATTAACAACTCTGAACTGTCCTGCCAGTATGGACTATGTTCATGTTTTGTTTTAGTTTATTCTGCAATTTGTCCACCGGTTATGTGATTTTGATTTGGACCAGTCTGCTAATTGATTTTAGCTAACATGTAAGTACAACAGTTCGAGTTTTGTAACAAAATACAACAGTTTTAGTTTGTTTCTTGGGCCCGCTTGATGTGGAAATAATATTGGTAGTGCATTCTTTTTTATGTTACATTATTTCTTACCATAATCACCCATAATGTCATCCTCTTGTTCTTTTTTCCTATAAATAATATGGTGGTGAATATTCTTATTCCTTCTGATTGGTAGGCCCGTATCTATAGCTACTTCCGAACTTAGTTCACCGTCCTGGTCCAAAAACATTTCGTCGTCATTGATGGTATCTAAATCTGTTTCATTAGCATTTTTGGATTTGTTGTGTTTTGAGCGAATTACGGAGCCTCTTAAGCGTGATGGTAGAGGACGGATTACTAGATGAGAGCCTATGCTTCCTTCCTGTAATAAAAACGCATGATTAACTTCAGAAGTTTCAAATGTAGTATTAAATAACAATTATTATAAGCAATAACAATTAATTATGTGGCTGCATAGCTTCAAAGTTGCACTTCGGCGTTTTGATATCTACAGTTTTTTTTAAATATTTTTCTATAGTTTTAACAATAAAGTCAAATTAACTCTTGAACAAAAATAATAGCTCTCACTTTTGTAATTTCCTGTATACGTTTTGCAAATATAAAAATCTAAGTATTGGACATTATGTTATAGATGATTGACTACCTTTTATCTAGAATAAAATTTGGAAATCAATATTAAGATTATTAAGTCATAATTATTCTTACTAAAATATTATGTAAAAAATCGGTAAAGTATTTTACCCAGAACTTCTCTCGATATAGAAATTGTAAAAACAGGGAACGCCTAAGTACATAAATTATTAAAATTGAAGTATTTTGGGTTCCCTGTTTTTACAATTTTTATATCGAGGGAAGTTCTGGGTAAAATAATTTACCGATTTTTTTATTAAAGATTAAATGCGATTCCTTTCATACAGCACTCCCTGTATATTAGAAAATTACTTTCCTAACAAATAAATTGTTTAAATAAAATAGTTAACAATAAAAAGAAAAAATAATGTGCACGGAATAATTAAAACGACAATGCAGCACTCCCTGTATATTAGAAAATACATTTTTTTATCAAATAAATTGTTTAAATACAATAGTTAACAATAAAAAAGAAAATAATGTGCACGGAATAATTAAAACGGCAATTACTTCATTTATTTTATTAAACTAAAAGAAATAAATCAAACGATTAATACAGTACACCCTGTATAATAGAAAACCAAATTTACAATTAACCAACGGTTTCAAACTCAACGGTCGATCTAAAATAATTTTAAAATCGGAAGTAACAATCAAACAGTAATTACGGTACTCCCTATATAATAGAAAATAAATTTTCCCTCAAGAATTATTTTATTAAATCAAAAGAATTAAACCACACGATTATTACGGTATTCCCTGTCTGATAGAACACGAGATTTTAATTAATTAATTAGGAGAAAAAACAATAGAAAAACTGTCTGAATGCGACTTTCAGAAAAAGACGACGCCAGTTTGAGCCTTTATCGGTTTAACCTTGTAAAACAACGTTTCTAAATTTCGGACAGCTGGCCACAAATAATTACTCGACTAGTGTTTGCTAGGAATCGCCTGATTGTGATAGAAGATTTTAGATGTCGCCAGTTGAATTTCTCTTTGGCGAATTTCCTCCTTTGAAGTCTATCTGGAAGATCCTCAATTAGTTCGATTTTGGGAGATTCGACAAGATTATTTCGCGATGATTTTAAATACACTCGTGTGCAATAGGTACTAGGTAAATTACGGTTTGGCGAAATTCCTTTGTCGGGTCCTGACTGGGTTAGTTCAACTTTGGTAGATTCGACAAATAATTTTGTCAAATCTCCCAAATAATTTTTAATAACTTTAATAAGTACTAGTTGAAATAAAGACCAGCGGGGGAAAACAAAGTAAGACAAATTTTAATCAGGAATAATAAAAAAACCTACCTTGGAATTAGGTACTGTTGCGAATGCAAAAATACGGTTTGGGTTTATTACAATTTTCACTTGTCACTACGATCCAATTCAGCACAAGAAGCGTCGAAAGACAGGGACCAAAGAGGCTCGACGGTAGAGTGGAGAAATAAAAAACGTCCTTTTGACACTTGCCGAATAGACATAGATAATTTACATGAAATTGAATGTTCAAATCCGAATTTGAATTTCGGTAAATACGGAAACTACAAGGGATCTCGCAAATGTTTAAAAACTGGAATATCTAGGAAATCAAAATACGGGGCTCTTCGAAACGTTTTCAGGCGGAAATTAATTAGAATGTACATTTCTATAATCAATTAAAAATAAAATTTAGTGACTTCGTCACAACACATGTTTCTCTAATACATTATTATCTATAATTGTGAATATATTAGTATTTTTTTGATGAGTATGTATGAGTACCACAAAATTGTTGGTGGTACGAATATTTACCAGCAATTCGCAATAAATCTACATATGATTTTGAAGTTTTAATACTCATAATAGCATATTAAAACTTTAACAAACAATATCAATGTATTTATTACTATAAAACCTTCAGATTCTTACGCGTTAAAGGATTAACCTATGGCAGCGGAGTTTAACTCATTCAAAAAACTAAATTCCATTGATTTTGTCAACAAAAAAACCCAAAAAGTTCTAATATTCTAAATTTAATTCTGAATTCTGCATGTAGAGAAATAATTTAAATACGTTAGTTTAAAAAAACCATTTAAACATTTGCCTTTAAATCTTTCATAAGTACCTACCGGCGTGTCTACCACACTTATTAAAAGTCAGATAGGATTTCAATGATTTTTAAAATTAAATTTTACATAGAATCATAAATTACTGCAATAATTATAGTTTATTTGCACGAAGATTGCAAAATTTCCTTAAATATCAATTTACATAATGCACCGCATATTTATCTACATAACTGCAACATCAAAATTGGACGCACGTAAAAAATGGCCATCTATTAATAAAGACACACACAAAACTCGTTTGATAGAGCTTTCTCCTGACTCTAGGCGTTGAATATTGGTGTTAAATGTTACTTGTTGTACGTCCGTTACGTAACATACATGGATTTAACACATAAATCAAAACAAAAAAGTTGAGATTGATGAACGTGTGAAGTTGAACTGTGGCTATTTTTTTTTTGTTCAAAGATAAGTTAAGGTCAGTAATCAGTCAAAATGCAAGCAGTACGTAATTCGTTATTTAATAAGGTTAACTTCAACAGTCACCGTATTTGGTTATAAGTGCTTACAACAACATTTAAATGTTGTATAGTTATGAAAGCTTCTATGATTTTTTCTGAGCAAATGTTAGTATTAATGAACAAGGTACGCTTCAATCATGTTTTCTTAACTTTAGTAAAAAAAATTGATGAATTACATAGCAGATAGATATATTAAAGCTAGGTAACCTTGAAAATGATCAAATATGTTGGTGACCAAAGAGTGGGTGCATTTAATAAATTATAAATTATTTAATAATAATTACAATTTTTTTAACAAGAGACTGGAAATTTGAAATTATATTATAGTTCAACCTAAAGATATTTTATACTAGTATGGTAATAAAATTTCATTACAGCGGTTACCGCTTACCCTTTGATTATTGATTTCACTGAAATTATGAAATTCAGAATTATATTTTCGATTTGCTCGTCCAGGTGGCAAAGTCAGGAGTAGCTGATTAAAAAAAAAAAAATACTTCAAAGTTGTAAAAAAACCTTATCTTAAATTATTGGCTCTAGATACAAAATTGTTAACTTGTAAAAAAAAGATGTATTAAATAATTTGTTCCTCTTCTATGTTTTAAATTTGTTCGTTCTTTTTACCAAAAAGAGAAAAACACGCTAGAAGTGTATGTCGCTGTGTTCAGAAGATATTAATAAGATTATTCAAATTAACAGTTTTGTATACCAATATGACAGCTCCTTGAATGCGCCGTGATGTTTAGGTACATGGTAACCACAGTAACGACCGCCTTGGTTTTGTCAAAGAATAGAAGTAGGTAACTTTTTGTTTTGTAAATCGGTACCTTATTACCTACATTATGTGTTGAGAAAACTGCAGAGTTGTATCAAAGATTACCAAGATAAGACACTACATTAATGCCGTAAAAATATCGCTATGATCTCGTCCCTTTAAATTGGAGTGTTCACGTTGTTGCCAATGCTATCCGTATTTTATGATGAATACTGTTTTTGATGTATTAGAAAAGCTCCCAAAATGATCGAAAATGGAACATACCCAATAAAAACTTTCAACAAGAAAGTTAAATTAAATTAAAAAAAATAAATATTGTTATGTGAGCCATTTCATTATTCAGTCATGCTCTAATCCTCCAAGTCCCTCTCTGTATTATTTGGCCTTTGAGGCTCAACTTGTCCGATTATCATACATAATTAAACCCCTTAATACCAAATATATGTGACGACTATGGCGGAGGCACTTTCGCGAACATTCCTGAGTCAACCTAATAATATTTCTGGTATATTCCGGATATGAGATGTTTTGGTGGAGGAGCATTCTGGAATCACCAATTTGTATATAAATATTGGTGGAGGATCAACAAAAAGTCAGTGGTGAATATAAATAGTGAACGATTCAAAGACATTCGAACTATATATAAATTAGAATAGTATTGTTTGAAATAAATAAGTGTTTAAATAAATTATTAATAAATAAATTGTTGTTTTAAAATAAACAAACAAGACATTGGTGTCGAGAAGTGGAATAGTGTAAATAAATAGTGGACAATAATGGCTAACAGACTGTGTGATTTAAAAGTGACCGAGCTACGTCGGGAGTTAGAAGATCGCGAGTTGGAGACGAGAGGGAAGAAAGCAGAACTGGCAGAACGACTTAAAGAAGCACTAGAAAATGAAGGTTTTGATTCGGAAACGTATCTATTTTCTGATGATTCATCTTCTGCTATAATTTCTTCAATTTCTTCCGATATGGAAAGTAAGATCTTTTCCTAAAAAATCGAAATGTCTTCTGATATGACCTTTATAAAAACCGATAATTCTTCTAATATTTCCTCATTAGAAACTAAAGTTTCTTTAGATATTTTCTCCTTAGAAAGTAAAGTTTCTTCTGACATTACTTCCTTAGAAAGTAAAGTTTCGTCCGATATTTCTTCCTTAGAAGAAAAGGTGACTTCTGACATATCTTCTTTAAAAAACGAAATTTCTTCGGACTTGGAAAACAAAATGTCTTCTCTGAAAAATGAAATCTCTGCTGATGTTGAAGAGAAAATAATGTCTTCCGTTGAAGACAAAATAAAACAGATGGAAAAGAAGATAGAAGAACTGGAACATACAGAACCAGCCAAGGATGGTGAAAAAGTGCCATGAGGTAGAGTCGAAGTTGAA